CTTTCTTTGACAAGTGAATACTGGATTACTAGACAACCTTTCCAAAAGCCTGTTTGCTGTCCTACCTATTTCCACTCTCTACAAACACCCGACAATATAAATCCTCGCTTTCAAATGCCTCTACAGTCACTCCGTGATCGTCTTTTAACTCTACTCCCTCCTCACTGGCCACTCCATCCACGTGCCTTCCCCTCTACCATTGGCAGGCAGTGTCAAACATTTTGCTCCCTCCTCTTGAACTCTCTCCCGATACCTCTCCATCACTCCTCTTCCCTCTCTGCTTTCAAATCCTGTCTGAAGACCTGCCTCTTTGATTGTTTTCAGCCATCTCTCTCTCTTCCCTCAGCTTCCCAGCTCAAGGCTCCCTCTCAAGTCTTTGTGAAGCACTTTGAAACAATTTCTCAACGTGAAAAGCTCCATACGAGTGTAAATTATTGTTGTTGTATTCTTCACGGTGTATGTTGGATTTGTTTGCAGGTTGTTGAGACAGGAGAGTGCACAAAACTGTATTTGCATCGACTACTGGTTTTGTGCATCTGATATTTAAGCGGATAAAGTACAGAAATAAAAACTTCAAGATGAATAAATAAATACTCCTTCCAGCAGAATTACCTTTGTGATTTTATTCTTGGGAGCAATTGCTTCCAAATGTTTATTTTAAAACATTGTAGTGATTTTCCTGCAACACACTGGTATATTAAGTAGCAGACTGTAAAACGTCTGAGACTGGAGAATTCGCAGGCCGAACTAATGCAGCAAATAGCAGCAGTTTATAATTCATCAAAGCTCAAGCTGAACAGCTTGTGTTTATACAGAATCTCGGGAGCTGCAGGCAATTTTTATTGAGAGTTGGAAGGAAGAAAAGGCAGGCCAATGGGAAGCGGAACCTTGAATATGATGTAGATGGCAACATGGTACACAAAGTGTAGGATGTGGGCTGTATTCACCCCGCTTCCTCATCTGCTCAGTTCCTGATCAAGAATGATTTCAGCAGGATACTGTGGAGTTTAGGGTGTGAAATTGGAGGATGAGTCATCCCTGAGCTGCTTCTGAATATTGCCTGGTGACTACTGTAGTTGCAGAGCAAAATAACACAGTATGTTGTACATTGCACCTGAAGGGAACATTGCTGCACAATATTGATTCAACATGATCCCAACTGTAATGACAATTTCTCAATTTCTAATCACCAAAAGCTTCTTTGATGCTTATTTCTGTACTCACAGATAAGGATTGCAAAGATCATTTGCAGTACTTGCATCAACAACTCTGAAGCACTCTGGATCTGAATTGTTTCGGAATGAGTGGTGCACAAAATATCTTTTTCCATTAGTTTCGATAATAAAATATTATATTTTCCAGAAATGTGCTTACATTACTCATACAATAGAACAGTGAGCTCAATATATAAAACACACAGAAACTTTATTTTTTAAAAGGAGCACTGTACTACTAATTCACATCATTAGAAGAACAATGACGTAGTGCCGTACGTCATGTCCTTGATTGTGGTTTCCATAAATATTCTTAGAAATGTAATTTAAAATTTGTGAAAATCCATGTCTGGCAACAAGCACTTAACCGATGTGGTGGTTTCGGAGGCGCCTGAAAACTTCTTGAGCAGCGGCTGTTTCAATCTGTGCAGCCTTGCAAAGAGATGCCTGCTTTACATCTCAATTGGTAACACTAAACGTTCAAAACTCTTCCTCTCTGCCAGGTCCACTGAGTTGGCGTGGATTGACTTTAGACTGAGACCCAGGTGGATGTTGTGTCCAGAATGGCTGCCGTTTCCTCAGCTGCTGCTTCCCTTCCATGGCTTGCCGTTTTATTTGAGCGTGCTGTACGATTCCAGGGCCCAATTAATACGAGTCTCTCCTCCAACGTATTGAAGCTGTACAAAAGAACCTTGGACTTGAGTGTAACACACACTTTTCAAATGCTAGATCATGTGATTTGTTAAATGCACAGTGATGCATTTCAACATTGGCTGTAGAAGAATTGTTTTATTTCGCAATTTGTTTCCGTGTTCAGCAGTGCTAGCAGTTGAGTTGCAGGCAGATACCTTTGCCCTTAGGGTGCCCATAATCTTGAGGGTTAATTATACAGCATTTTTTAATTGATCACATTGTTCCAGGCATTGCACTCTGTGATCGGACTGTACAATATATTATTCTGTTAACCGTAATGAAGAGGTAGGTTGGTGTTACAAGGACGACCAGATGATGTGCTGAACAAGCTGGTTGAATTACTTGTGATTGACACTAGAAAGGGCAATACCCTCAGATCTTGGTTCAAGAAATGGGATTTAAACACAAATGCAATACTATTGATTACCTGCCTGAAGGGATATTTAAACCATTTTTTGTGGTCCTAATTGCGTTACTTTGTATGTTATTGTAAAACTAGGACCAGCCTCCTGAAATTGCCCCAACTTTGTCACATTGAATATCTGGAAAAAGATTGATTAAGTTGAAGGTTGAGGTCAAAACGGAGCTTTGATGGTGCAGTTTTGAATTTTGTCAAGAATATAAAGAAGGGAACAACAGCAGGTCATTCAGTTCATCAGCCCCACCATTCGACCGATGGAAAGCCTACCTTATAGCACACTTGACCCCTCCCATTCTGCATAGATACTTCCTGATCTTCAAAGGTAATGATGCTAAAACCCCAGAATATTCATGTAAAATATTCATCCTTGCTGTTTTCAAAATGCAAACCTATCCTTAATGTATACAAAATACATACACATTCTAAAGTGATTTCCGTTAACTTACATTTAAATTGAACTACTTTGAATTGAGTTTAAGACATCTCTGCCATGTGGTTACCTTAGCTTTTACATTTGTGTTTCCTGCCCCTGTGGTAACAAACTGCGAAGATTGTTACAACTGACTTCATGACCTAGTTATTGAGAAGCGCAAAGTAATTTCTCCCAGTTTCCTGTCGAAGAAGCTTCGTTAACCCCCCCCTCCCCCCTCAATAAAATAACAGTCACTAATAACCACATTGAGCGTAAACACTTTGTGATGTTTTGATGATGTGTTAAGGCTCTATATCAAATGCAAGGATTAAGCAGTTTAGAAGTCTGAGGGGATCAAACCACATTTACCGCAGTTCCTCAGCACACGTGATGAACATTTTCTCTATCTTTCTGGCAAAGGGAGTTTTATTTATTTTTTGTTCGGTTTAGTTATAATGCTACCATTTGAAGAGGAAATTGACCACAAGCAGCATTTTTACTAGATAATGATGTGCGTTAAAAGCTTTTAACAGCTGAGAGACTACGATAATGCAGACTATTTGTACTGAGAGATTGCGAAAAAAAGATACTGTCCCGCTTTCTAGAAAGTCAATTTATATTACGGGTGGTGTTTTATTATTGGTATTCCCTTGTGATCTGGGGTATATAATTCCTTTGTATTCTAAGGAAATAAAATAATGGGTAGGAAATGAAAAACACAATAAATGAAAAGAAAACCACTCTTAAGTCAATATAGGGAACGTAAACTGGATAGTGCAGTATTAACTACTAAGCGATTCTTTCACAGTTCAGTTATTACATTTTGTATGCCTTAAGGCAGAGATTTTACAGACTACGCCCTTCAGACAAGATTAAATACACTAGTTAATCAACAGAACAGAAGGCAAACTACTTCTTAAAAACAGTTCGGATTTATGTTAAGGGAGGGGAGAGATGGGGGGAGGGGGTTGCATTAGAAGGTAGGGCTTCTTATCGAGATGTGACCTTTGAGCTGAGGGAAGGATAATCCCATGGGTTTTGTGTTTGGGAGGAGGGATTGATCTGCAAACTGGAGTTATTGTGTATTCTGGGCCCGAGGCTTCTGTCAGATTACTTTCCACCTCACAAAACCGCAGGGTACCCTTGTGCCTCTCCTGAGAGAATTAGTCGAGGGGAAAGATTTCCAGCAGGACTCTCTTTGGGAGGTATTTTGAAGGCTTTTGAAAAACCTACTCCTACAGGTTTTGACCCAGGCAGAGCAGATATTGTTATCCTCTGTAAATGTATCACCAATCACTTTCTGAATGTGTGAATGTGGCTTGTATGGCTGTTTTGCACTGGAGAGTGGCTCAATGGGGAGATGTTTGTGTCTGTGTTAGCCGTCACTGTGGTGTTACAGTCAGCAGAAGCAGGAACTCTTCCCTGACTGATCCACTGTTGTGCACCTCCTTGAAGCTGACTTTACATTTGCGTTGGTGGAGGGAGGAAAAAGTATTTGTACTCTGGACTTCTTGAGGTTGGTGTGCAGTAATTTGGGGGGTGGGGAAGAGGAAGGAAAATTTTCCAGTCCTTGTTGTGAAGGCGAAGGCGAAGTGCGAATGATGAAAATGATGAAGCATTTGGCAGATAACTATTAATTCATATTGGTTTTTTTTGTTGTTGCTATTTCTGGGATGTATTTGAGGTGTGCTGTCCTATTCTGAGTGCCTTCACACTTGCTCTGTAGTGTGTTGCAATTTGGGTTTTTGAAAAGACATGCACTCCCTGGGAAGTGATCAAAACAGTGTTCCATCTCATAACAGTAGCGATTTGAGATGGATGAAAATTTAGTTTGTGAACTACAAAAGATGCCACATGCTCTGAACTGGATATGCACTTCCAGAGGACATTTAATGTAAACATGAGCTGAATCCTAAATAAACCTGGCGTGAATGTGGTATTATTCAGTAAGCTTTTGCAGTGGCATTAATTGTTCTCGAATATCTCATTTCTGGACTTTTTTCCTCATCTCCATCACCAAAACTTCTCAAAGATCAGGAACTGCGACTTTGTAGGTTTTGCCAGGCCCTGCAGGTTTATAATAATAAACTGTTTGTCAAGTTGAAACTTTTCCAAGTGTACTACGTTCCAGAGACAACAGTTGGATGAAGGTGGGGTTTGATGAGTAAAACGGTGGAAAAATCTCTTTTTTTGTTGGAAATATAAAAAAAAACTTTCAACTAAATCTTTGTCTAATCCTGAAGTTTCTATGCATTTACAGACATTCACAGCTTGGTGCAACTCTCACCTACGCAAGGCAGGCACACAGATCGAGAACATCGATGAGGACTTTCGAGATGGCCTTAAACTTATGCTTCTGCTGGAGGTTATTTCTGGTATGTTTAGCTGCACTTGAGTTCCAAGTTCACCCTCTGTTCAGTCCCTACCTGCTTTTGTTGAAGGGATAGTTCCACAGTTGTATGTTGCCCTCTGGTATAAAGGTCTCTGGATAATAACCAGGAGCAAGAACTCTAGATGTTTTATCTCCTCCCGAGCACAGGGACTGTGAGACTAATTCTTGCACCTGATCTATCTGAAATCAGATGAATCAGCACAGAATGAGATTCAAACTTTCCTATCCGGATGGTCCATCCACTTGACTGTTCGGATCGCTGGCTTCCTGGACTTTAACATGAGCATCTATACCAGTAGTAACCAAGCTGAAATTACTTGTTTGTAATTATGCAATATATTCATTTTTGTTTTCCCTCCAATTCATATAAAACTGAGTGTATTTATGCAGGGAAAACTGTGTGAAGCCTCTTGCCAAATGAAGAATGGTCAAATAAAATTGTAGCTACTGAGCCCCCCCACTGTTTGGCAAGATGTTATTGTGTATAGGAAGGCCCTTTAAACTTTAATTTTTAATAGGGAAAAGAATGTATTCACTCGCCAGATCCTGGCTCCCTGTATCTAATGCAACATTTTCTAACACAATAATATCATCCAGTTATCCTCTCCGCTGCTCAACTGTCTCCTCCTTCAGTTGCCAGGGATCCCTTTCATTGAGTTGACGTGCAATATTATGATAATAATAATAATAATAATAATAATCCTTGCATTTGATATAGCGCTTTTCACGTCGGGAGGACGTCCCAAAGCGCTTCACAGAACACACTGTAAAGTGAATTGACTGTACATTTGTGGGCGAACGCGGCAGCCAATTGCGCACAGCAATGTCCCACAAACAGTCGTAGATTGAAAATGACCAATTTATTATTGTTTTTGGTTTTGGAGGGATTATTATTATTAGGCGTGTGGAGTAAGGAAACTTGCCCAAGGTTTCGCCCTGACCTATTATTTATTATTATGATGAGATGTGATTACGAGTTGAGGGCTTCGGAGAGTAGTGCAGCTTTGTTCACGTTAACTGAAGTACGAGGAGCTTCCTCTGAGATGGTCCGAAGCTGCAAGATGACAAAACATTATTGTGGAGGTCTGGTGCAAGTTCTTAGGCCTGGGAGTGAACTTGCAGATGGGTGAGGACAGATGGAGGAAGGAATGTTTTGAAATGTATTCCATTTTAAAACATCACTCATTGAATTGCTGTAAATGTTTGCCGTTTTTTTTGTTGAGCTTAATCCAAGTTTAATAAGATGGGAGGAGTCATCTGGACTAAATTGAAGTCTGTTTTGTAAATTCAGTGTGATCTGTAATCTGAACTATTTTGGGCATCACAGCCGTGTGAGGCTTTTCTGAGTGACAATGGGTCTGTTCACTAAAAAAAAAAGCTTCATTCGTTCATTGTGTCTGGTTTGTGTTTGAGCACATCTTCCTTTCTGGCATGGTTCAGATAGTTATAGATGTGAACATGACCTCACTAAGCCAGTCTGGAGCCTTGGCGTCTTGTTTGATCCTCAACGATCCTTTCTACCCCATATCCACTCTGCCTTCCCCCACCTCCACAATATCGCCCGACTACGCCACTGTCTCACACCACAGACCACTGAAACCCTCATACACGCATTCATTACATCGAGGCTTGATTATGCAAACTCTTTGCTTGTGTCGGCCTCCCTAACTCCTCCGTCCATAGGCTGTAGATCATCCAGAACTCTGCAGCCTGTGTCCTCTCCCACACCAGGCTCCGTGACCCTATCACCCCCATCCTCGCCCAACTCCACTGGCTTCCCATCATGATCCTCACCTTCAAAACCCTCCATGGTCTTGCTCTTCCCTACCTCTGTAACCTGCTAACCCCCTATCATCCTGCCCACTCCCTCTGCTCACCAAGCTCCGGCCTGCTTCACGTCCCCCGCCTCACCCGCCCCACAATTGGCAGGCGGGCCTTCTGTCACTCTGCCCTACCCTCTGTAACTCCATCCCGCAGTCCCTCTGCCTCGCCCCCTCCCTTGCCTCCTTCAAGACCCATCTCAAGACCTTCCTCTTTGACCGTGCTTTTGATCACCCTGCTTCCCACCCCACCCTCCACACTCCCCAATCCCTAGTCCCAGTCCAGGATTAATTGTCCACTGTGTTCACTGCTCATTAGTAGTTTTATCATTGACTTTTTAAAGTTGCATTGAGTAAAGGCTGCTGCTGTAACAGAAAATAAACTTGACGTTAGCATTGCAGTGCTTTTTTTAAAAAAAAACAGCTTTAGATATGTAACATAAGGAAGCAGCCAGCAGAAGCAGAACATCCTGAGAATGTATAATACACTCCCAGATGTGCTTCCTGCTGATAAATACACTGCCCTCAACATTGGCTTCAGTTCAGGAGGTGTTTGGCAGATGAGCTATCCCTTGTGAAGCTGATTGAAAGACCTTGTAAGGAGGGGGAGGGATTGGGGGAATAAATGGGGAACGTTTTGATGCTTGCCTAATGTCTGCCTTTTTTATTCTAAGGCGAACGCTTGGCTAAACCCGAAAGAGGAAAAATGCGTGTACATAAAATATCAAATGTCAACAAAGCTCTGGGTTTCATCGCAAGCAAGGGGGTCAAGCTGGTTTCCATCGGAGCTGAAGGTGAGAATACGGTGGCAATATGGTATCATCCCCATCACGGTTACAAACCAACATTCTGAGTATTCTCATTGTGTAGATCTAAGAGTAATAGTTCAAAATGAGTGTGAATAGTTTCACACCCAGTTCCCAGTGGATTGAGCCACACAGGTTTAAAAACCCTGTGTTCTTTGTCTTACTCGTGGTAATTGCACCATCAGATAGATACCTGTCTGACAGTGTATAAGTAACCAGCCGCGAGTAATTCCTGAAGCTCTGGAGTCGGATATAAATGTCATACATGATTATCATGTTGAAGTTGCAATGATACGGCTGTTGTCTTCCCAGCAGCAATCTTCGGCCAGCTGTACTGTACAGTATTCAAATAGAATGGCACTCTTCTGCACTGCTCCTGGTATTTAACACATTTCTGGGTGCAGTCAGAGTTGCTCAATGTTCCTTAATAAATAAGGCATCAGTATGAATGAGAGGTCCATAGAATGTGTTGTAAGCACATTGCTGACCTCGATGCACAGATTAGTGCAATGGGTGACTAGGAAGGATTTCATGGTACCTGTAGTGCTTCATTACTTCATTCAGGTGATCAGTTTTTAAATTATGTGTCTAGATAATGAATATTGGATGCAATATCCTGTGAACGTGAGCATTGAAACCTTGTTTTAACCTAGTATGATCCTGCCCACACACACCCCCCACACATCTCCACACACATATCCACAATCTGGATTTTAGTTGCTTTTCTTGGAGCTTCTGATCGGCTCTGTAGATTGAATCTTCTCCTCATGCCGGTTCCCAGCCTCCCAGCAGGTCCATTTGTAACAAAATAAAGTTGCTTTTCTGTTGTGAAACAAAAAACCACAAATACCCACAACATAGAGCATAACAGGAACCTTCTGTAAAGAAACTGCAGAATGTTTTCAGAACTAATCCGTAGCATTGCTTGGCTATTCCAAGTATATGGTAAATAGGGTGATAAAATCAGAGTGGTCATGAAAGCTAATTGTTGCCATGTTCACAAAGAAGCTATTCGCTGACACAGTTGTCATTAATTTAAATTTTGAAAATTTAAGACTGACTTGCTGTGAATTGTTTGCACTGTTATTTTGTCAAATCCTGGACTCTCTTAATTTGACTTCTCCCAACTATAACTGCTGGGGATGTAATGGAGCTGGGAACTGTAATGGAACTGTAATGGAGTTGGGAACTGTAATGGAGCTGGGAACTGTAATGGAACTGTAATGGAGCTGGGAACCCACACTGCCTCAAGCTGTGCTTCCTTCGTTGTCTCTCGTTGCAATTAGTAATTCTCTGTTTGGGTTGTGTTAATGCACGTACTCACTCTGCCTCCACCTTTGCTTTCTCTGGCTTTGTGTTGCCGAGACAGCAAATTGAAATGAGATGTCTAAGCAAATCTTCTTATTAGTCTTGAGGCCTCAGTTGTGTGTTTAAAAAAAGAATAACCATGCATCACAAAGCTTATGTAGCTAGGGCAGTCTACCTGCTGAGCGTGTTGGTTTTCAGGGTTAACCTCAATTTATGAAAGTATTGATATTCTGTTCAGTGGCTGCTTGGGAAAGAATTATCTGGTCTGCGATGGCAGGACGCCACGGAACTTGTGTGCACTTTTAATATACAGAATAATGGTCGAGATGATTTATGCTGCTGACATAATTTGCTAATTCTACAGTGTGGCTTTCTCTGGGGTTTCTTTGCTGAGAGTTGATCCCAAGGCAGTTCCCAACACTAAGGAGATGCTTGAAATAAACATGTTGGCAGTAAACTGGCATGTGGATGCAGTCCTGCTGTTGTAACTCGTTCCTGCCAACTGGACTCGAATTGCTGGATCAGCTTGGTCTATTGGAGCGGTTAAACATATAAGTGTTTCATGTTGTCTACAGAGTGAGGCGTCAATTTCTGTAATTCCTTCCTTGTTAGCCCTGCAGCTCCGTGAATTAAAATGATTCAGCAACGACAGCTTGAGCTGATACAATGGCCTTCACATAGGATAACGGCTGCGAGCACAGGTCCTTATATTTTTACGTTTGTCTAAATGCTGGATCATGTTTCCATTATTTAGATATTTTCCGGTCTCTAATTTTCAATGCACGCCACTCAGCTTATTAACCCCATTAATAACACAGGGATCTGGGGCCATAAGCTCAGTTTCCCCTTCCTTTCTTCCCGCCCTTGGTTACATTGCAGTGCAAAAAATGATGCTTTCTTTGGTTGATATGGAGCAAACTCATTTTTCTAGAGGACAGAAGGCAAATAATTGTCCCATTATTTAGCTTTTGCTGTGACACATTGGTATTGCAGAACAACTTAATGAGCAACGTTGGATAGGATCTGAGTTCTGAGGCTACTGCAGCTCAGTTTATCAGGCAGCTGTAGGAAAAGCAAAAGAGCTGTGCATGATTAAGCACCTTGGAACGTCCTCCTGACGTGAAGGCCCTATATATCAATATAAATTTGTATTGTTTTGTGTATCTTTTTTTATCTATTCGCAACATTCTGGTCTGTCTTAGATATCTAGGAGAAGTATAGTACAGGCCAGTGAGTGACATTAGGCTGAGCATCTCAGCCACAGTCAAAAACAATGCCTGCCTGCATCACTGCTGATCAATGTTTTATTGCATTTCGGCATTGCATCCAGGCACTCCGAAAGAAACTTCACTTTCAGATGGGATTTGGACTACTTTTATCACACTGCTGTTGAAGTCATGGAATGGGAGGGTAGAGCAAAGAAATACTTTGCTTAATGTTAACTGTAAAAACATCCATAGAGAGATTTTCTCCCTTTTTTAAAATAAACTCCGCATTCTACCCTCTTAACAGTCGAAAGCTAAAAGTAAGGAGACTTTTAGAGGATGTCGTCTTCACTCAGGAAAGCCTTTGTAGTATCTCAGCTGGTGCTGATAAGTGCACAATTTGCCCTCAAAGTGACTTATCTTAGTGTAGAGCTGAGCAATATCTATTCGGCCAGCGTTCTATACTTGTGTAGAAATCAACCACAGACTCAGCCAGCACATTGATCACATTGCCACCATCTCATGCTAGTGCATCTGCTCTGTTTGAACAGATACAGTATGTGTGGAGCTGCTTGGGAAGGCATGCAAATATAATTTTGCTAAATATATTCCATCATTGCACAGGCCGATGAACGTTTAAACTGGGGATCACCAGTTAAACATTAGGAAGTTGAGAATAAGAAAGGAAATCTAGCAGAGCATCATTACTGAAAGACTAACAGACTTCCAGCGTCTGTCACAAATTAAAGTGTTAGTTGGATCAGATTGTCTTTTCCTGTGCTTGAAAGGTTTGTGTCCTTTGTCACAAAGTGTGCATCATTTCTTGTAGTTGGTTCTCCTCTTAATGAGCTTTGTGTGATTGAAGAATCACGTTCAGTGCAGACAGCTTTTTGCTAATGTTGTTCTATGTGGAATCATGGAAGGAACTGATGTGGTAGTCTGGGAGTTTCATTTGGTGGTGATTTTCTGAAACTATCCCTGACTGTAGTTAATTGCGTTAATCTTTAAATGTGTAACACATAATCAGTTGTTACTCCTGTAATTTTCCATGCTTAATAGTATAATTTTCTATCACTCAACTTTTCACAGTTCATGTGAAGAACAGTAAAAAGCTGAATGTAAACATCATGTTGTAGTTTGCTGTTATAAATGTAAATTTGTATTATATTGTAATTGCATATGTTAAGGTTCAGCTTCAGAAAGAGTAGATCTTTTCAGGGGAAGAAAACATTTCACAAACACAGCCTACAGGCCATAGTGGGAACAACACCTTTTACATAGAATGTCCAAAGCACTTTAGGGAGAGCCCAAGCTGGGTGGGAAATGCATGACAAAACATTGTACTGTATACGCAGACTCGACATTTCAATTCTCTTTTCATTTAAAAATCAAGGGAATGAAGGTGTTTGGGAGCGTGTTGTTCAGTGCAATACAAGCGGAGTGTGTTTCACCAGTTTGGGATGGCAGAGAAAATGCTGGCAGAGGGAAACGCAGGCAATTTTGTAATTTCAGAAGATTTATTTATTTCAAACCCTCAATGTCTGATTTTGATATTGAAGTCAATGACTGAATAATCTGAATTCCAATTTGCACTTTGAATGTAGTTTGGGATAATTAGCCATTAACATGATTGTTTTGGTAGAATTGCAAAACAGATTGCATAATCAATAGGCAATGAATATTCATTGAGAGATTCTGGCAGTGGAGCTGCAAAATGCTGATGATACATCGCTTCAAAATAATGACCTTGAGCTGCCAATATAGAATTGAATCGCGAGTAAATGGATGTGTGAAATTGATAGCTGATTACCCCTTTCTCCCACAACAGAAAATACAAAATTGTGATTTAATGCTTGTTCACGTGTTTTATGAATACAAAGGAGCAGCTTGTTGTTATTCCCCAGTAGTATAATTTTATCTAAGTGTGTGCAATTCGAGTTTTTAATAGTAGATTTGAAATTGCTTGCAGCATGCTCCTCTGATATAGAGGTGTGCCCTTTTCCTGGAATCATAAAGCTTGTGTAAGCCAGCCTAACTTTTTTTTATTGAAGCTGCACACCCCTTTACATTTGGGACTTCAAATTTTGACATTTACACATGGACTGCATCTTTGCAATGCCTTCTTTGAAACTGTAAGAGTCCAAGTCAAGTGTCCTGCATAGCCATGCAAACAGTATGATGGTTAATCCCCTCACTGGTTAAGAATGCAAGCCCAACTCTATCGGTGGGTTGATTTTTGAGTTTTGCTTACTCATTGCTTTTTTTTTCAGAAATTGTGGATGGAAATGCAAAGATGACTCTTGGTATGATCTGGACAATCATCCTTCGATTTGCCATCCAGGATATCTCAGTGGAAGGTACAGTTTGCTGTTGGGGATTATTTTGTTACTGTATTAAATTATTTTAATCTTATGTCTATACTTGTCCTCACTATCCAAAATCAATAAGTGAATTGACACATGTCTGATGCCTGTCATCTACGTAACTGATATTCGGCTGAACAAAGATTGACTTTCTCCCAGACCTGTATATTGATCGAGCAAAACCATCTATGGGTTAATGGGTCATAGATGTGGTACCTGTAGCTCAGTGGTTAGAGCACTCGCTTTGCAAGCGAGAGACCTGAGTTCACTTCCAGGCAGGGCGAAACCTTGGGCAAGTTTCCTTACTCCACACGCCTAATAATAATCCCTCCAAAAAAAAAACAATAATAAATTGGTCATTTTCAATCCACGACTGTGGGACATTGCTGTGCGCAATTGGCTGCCGTATTCGCCCACAAATATACAGTCAATTCACTTTACAGTATATTCTGTGAAGAGCTTTGGGACGTCTAGAAGACGTGAAAAGCGCTATATTAAATGCAAGGATTATTATTATTAAATATCCCATTTGAGGCTCCAAAAAACCTGCTCAGTGAGAAACAGATTTAAGTCTGAGTCTCGGGTTGGGTTTAACATTTGGAAATCATCTAGAGATTGGACTCTGAGGACTCCATGCAAAATGCCGATCAACTCACGCTATTTCTTCACACTTTTTTTTCGCTGCTGCTTTGCCCAAAGATTATAAGATATTAGTAATAGTTGCTGTAAAGTTTGCATCTGGTTTCTGCAGAGACATCTGCAAAGGAAGGTCTCCTCCTGTGGTGTCAGCGTAAAACTGCTCCTTATAAGAACGTGAACATTCAGAACTTCCACATCAGGTAACCCCATTGACATTGCTGTTGCCCTGTTTAGGAATATTAGATTAAAAAACATGGCTAAGAAATAATAAAATAGAAATACTAATTTGAAGCAGTTATCAGACAATTCAGGCGAGTAATTCTGTTCAGTGTGCTAAGTAACGTGAGCTGCAATACAATGGATCAACTAAGTCAAATCCAAATCGAACAAGTTCTGATAGAAACTAAAATCTAAATATATCTGGTCAATGATGTGTGGGTGAGATCGATCACAGGGATTTGCTATAGACAAATGATTTGAGGCTTGCTCTTATGATTTGGCACCTGAATATTCAGTACATTATTGTTGTGTGGTGTGGGAGACAGACAGATCTGAGAAGGGTGTGGTGTTTTTCAAAGAGGTGTTACAGTTTGAATGGAGATTATTCTTATGTTAAAAGTGTACCATTTCAGGAAATGTTAATGTTGTTGGTAACTATCTATTTCGTGCTACTACTTTTCAGCTGGAAAGATGGCCTTGGATTCTGTGCTCTCATCCACAGACATCGGCCAGAGCTCATTGACTATGCAAAACTGCGAAAGGTTTGCAACGATTTACATTCTTACTCTCCTTCACGTTGTACTTTTAATGAGGATGATCAGATATTCAATTATAATTTGCATTTCTGAACCTTCATTAACTCTTTCTTTGTGAATTAGTTGGCAGAACATAAATTCAATGCAAATCGTCTGAAAGGTTTGAGAGTTAAAGGGTTTGTGCCGTGTAGAAATTAGAAAAATCATGATTTAACAAAAAAAATTTTGAACACTTTCTGTTTTGTTAAAAACTTCGTATTGGTGCAAATAATAATAATAATAATAATCCTTGCATTTGATATAGCGCTTTTCACGTCGGGAGGACGTCCCAAAGCGCTTCACAGAACACATTGTAAAGTGAATTGACTGTATATTTGTGGGCGAACGTGGCAGCCAATTGCGCACAGCAATGTCCCACAAACAGTCGTAGATTGAAAATGACCAATTTATTATTGTTTTGGTTTTGGAGGGATTATTATTAGGCGTGTGGAGTAAGGAAACTTGCCCAAGGTTTCGCCCTCTGCCTGGAATTGAACTCAGGTCTCTCACTTGCAAAGCGAGTGCTCTAACCACTGAGCTACAGGACTCCACGAAATGCCCCAATAGTGCAGACTTGTCATCATTCCACACCTGGCAAGATATTACAATGAGCTGGTGAAATAACTGGATCTGTCAGTGACAAATGGTTTTGAGTAATGACCCTGTGCTGATTTGCAGTTCATAGATTGCACTTGATGCAGAACTGTCCTGATTAAACCCTGCTAGAAATGTAAAAATTAAAATCCATTCAGTAAGCCCCGGTATAAGCAGGAATTACTTGCTAATTGTATTGGTTCGGATCCAGGCCCCAGGGATTAGTACACATGCATAGTGTGCACAAACTATAGGACATTCAGTCCTCGTCATAAACTGTCTTGAAATAAAAATTGTTTATTTTATTGCAAGAGGGTATAGGAAATATTTACAAAGTGTGATTGTGAGCCTCAGCTTGAATAAACCAAATCTTGGGCAGCTCCGAATTTTCCAGAACAAAGATGCCAAGATTGGCTTAGCTGCTTACTTATCAAGCTGAAATACTTTTGCATTCTACGTGAATTCTAACCGCATGTGTGAAAGGTGCCTCTCGGAAGACGATTGCTGATCAGCCTTAAGCAGATTATTTCATGACCTTGCGTTTAGGACACTGATTAAGGCTTTTTAACGCATTTTGCTTTTCACATCACAAACGGATGCACATGATATTTTTCAGCTGCCTTCGCTCACTGTATGTTATACATCGTCTGTCCGGCATGTAGTCTGGACTCATCTGAACTCACATGTATGTGGTAAATCGGATTTAAGAAACATTCAGAGGGATGTTAATGCTGTTTCCCCTGCATTTTGTAAATCAGGGTCACTTCCATTTTGCAACATACTCATTAGTGAGAGTGATCTTGCCAATGGCTTAGACTAATAGAAATTTACGGCACAGATGAAGGCCATTTGGTCCACTGTGTCTGTGCCAGACCCTTGAAAGCAATCCTTTTGGTCCCATTTACCTGCCCCTTTCCCATAGCTGACTAAGTGTTAATTCCCACAAAACAGATTATCACCCTGACAAGTTTCATCAAACCGTAAGGTATCATGAATGTTGAGGGCATTTGATCACTTTCCAGTGAATTGACCGTAAAATGCTGGTGTTAGACAGTGGGGTAAAGATTGGATTCTGATTGTGAAACTGCAAATCACAAATTTCTTCTTGTTCAGGGACCGCATTAGCACTTTTATAAAGTGCAGATGCTTTGTATTCGATGGGTTGAATCCCTTGCTCACTTTTAACCTTGTTGTTTCAGGATGACCCGCTTACAAATCTGAACACCGCCTTTGATGTGGCAGAAAAATACTTGGACATTCCCAAAATGTTGGATGCTGAAGGTGAGCAGGTCCCTGTTAGTTATTGGCGTCAGTCAATCTGTGGGTTATTGTCAAACCACATTTGATCTAAATCCGATTAAATCCGACGTGTGGAGGTTGGAGTTGTTTTTAACTGTGCAACTAATAACCAAGTCAATATCTCTGTCCCACGCATATCCCCATGGTAACTACCAGTCAGCTGCTCCTGCAACACGAATGACAGCAGAGTTAACAGGGCAACTTTCTCAGTGGCTTTTGCAAATACAGCTGAGTCCAAATCTCAGTGTAGCTGTGCTGTTTTAAGTTGCTATTGGGATTGTGGTTAGATTGTTATTGGAATGAGTAAGAACATTGCCTTTGGAATTTTGTGCTTCATTTATCCATGTGCATAATTGGGCATGTATTTGAATTCCACAATATTTCCTGATCTAAAGTGATGGGTTTTGTGATTGCTACTCTCTGCCCATCTGTAAACCACACAAAAGCAGTGATAGTGCAGAGGTGCCCACAAATACACTGCATTCATTTATTTATATTTGCATTGAGAAGCTAGAGGAACAGTCTCGCTCTTTCATGCAACTACAGAAATTCTGGTCATCAAACATTGTCCAAATCAGCTAGAACCAATAAGGTTGCACAGGCAATAAATTTAATTTTTTAAAAACTGCAATTATTGGTGACCCTTAAATTATTTAGGCAACATTTTCATTGCTGTGCCAAGCATGGAGCATACACATTATTCCCATTTTTATGCGTCTTTCTTCTTAAAAAAAATTGTTTTTGATCAATAGGCTTTGTTAGACTAGCATGAATTTTGATGCTGAATAGTCCGAGCATTGGTGTGTTTGAGGTACTTTTGAGGTTCAACTGCATGTGTTTTTTTTCATTTTGGATTGGGGCTTTCCCAATTAGGTCAATGGATTAATGCATTACATAATGTGCAAATGAGAGGAAAGTGTGAAAATAGGAACTGTACTGCTCAGAAGCTATGGATCCTGAATCAAAAGGGATGGTTAAAAGGGAGATAGTTGGATACTTGGCTTGTAAAGGGATCTACCATGATTTATTAAAATTGCATAGCCGATTCAGTATGCCAAATTACTTACTTCTGTTCCTTTGTTCCCACCTCTTCATCAATGTCTAAGTGCAGTGTTTTAAACTTAGAATGGATGATGGTCTGTATAATAGATTGAAAGAACTTTAACACAAATAGCTCTCAGGCTGGACTCTAGAATTAATGTTCCTGGAATATTATGGGCTGGGAAGAGGGGAAGAGAAGACTGCAACCGCTGAACTTAACTGCCACCTGCCGTGACAAGTGAGACTTGTCCATTCACAAGTTTTGATAACCAGCTCAAGAGCCATAAGCTTTTGAAATCTGATAGAAATGGGATGGAAACCCGAGAGCTCAATTTCATGGACATCACCGTTGAGAGCAGCGTGATTGTGGGGAGGCATAGTGTGGAGGGCACTGTTTCCATCACATGTATCACAAAATAGATCTGTTTTTGATAAATGTGGTTTGCCTTCCAGCTCTGGAAAATCCATGACAATTGGCTTGAAACAGTGATAGATAATTGTGAAGTGTTAAAGCTCTGTGTGTACATAGTAATAGTCCTTGCATTCGGTATAGTACCTTTCATGGGAATGGCTTAAAGTCCGTCACAGGATTTATAGTGGAGTGATTGTGTAGTTTGTAGGTAAATGGATTCATTGGGTATTAAGAAGTTTTGAATAGCTGAAGATGGTCTTCGCTGAATCTGGACAGTCGACTTAATGCAAATGCAAGACTCACTAAATCATGACAGACCTCCAGCTGTGAGTCCCACGTGATCTGTGAACTTTGTATTTCCTGCTGTCAAACAATTGCCAAGAAATACAATTGGAAGTGTGAAAGCAAAAAAATAAAAATCGCATTTCTCCCACTATTGGCATTTTAGTAAAATTGAACCATTAATAACTTAACACATTGTTTTCCTTTTTAAAATGGCTTTTCTCCTGTGTTTCCTGACAGACATTGTGGGTACAGCTCGCCCGGATGAAAAGGCAATCATGACTTATGTCTCTAGCTTCTACCATGCATTTTCAGGAGCCCAAAAGGTATCCCCAAAAAGGAATCCATGCGATTTCCAACAGTTTTTAAAAACTTCTCTGGATAACCACAAGCTTTTCTTTCCTCCCACTCCCTTCTCCTTCCTGTTCTTCAGCTGATGTGTGTTTAGCCTCCATGCTGAACTTTCTGCTCTTGGTAAGAATGTCCCACGTTGCATGCTTGGCAAGCGTTTGATTCCTCTCTGGTCAGAGCTCGGCTCACTTTGTTTTCTCAATCTCTTCTTGTCTCCTTTGCACAGATATTATGAGCACGCTTAGGCCGGATGAAAAGGCTATAATGACCTATGTTTCATGTTACTACCATGCGTTCTCAGGTGCGCAGAAGGTGAGAAGCCCGCCTCACCCCTGTAGAATTCCCCTCCTTAGTTTCTCCTGATTGTTTTGACAAACCAGCCTTTTTCCTCTCCGTTCCTCCTGCGTTAGATTCCAGTACAATGCTGGAGACCTTAGAAATTGGATCTACTGGTAAAATGTGGCCTTTGCCCAGATCCTCCAAGGTCACCGTGGACCTCAGTTGGTTGGTTATAAATCTGATTTGATCGAGATGTAATAACATTCCACTCATCCCAAATTGCCCACCCACGTTTTAGTTCATTTGCATGATTAAAAGAGGGAGAAGGGCATCCTTTCTCAGAGGGTGGGAAGTCTGTGCTGTAAACGCACCCACTCTGTGCTCCCTTAATATTAATAATAATAATAATATTGGGTTCTCTACCCAATGAGTCCTTTTTCCAGTTAATTTTGAAAACATTTCCAAGTTATTTTTCTTCCACTGTTGAATGCCTTATTGCGAGGCCAGTGCCTCTCTTTAACTGGCCTCTTGATGCCTGCCCAGCTGAGTGTGTCTTATTTATAAGACGAGACTCAACACAGTGCATAGGATTAAATCTTCATACTGCGTCATTGAACTGCTTTTGTCAAGTCTTGTACACGTCACCATACTAGTTGGTAGTAATTTTGGGGACTATACTGAGTAAACTGCTCACATAAGGGATTTTTTTTTTACAGCCAAACTAATCCTTTTTTTAAAAAATTGTCATAATTTCTCTCCCCCCCACTATATTTCTCCCAATTGGGACAGCTTTTTGATGCCCACAACAGGAGTAATTGTGTTGCTTTGTTCTCCTCTCTCCCTCCCTTCCACGTTGCATGACATTCAGGTGTTCTGTCTTGTCCCAAAGCAGAACCGAGGAGAAGCATTTGAGTGCTTTCGATAATGAGACTTTTTCTAGGATGACCTCTCTTTAGAATTCCAGTGCTTTGCCACTGGAACTGTCAGGCTGTCACTCAGTGTCTGAATCAGACACGACTCATTACCAGAAGGAGAACAACTGTGAAAAATGTTATTGGCATTCCCAAAGGGTCACTATTTTTCATTAGGAATGATCATTCCCAGCTATTCTACGCTGTCACTAAATATTTTCTTTATGACCTGACCTTTCTGTTTAATAAGTCTTGCTTACACACGCCCGCACCACCTATGATACCTGCTATAATTCAGCTTAATTAACTTCGGAGGTGGCACAATCCACCAGCAATAAGTTTATTAACCCTCCAGCAATTTCTGATATAAAGTTATAAATGTTCTTCCTTTCCTTTGTCCTCATTTGCATTTAGGTAGCTTTTATTTCATTCCCCTCCACCTGCTTTCCCTCTCTCCGGCTTTGCCAAAGTACTGAATTGATTTTTGTTCAAATGATGTGTGTGATGTGATCAATTGTTTCCAAACTGCATTAAGTTGGCCTGTGGTCTTTTTTTTAAATTGCATTACATTAATGTTGAAGTTGACTCTATTCTTTTCGTGGTATCAAGTCTTTCCCATCAAATTCTTGCCCTGGTTTGAAGTGACTGAATTTCTGAATGGTCTGTAATGGTTGGTTATGCAGTGAGTGTGTGGCAGTGAGCAGTCGTTCATGACAAATGGCCCTAGTGAAAGGATGTCTGACTCCACCACAAACCAGTGAGATTGTCAATATACGTTCAGTGTTGCATGATCAGTTTCTTAAAAAGAGTGCTAGGTTTGCTCTGCTCACCACAGTTCTACCCATCCTCATCTCCCTGGAAGGAGAGGGAGAAGTTTTTATTCACATCCATTTCTGGACAGAATGTGTACAAAGCACAAGATTATTTTTTTCTAAAAGTCTGGTTTTATTGACTAGGCCAATCGTGCCTTTCTTTTTAACACAAATTGTTTTTCCACATCAAGGGGGACAGTTCATGTGAATGATGCAGCACAGAAGCCATGATTGTGCTTTGATGGCTTCTGCTAATCCCTCAAATTAAGTTGTACAGATGTAAATGCTAAATGTCAGTTGCTCTCTGAACTTTTTTCTTGTTGCTCATTAGGAAAATGTCACATGAGCAGCTTCCTTCTCTTCTCATTCTGTTCATGTTGCTGTGCAGGTACAGACCTGGGTCTGGTGGCAGGTTTCCTTCACTACACTTGCTGCTTGTGTTTTACAGTCTTACACTGACGTTGTGCGTTCTGAATTTGCTCCTTAGATCGTGCATGAATTTTCTCACTGATTTCTTTTGTTCTGCCTTCAATAACATACAAGTCTTTTTTTATTCAATTCAATATTTATCAGAAAATAGCATTTTTTTAAAAAACTGATCGTTGGAGCTCAATCAACTCCTTAGTTGCAAAACACATGACCTGTGTGGAACCAGTTTGGAAAATCTCTTGTTTTAGTTCATGCCAGTCAGGTTGGTGTTAATGCCTCTAGTACATCCAGTGATCCCTGCTGAAATATGTCCTTGTGTGGACATCGAGTGAGAATAGAATTGGGTTTCAGCAATGATTTTTGTCTCGTTCCTCTTTTCCCTCCCCATCCGCCCATAATCACTTATGTTTACTTTTACTTAGTTAATTTAGAACCCCAGCGCGACTCAACAACTTCAGGGAAAAAAGGGAAAGAAGTTTGCGGTGGGAAAACAAAGCTTTTAGTCTCCGAGATATTTCCATTTGCCCAACACGCAATCAGTTTCTCGATCCTGTTCAACACAGCTGGCTCCTACTGCACCAGTCAGTGACCTGGAATGGATTCTGGTGCAGTTGCTGTGGATCACTGCATGCGTATTTACAATCTCTTATCTCCCTTAACTAAATATGGAATTTAACTGCTAAATGAGAATATTACTGAGTACATCAATATTGGTTTTGAGTGGCCGGTGGCAAACAGCAACCTGCACCCGATCAATTTATTATTCCTCTAAATGACTTCTGAACTGGAAGCCTGACAACTGAATGACTTTCAGCTCTCACGCACCCTAGAAAGGATAAAGCAGTTTCTATGGATCAGTTCTTCCTGCTGACCCACTAAGCATCCAAGTAACGTAAAATGTCAATAGTAAATGTTTCCAAGAGGCTCTGGGTGCTAGGCATCAAACTAGCTGCAACATGGTCAGTCCTCTATTCTCTATAAACCTGATTTGCTTGTTTTTTTTAAATCCCTTGTTCAGGATATATGTCTCAGTGTGCTCATACTAACTGACTGTTCAATTAAATTAATCGCTTGACCACCCACTCGCATTTTGTTTTGCTCGTCAGTCCTAGGCCAATTAAAAATAATTTGTATGTTTTAAAAACGCAACGCTTGTTGGTGATTGTAGACAGCATCCCCGTGTAAATGATGTGATGTGAACAAGTGTGTTTGTTAGTTTTGTTGCCACATCTACAGATGCTCCTTACCACTGCACCTTTGCCAAAGCATTTTAATGCAAACCTCCATTCCCTTCCTCATAAATATTATTTCATGGAGACAAAAAACTCTCATTTGTTCCAACAGCTGGTTCACTTTGTTTGATATTCTGGTGCTGGGCTGATGTTCGGCTTTCCTATTTCATTCGCGTTTGTGAGATGCATTTGAGTTGGACTGTGAATGAAGTGCAACAGTTCTATTTGTTTTATAAATACATTCTTTACTTAATTAAGATATTGTTAATGTACTCCTATTTTTTGGAGGTGCGAGCATTTTCTCTCACACGTTTCTGTACTTAATTTTTTTAAAAATCCCCCGATACATTTGTATTTGTTTGTTTTAAATGAAACAAGACGGCTCTTTTAAAACCAATTTTCCTGCCTTTCCGGTCCTTTCCTTGAGGGTGTCCCTGCATCTCCGACCTCTGCTCTGAAACCATCCCCTAGAAAATGTGCAGAAATAACATTCTTTCCAATAATTGTGTTGCTTCCTGTTCGGAAGTTCCTGGCCTGCACTTGACACCTCCATCAGACCTGACCCTCTCGAGTGCCTCTCAGATGCCGATCGCAGTTCCGATTTCTGTGACTTCTGTGTCCAAATGGATTTCCTTTGGTTCAGCTGTAAACCCATCTGGGATTTGCCAAATACTGCTCCTTTTGTGAACCTGGCAATTTAGACCCATTGTCTGCTCTTTTTCCAGCAGTGTCAATCTGAACTCCACAATTCCTTGAGGGAATGTTGTTCCCAACTGCTGCTGGTAGTACACATCTGGAGTTTCTTATTGCCATCTGTGACCGTCAGGCTTTGTGCTGGTGGGTACAGGTTCACTGCAGCAGTGTTATTGCAATGGGTCTACTCATCCCAATGACTTACTCTGGCAGCAGTGTAAAGATCTGCTCATCTCTACATCTTTAGTAGCAGTTACATTATAATAAAAATATGCAATCCCTTGATAATCCAGTAAGATTGTTTTTTTAAAAAAAAATTGCTGAGAAAGGCTTGCGCTTGATATTGTTGTAGTGGGGAGGCAGGTGTGCGAACCACAGCCCCAGGTCTTGATAAGCGAGCTCCTGGCCCAGTGGCAGGGGGAGAATCCAAGATGACTGGAGAATTTGGTCGGTACAGTGAGCTGCCAAAGACCCGGTATGTCTATCCGGCCTCTTTACTGCACGTTCACTGTGCTGCATAAAGTGCACTATCGTAGCCGTTGGGACCTTATTTGCATCCTCATCCGCTTTTCAGGATTAGTACACAGCCGGATGCCATCTTGGTATTCCCTGAAAATAATAATCGTTGCATTTGATGTAGCGCCTTATTAAGTTGTTGAGACGTCTCCATGCGCTTCACAGAATAATACTGTAAAGTGAATTGGCTGTATAGGTTGGGAGCAAAACAAGACCAAGCGAGTTGGCTGGTCTACATTTTCTGTTCCTTCAAATTATACTTCAGTGCACTAATATCATCTTGAAAGTAACCAACAGGAAGCAAATTTTTTTTTTAGATTGAAACAGAATCACTCGAATTAGCATTTTGTCCATGTTCTAGCTGGTGAAGCAAACAAAGTGTATGGAATAGAACTGCCTTTTGTTGAGTTTTGAAGAGTCCCGTCCCCCACATGTTTCACTCTGGTGACTTTGGAAAGTCAGTTTGATTGAGTCAGAAATCCTGGCTGCTGTCAGTCTGCCAACCTCGAGCTCTGTCTTGCACCCTGTGTCCCAGGCACAATCATGTCATCTGCACACAGCCCACCAGACAACCAACACTCACTGTTTTGTTTGGCAAAGGAAGAATGCGAATAGACACTGCAGAGCCATTGACACCTGGGGAAACCATAGCCCAGAAACACTCGATTCCTTCCGGAGAAGAGGATGAAGGGGAGAAAATTGGCCCCAAACATGTCCCATTCCTGTGGTTTTGCTGTGTGTTTAGAATGTTTGGTGGTCGCGTGGCTTCCCCAATTTAACAGAGCATGATACAGGTTCCTTTTTGGTGACTGGGCGAGTGGCACATGTGGGGGCAATATGCTTTGTGGTTTGGGGAGTTTTATGTGCTTGCACGTGCTCACGATTTCCTTTCCTTTCTTCAGGCAGAGACAGCAGCCAATCGCATCTGCAAAGTCTTGGCCGTCAACCAAGAGAACGAGCAGCTGATGGAGGATTACGAGAAGCTGGCCACTGATGTGAGGCTCAAGAGGTTCTCTTTGATTGCGCGAGTGCTGCTTTACAGTTGGAGGGACGTTGGCTTGAAGCTGAAATGCCCGGTGCAGATGTGAATGCCGGAGTTAAACAGTCCTGTTTTAATTTAGCAAAGTGCAGTCTTTGGCAGCCTTGCTAGGACCAAATCCCCACATGGCTTTTCACTAATATTTTTCTGGTGACATCACCCTTCACGCTACAATACGAAGGGTGTCAATATGATGGACGCTACGTCCATCACCAGCGCCTTGGGACGTCCTCCCCACGTGAAAGGCACTATACAAATTGTAATTTGCATTGTGATATCTCGCTTGGCTGAACACAAGTGTGTTCCATTCTGAAATTGGAGGGGCTGAAGGGAGATGAAGTTAGCACAGGCTGGAGCATTGTGTAATCGTCAAGCCACCTGGCAGGCGGGGCTGGCACTTGGCCTCTTGTTATCTTTTACTTTTGTTCAGTCTCACTCTGTGCGCGTTCCACAAGCACTCGCCAAGTTAATAGACCTACGTTGGTCATTCACATACTTGGAGGAAAAGTGGGACGTTTCTTCAGGTAAATGGCGTGGCAGAGATCAGAGCACAGCCCCCATTGGATCCTCTTCATATCTGAGCTGCTGCCATTACCTTCCGATCCCCAAATTAGAGGTGAAAAGGTCTGGAGCAACAGCCCCAAATCCTGCTCCATAAAAATCTTTGTTTGGAACGTTCCTCCTTTTTTTTTCATGTATAGACTAATTTCACCCATTCCCATCTCCACAATCACCCACGCCATTCTTTCTTGATAAATAATGAAGTAAGGAGCTTGAAATAACCGAGATGTAATCCATCAAGTTGTAAGTAGTCATCACTTGAACACAGCCAAATATAGCTTTAACACACACTTGAATTGCATTGATCAAAATGTAGAAGTTTGTTTTAATGGACAAGCATTACCATTAGGTGGATTATAGAATGGCTATTCTCTCACTCTTTCTTTCTATTTTTGTATATCTTTATCTGAGATCCCAATTATCAGCCTTTACATTTCATATCTCTATGACGAAGTCAGTGCAAGGGTGGCTTTTTCATATATTGAAAGGCGCTTGTTCCCTTGTGTTGATTTAGCAGCAGATTGAATGACTGGAAGATCACAAGAAAAGTGATCCATTTTGACATCAAACAGTTTTCTTCAGTTCCAACTGCTTGGCCTCTGCCACCTTCCCATATCCCATTTCCAGCTGTTGATTACTCGCCTGGTATAGAAATAACTTCCTGATTCCTCTCTTAAAATTGCCCTTCAAAGTTTGCCCTCTTGTCAGGAGTTCAGCTTGTGGCACAGATCTTTACTTTATTTTAGTACAATAAAATGACTGACAAAACCAANTTTTTTTTACATCACCATTTAGAAACGCAATGAAGTGTGTGTATGGCAGGACAGTACTTTTATACAATGTGTCAAGAGAGAACAGTGTGGAGCAGGACATGTTTAATTGGAGGTGATTGTTCTCTCCTTCCTAATGGCACTGTCTCATTGCAGCTTCTGGAATGGATCCGACGCACCATTCCCTGGCTGGAGAACCGGGCCCCAGAGAACACCATGCAGGCCATGCAGCAGAAACTGGAGGATTTCCGTGACTACCGGCGTCTCCACAAGCCACCGAAAGTGCAGGAGAAATGCCAGCTGGAGATCAACTTCAACACCCTGCAGACCAAACTGCGGCTCAGCAACAGGCCAGCCTTCATGCCCTCTGAAGGCAAGATGGTGTCGGTATGTGTTTTTAAAACAAAGTGCTCTGAAGGGGCAACGCAAATGAGTTTCCAAACGGCGAATTCACTCTCCGCGAGTGATGTTGCCTATCGGCTGCGTTGGATTCGAATATTGTCACGGGTGATTAATCGTGAAAATCCTGTTGTTTGGTTACTTTGTCCTGTGCTAGGTGCCGGGATGATTTGATTTGGTGCAGTAGCCATCAAGCAGTGATACAAAAAAAAAAAATTTTTTTTATCTTCGAGTCCATGTAAATTACTGTTGGTGTTGCCCTGGGTTGAAGAGGGTGAACAATTCCAGTTCCAACTGCCCGCTTACTGTGGAGTTGTCATGGGTCGATGATTGTTGGTTTTGATAATTGCAGGATGTAAACAATGCCTGGGGTTCGCTGGAGCAAGCAGAGAAAGGCTATGAAGAGTGGCTATTGAATGAAATCAGAAGGCTGGAGAGATTGGACCATCTGGCTGAAAAATTCAGACAGAAAGCAGCGATTCATGAGGCCTGGACCAATGGTAAGTTATCATCGTCTGAAAACATGAGCCGAGCCGGAGCTTGCTGTAACGAGTGTGTTTCTGTTCAGTGCAGCCTTCAAAGGGTGCTCTCCACAATAAGGCACTTCAATCTTTCAGCGCAAGCTGCAAATGGTGGGATGCGAGTTAGCCATAATGATCTCCCATTGAGAATGTTCAGGCCATGAGCAGACAGAAGAGTTAAAACTGAATATAATGGAGTACACTATTGCCATGTTTCTGCAAATTGAGCCTCCCACTCAAAGTACTGGGGTGCTTGTCTGATTTACAGTCATGTACAGTATTCTAAAGTTTACTGGCTGATCTCAAGCCCCCAATGCATACATTCTATGGGAGAACCAATTCACGGCAATACTCTTTTTACTTCAGTTCTTTCACCAAATAATCTCCAAAAGAAAGCAGAGAGGTTTTACTTTTACTTAGTTAGGGCAGTGATGGGGGTCCATTGGGAGTTGCCCAGACGTATCTCAATTAGACCCTTACAAACTGTCAGGGGGAGAGTGACAGCTTTAGATTTTATTAGTCTCTGGTGGATTCCTCTTTGAATCTGCGTGTGAGTAAAATTCTTCCTCTGCTGTTGTATCATGCTGAATGCAGATTGTCAGCACATTTCTTTGCACTAAATGTACCATGTTCCTTCTCTACAATATAACTATGGTAAATTCTATGCTGGGTGTAGGCTGCCCTCAAGAACAAGTCATCCTCTTGAATCCCACCAGTGAAAATCTCAAGAGATGGTCATTTTTAATATAAGTGTGCCTAAGTTCTGAATTGTGAAAATGTCTGCTTTACTCCTGGTCCTCAGTCAGCCCTGCTGCTGCTTTGGCTCCTTGGTTTTCTCCCATCCCTGTTCTTTCCTTGCCAGTGACCGAGTACCTAGCCTCTGCTTAATCATCCGTGAATGACGTGAGCAACATGCAGGCCACAACCTGTGAGGAACCAATTGGCTAGAGCCCACATCCTGTTCTTATGCTGGAGCCTTGCATCTGTGCTGCCACATTCCCTTCTCTATGTCTCCTGTGAAATTGAGGATGTGCTGTGTTTTAATAATAGAGTTGGGCTGGCAGCCCAGTGGCAGAGCATGTGTGGTCGAGGAACCCCCTTTAGGGCTGTGCTTCCTCATACAGTGCCTTTGGATCTCAGCCATGTTGCTGGACAGATGTGGAACCAGAATATTGTCCAGTCAAAGCTGAAGTGAGGGTGGAGTCGTCCTGGCACATCTCCTGCCAGCTGGTTAGTCATTGAATCGCTAGTGACGTTGCCAGTGACCATCTGCTTTCTGAACTAAGTTGTCGGGAGACAGGGAAAGGGAAAGGGATGAATTGCCGAGAACTGAATATTATAGTTTTAAATGTTCGGCTTTACAGAGTGATTGCAGGTCTTTTTCCACTGCAGTTTTCCTCTTCTTCCCCACTCTTTTTTATGTGCGTCTCTCTCTTCAACCATCACACCTGCACACACCAACAAATATATATCCCCAGGAGGTTTTTTAACTTAATGGAAGAAGTTAATTCAGGTGTTCGGTCTAGTGCGGTTAACAATACTTAGACTGATTGAATGCAGTCTTTGTCTCCCTGTTCCAGGTAAGGAGGAGATGCTGATGGCATCGGATTTCGAGACAGCTTCGCTGTCAGAAATCAAGGCCATACTGAAGAAGCACGAGGCCTTCGAGAGCGATCTGGCTGCTCACCAGGACCGTGTTGAGCAGATCGCTGCCATTGCCCAGGAGCTGAAGTACGTCTTCATTTCAAATTGAAGTTCAAAGTAAAGAAGTAGAATCAAGTTTGCGAGTGAGGCATGAAACGGTGTATTTGTGAGGGTGGGGGGATTATTCACCAAATTACTGGGTTTGGCATTCTCTCTTTTCTTCCTGCCACCCACCCACCACCCCCACTCCCCAGATTCGTCACTGTAAACTTTGAATGTGTTGATATTTTGTTGTGTGACATGTCGGAATACAGGTCTCCGCTGACTGGTGAACCGGCTAAATCCATTTTATTTCTCATCTGGCAAGTCCTCTTCTTGCTTTACTTCCAGTTGTTCCATTGAAAATAATGTAGGAGAAATCTGCAGAGATGAGAAGTAAACAGAAGGGGTGAGATGAGGTTTCTGGGGCCAGACTTCCTGTGGCTGTGATTGCTGACAGGGCTCACTCCCTTCTCATTCCTCGTGGTTACAGTTCAGGCATTTTATTTTGTTCCTGGACCTAACTTGCTGATTTACATAAATAGGCAAAAATATTTGTCTTGTATTGTTGCTTTGACTTTTGCCTACAACATGCACAGTCACTACACATTCCTGCCTTGTCATAGTTCTCTCAGCTGAGCTCTAAATGAAGAGGAAGAAGTTTATACTCTGTGGCTTGGATTGCAAACCCAGAGTCTAATCTCTATTTGTCTACTCTCTCCCCCCCCCCTCTTTCTGCCCCCCCAATACCACCTCAATGTAAACTAAAAGGGCAGGAAGAGGAGTTAATACTGGCACAAGAGAATGGATTTCTTTTTTTGTTCTATAAAAGTGCTTAGATTTGCAGCTGCTCGTACAGCTCCTCACTGGCCTATACATTATGTTGAATTAAAACTTGGCAGATCGACGTTAGGTATTGACTCGGATGTCTTTTATTGGAATTCCTGTAGTAAAAGCTGAGTAATGCTGTGCTGTGGTGACCAGTCTGAGCCAAGTCTGATGTGTGTGTGTGATAAGTCTGAGGTGTGGTCAACATTGGAGATGACTCCAGATGTGATGACATACTGAGTTAGAACATAACTTTTTTTTCCCCTTATCTTTAAAATGCTGCTTGCTTTGTTAGCTGAGCCCTTGTTGTAACGTGCCTGGAACGGTGAGTGGGAGATGTGGAATGAGCTGACGTCTGCAGTTATGACATTGACTGCCAGTAATGCACTGGAGTGAGGTTAGGCGATGGTAATGCTTTCAGGTGAAGTTACTTTGACCCTTTCAGCACTTGTCATGTACAGGTCTGTCAAAAGCATTCTGAAACCTGGGATCTTCTTGGGTGTATATGGATCAGTACCATGTTACACTTTTTTCTTTGCCATCTGAATAATTGAGGAGGTACTATGTTCCCTCCCCCACACCCCTCCATTGTATTTTAGTTTCCCATCTGCAGACCAGATGGTAGATAGATTCTTCATTTGCTTCAGCTGAACAGGCCTTCAGCAACTCAGTGAAAGTGGTCTGCTTTTGCCTTTGCCTCCATTTCATGACTCCTAGTTTAGTTACTACTTTTTCAGAGAATGAGACTTAAACATTGACAGTCCAGGTGTGTGTGTATGTGTGGGTTTATACAACATCTTCCATTAACTATGTTTTTGGTCTTTACAGCGAGCTAGATTACTGGGATTCTCCAAGTGTGAACGAGAAATGCCAGAGGATTTGTGATCAGTGGGATAATCTTGGAGCCCTAACACAGAAGAGAAGAGATGCTTTGGAGGTACTTCAGTCTTGCAACTGTTTCTTTATGGATTGTTTACACCAAAACACGCAGAATCTGGTTTCTCTATGGAAATTTGCTTTGGAAATTTGGTTTGTGTGAGATCAGAGGTTTAAACAAATTTCTTTGCCCCACTGATTTCATTTAAAAATGCTGCCCTTGGGAGAGCATTATATTGATAGGCAAAGCTTGGTTTGACTCTGGGTCCAGCTTTCTTATGTAATTTGTGGCCACCTCAGCTTTCAGGAAATGAGTGAAGGTATTTGCAATGGCTGAAGTCATTGCAACGCAGGGTAGTTATTTATTCATTACGTAACAAAATGGCATGTCAGCATAGGTTACAATTTTACAGGCTCCAGCAAATTTCGTGAATCTGATTTTCATAGGATATTGTTGAAGGGTACCTTTTTATCTTTCGTTGTCTGTTTTTGAGTAATGAGATTCACCTTTAAGTGGAGCAGAATGCCAGCTGTCCTATGTGAAACGTGGCAATTACTTGTCAGAACTGCGAGGAAGGGGAAAGAAAAAGGTCCACTTTATAGCCTGCACACATTCGTGAGCAATGAGTCATTGCACACAAGATTGTGAACTTGTCTCAGTGCAGTTCCTGCGTTTACAGGAGGGGAAGAAAAATAATCTTTTCTGTCCTGTCTGTATACTGTCTCCCAGTTCTGGCGGATTCAAATGATTCCACCATCTTCAATCAGGAAGAATCTATTCCACAGACCGTCTATGTTGCTTATCCTGTCAGTCCTTGTTTGTAAATGTGTGGATAAACAAGACAGACAAATTAGCTGGTAATCTTACGTGGTGCTTGACTAATACCTCCTTTGAGTGGTGAACCTTGTGTATGTTATTGGATAAAACGTGACCTGACCATCAACAACAAAATTATATTTATAGAACGCATTTCACCTTGTTTAGTAAACAGATCCTGTGCTTAAATAGTATAAGTTCTGATGTATCTTTAAAAAAAATGAAACCTGTAGTTTATGAGATGGCACAATATGTTGCCTGAATATTACATTGACTAATTCACATTGATGTTGAACAAGCAGTTTTCATGTACCTGATGGTCACTTTCTTCTGTGGTCAAGCCATGTTCAGAGATAAGGACTGCTTTAACCTACTCTGGTTGCAGTTAGACTGAAGCTGGTGGCCTCTCCCTTTTGATTTGTTGAATGATCTTTTTTTCTCTCTCGATTTCAGAGGACAGAGAAGCTTTTGGAGACCATTGACCAGCTGTACTTAGAATATGCCAAGAGGGCAGCTCCCTTCAACAACTGGATGGAGGGAGCCATGGAGGACCTTCAGGACACTTTCATAGTTCACACTATTGAGGAAATCCAGGTACTCACAGATCGTTAATGTGGTACCTGTCAGACACACACTGTTGTCTATACCTTTCCTATACCCGATGCTATTCACAAGCATAACAAATACATGCATTTTGTACTTTGGCACAGGAATCCCACTGGGTAACATTTTTACTGCTGCTATTTCAATCTGGATGTGCAAACCAAAACTAGTTAACACCTTTGCTAATGTTGGTGTGAGTCACTGTGTCTTCCGTTCTGTGCTTTGATACTAACACTTCAACACACTCAGAGCAATTGGAATCCAGCACAATGTAGCTTCTGCAGCACAAATAATTTCAATTGGAAGTTCCTTACTTTGCATTTGAGTGGTTAAACAAGACATAGGAATACCTACCTGGTTGTTTGGTAAATGTATTATTGGCTGAGGCCATCTAGTGGTGATCCTCATGGACAAAATATTGGGCTTGATCTCAAAAATGAGACCTGCTTCAACTTAGCTGAAAAACGGGTTTTTAAACAAGAATCCTGAAATTATTGGAAAACGTGTTAATAGTCTTGGTTGTATATTAAGCCAACTAGAAGGTATCAGATATCTTAACACACTGACCACTTGCTGCTCATACCAAGTCACTTTGACTTGGTAAATGTCGATGCACCTCTTCTCTACTGCGTGCTCTGCGTTTTGTGGCTTTCTCCAGCATCAGTACCAATATCTTTAGGCCAATCGGTAGGAGCTTTTTCGTGCGGTTTCTGTTTTTCTCCTCTCTGGAATGGTGGCATGTGGACCTGCACAGGGCACATTGAAGCAAGCTGACGAGAGAACGAAGTTCATTTTTACAACGCCAGTGTGGCAATAACAATCTTGTTTGCAGATGGATGATACCAGTGCGGTTACAGTGTTTTTTCTTGGGCTATTAAAGTTTATGGTCCTGCTGACAGACCCTTATAAATATGAATGTCTCCTGACAGGCATGTCATGTGCTAAATATTTCCACCTATGAGGCAATTGTCATCCAACTGTGACTTTGCCGGGCTTTGAGGATATTTGTTGTTGCAGGACCAGCCCTCTCGCCTTCTCTGTTATGCAAGACCATTCAAACGCTGTAAAGGAGCCCTTTTTTTAAAATGAAATACATTATCACACGAGAATTATTTAGGTATTTTATCAGGGGAACACTCACCTGAACAGAAACGGTTAAGAAAGCACAACATTTCTAAAACAGCACAAAATACAGGCTAAGAACTTACCTCCAACACAACTTGCATCTCTTGCATTTTTGAAAGTGAAGTCAGAAATCGGATCTTGAAACCAAATAAAAGTGTGGAATGGGTGTGATAAAGTACCTATCAAATGATTTGAAGCAGATTAAATTTTCTGCACTTTGCTGTATCGCCTACCTCCATCCTATTTCACACCTAAAGTGGTCAAAACTTTCATTCATGTCTTTGTGATCTCCAGATTCAACTTTTCAAACGTCGTTCTCGCTGGCCTCTCCAGCTCATCCAAAGTTCTTTCTCTCCCTCTCTCTATTCCTCCGTCTCACGCTCTCTCTGTCTTCAAAATCCATGACATCACTTCCATCCTCTTACACCTCCACCCACCACCATTCATTTGGTGACCAGCACTGCCTATGTAAAGTACTCCCAAAACTTCACGTGAAAAAGGAATTATACAAATGCAAGTTCTTGTAAAATAGGTTTTAAAAAATCAGATGATAGAAGCCAATAGCTGTGTTAACACTCATGTAAACGTTGAATGAATTGGAAAATACATTTGGTATAAAGTGTATCCATGTTGTCACCAACCCCATGTTAGATAAAACATCAGCCACTGTCTTAATGAAAATTGTTTGTGCCTTCTGACACTTGTTGGAAAGTGCATGTGTAAATATTTAGGAAGAACATGAGGGGATATGGGGTTCAACCTGTGATACCACATACTGTAATTAATGGTTCAACACTGCACAGCACTCTATCTGGTGGCTAGTGGGGGAAGTAGGGTGAATATGGGAGAGGGAGCGGGAAAGAGAGAATAGGGAAGGAAACTGTGCAATTTACATAAATTGACTATATTAATCCACCAAATGTGTGCAGCAGGCAACCAAGCTCCTGTTTCTTGACCAAAATCTCGTTTCAGCGATTTGTTTTTGCAAAAAAGCGAACTCTGAATACTGGAAAGTTCCATGTATCCACATTGTCAATAGCCAACACATTTTAAACATTAAAAATATAAAAGATCAGCCACTCCTATTTCATTCTGAAATATCTGGATTTGAATGGGGGAACACAACTCCTCATTAGTTTTTGTGTGAGAGAGTCTGTAAATGTCCAGGTCATCTGTTCTTGCAGAGTGCAACTGACTTGAATATGCAATAGTGGGTTTTTAATATAAATTATAAATGAGCATTGCCAGACTGTAGCTGCTTTTTAAAAGCGGAAATAAAAAGCTGGCGCATGGGTTGATCTATTCCATTTGCTTTTGTCTGAAGTCCTTCTCAGCTAGTTGTAAGAATTGGAAGGAAGTTTGCCAACAGAATATCAACATGTCAGTAGGAATCTGCTACATTTGCTCTTAACCATAGCTAACGCTGATAGCTTTGCCCATACTGGAATAACGTAACCAATTCTTCATCATATTTATACCACAATGTTCTGTTATTGATGGACATATTTTCGCATTAATTCTAATTCTAATCTGCTGCATTAATTCCTCTACTCTGTATGCCATTTATAATAGCTATTTTAGGTGTCTGAGTAACATTCCGTTGGAAGGACAAATGATTCTCAAGAAGAGTAATTTGCTGATATCCTGCTTTGTTGCTGGAGACGTTCAGCACATTAATGACCTACCTGTTGGTGATGTGATGCTTCTTCCTGCACCTGTAGGGATTGATCACAGCTCATGAGCAGTTCAAAGCCACACTGCCAGAGGCTGACCGCGAACGTCAGGCCATCCTGGGCATCCACAATGAAGTGTCCAAGATTGTCCAAACCTACCACGTCAACATGGCAGGCACCAACCCTTACACCACCATCTCCCCACAGGATATCAACGGCAAGTGGGAAAAGGTGAGAATATAACCTGTTGCTCAATTTGGAAGGAGGAATTTTACAGAGTAAAATTTTACAGAGTAGAATTTCACAAGCTTGGTGTTGCAGCTTGTTTTGTGAAGAGCAATTTGCGTTGAGTGATTTTTACCAACTGGGTTCTGCTTTCAGGTTCGCCATTTGGTGCCACAGAGAGACAACGCTCTGATGGAGGAGAATACTCGGCAGCAATCCAACGAGAGGCTGAGAAAGCAGTTCTCAGCGCAGGCTAATGTCATCGGTCCCTGGATTCAAACCAAGATGGAGGTAACGTATCTGAACGTGGAGGCGATCGAGTGCTATGTGCAGAGGGACTCTCCCCTGCGGGAAAGGCACTACATAGTTGTTGTTGCAGTGCCACAATATTAGCTGCGGCGATGTTGCAGGCAGTGTGAGAGCTGTACCCCAGGAGTCAATGCCCCCACCGTAGCACCCACAGTCGCTGAACTAGCTCCTGCTCAATCAGTGGATTTGACGCATGGAGCAACACCAAAATTTTGAGTTTTTATTTGGAGAAAATAATTCCAATACAACAAAGCTGATGGATTGCAGTGTGTAGAGAAGTTTCGAGTTCCTTAAATATCGCATTTTGTGAATGAATGGCGTGAATAGTGAGTCGGCCTCAAGACTGAGGTATCTACAACCTGAGCCTCTGCGGTACAATATTCACTGCTGTTTTTAAGCCCTGCTCTTTTTTGCAATTAACCAGCTCACGCGAGTGATGGAATCTGGTTTGCTATTCCTGAATGTTCTGAAGGGGTTGTCATTACACAAGCTTGCAATCCTTGTGTGTTCGCAGCTCAGGGTAGTGTTCTTGATGGTTCAGCCCTGGTCATTTCATCCCTGTCTTTCATTTGCTAGGAGATTGGGCGGATTTCCATTGAGATGCACGGGACCCTGGAAGATCAGCTGAATCACCTTCGGCAGTATGAGCAGAGCATCGTCAACTTCAAGCCAAAGATCAATCAGCTCGAGGGAGATCATCAGCTCATCCAGGAGGCTCTAATCTTTGATAACAAGCACACCAACTACACCATGGAGGTGAGTACCTTCTGAATTCCCAATGAGGCCATACGTTCTATTCCTTCTCAAGCTTCTGGCTTTATGTGTCTCGGCATCATTGTTGGAAGAATCAAAATACTTCTGTGCTGGCCAACTCCTCCTGTTGGATGATTTGCTTGTATTTTATGCAATTCCCTTTTACTTTCCTCTCCTGCTCTGCCCTGCACTGCTCTCAATCTTTCACCCTTTTGTCCTTTCTGTAGCTCCTTCCTCTGCAATGTGAGTAACAGTAATTTGTAAGCTGGTCAGCTGCAGATCTGAGTGTCCCTTTTATCAACCGAGAAGTGATGTGAATGAAGCTTCTGTATTGATGGTGCTATTTTGGCGGCTTCTCCTCAGCATATTCGTGTGGGCTGGGAGCAGCTGCTGACCACAATCGCCAGGACCATCAACGAGATTGAGAACCAGGTCCTGACCAGAGATGCCAAGGGCATCAGCCAGGAGCAGATGAACGAGTTCCGAGCCTCTTTTAACCACTTTGACCGGGTGAGCTCGCATTCACAATTGCTGTGGATGTTTATTCACTGGTACAATTCGACCAGCATTCTAATTCTAATCCAGAACCATTAGAAAAACAGTGAGGATATTTTCAGGGAGAAACCAAAGTGAGAGTCCAGGGCTCACTGCATTAATATCTAAAAGAGCAGGAGAACCCAAAGAAGTTGTGGCTTAATGGCTGTCTTAGCTTGTAGAGAACCTGGGGACTATATAAAGAAATAAATAGCATGAGTTTGGGGAGGAATTTCTGAGAAGAGGACAGCTGCATCTTGTCGGGAAAGAGGTAACTAAGCTATTGCACTCCACAGCAGGTAACACCTTTAACCTCTGTCTGGCTGACAGCAGGATTGGCACAGGCCCGCAGGTAAAACACACCCAGGAAAGGGAAGGAGGGAATAAAATGGTGCCCTTGCATTTTAAAATAAAAAGACTACATAAATGGTTATGATTCAGTTATGCAACATTTAGCTTGTATAATAATAGCCCTTTTGTTAAAAGAACATTTTAATATGCAACAAGAAATTAGATGAAGCTCTTTTGGTATATCTTAAAAAGACATATTTATTCTGGAACCTGGCACTTTGGCAAATCAACCCTGGTATTGCACATTAAATGATGATGGAAATCAAGACACCAAAAGGATTTGTTTTTTATTCATATTGATGAGACATTCACAGAGAAATGCTACTTCCTCGTTGCATGTTGAAAGCTGTTCTGAACATTGTGAATTGAGTAAGTAGTGAAAACCTTATTAAGAATGTTCTAATGTCTGATGATACTGATGCGAAATTAAATGACTTATTAGACTTATTTCGAAGGAAGCCTTAGTTTAGAGAAGGCGCTGAGAATCTCTGTGACTGCTCTCACTTCTCTGTTACTGCATTGCTGTCACTACATTTACTTAACCAGAGTGCTGTGTGCGTCACTGCATTAAAAGATGCATCCACTCTTGGATGTGCTGCTTTGTTAAATTCTACTGTGAAATTTTATCCACCTTAAGGTTTTCAAATAACAAACCAAACTGTTCTGACTAATTTCACGGATTAACAGGAGAACAACAGGGAGGTACATTAATTGTCATTTATGTGTAGGGGGGAGAAAATAATCTGTATAAGAAGATGTTTGGTTAGAAGTGTGAAGAAAAACTTACTATTTTGTTGTCGTTTCTCCAGAAAATTTGTTCTGTAGCTCTAACTGAAGCCCTGATAATCTGAGGCAGAAACCAGGTAGCCTGTAGAACTGGAATTATGAACATCTTTTGTTTATTAATATCCCTTTCTTTGCCCTCCCTCCGCCCAAAAGATGGTTTAATCATCCCTCTCCTCTTACTGCAGTGAGTCCTGTCAGTGAATAGTACTATGGATCTCCCAACTGCACTCTTTTGCTGGTCCAAAATGACCAGTAGGAAGTATTAAAGTGCTGAAATTCTCCTGCCCATTGTTCTCTTGCTGAACGAATATTCAGGAGTCTCATCGGGATTTAAAGTTGAGGCAGAGTTAAAAGCTTGTACTCTGCTGTTTCGCAACCAGTCCGTTGCAGAAATGATCTAGAATGTCAATGGTGAGTGAAGATGACTTTTGAAAACTGATGCTTTTTTTTGTTATACGTATAAAAAATTTAGTCAGCCTCGACTTCTTTGGGGTGTGAAGCTTAAATCATTTGGTAAGATATTAATGCAACTTCTGGGTGGAAGTGTAAGGCTTATAATTTTTCTCTCTCGAGCAATCCCCTGACAAAGACATCTGGGGAGTCAGTTTTTGGATCCCTATCAAACCAGCCACTCTAGAGTTCAGCTTCTGTATTCAGGAAACAAAGCAATAGTGTTGGAACCGAGATGTTTGAACTGTTGCGATGTCTAACTTTGTGCACTTTGTTTTCCTCTTTCATTTGCATGACTCTTTCTCCACCTTCTCCCTTTGCATGTTCACCTTCAACCATTCACTCCCTCCCCACCCTCACCCTCCCTATTACTGTCTCCATCACCATGCATGCTGTACCTCGTGGCACTGCCTAACCCAGGACCATTCTGGCACACTTGGAGCAGAGGAGTTCAAAGCCTGCCTCATCAGCTTGGGGTACGATATTGGAAATGACGCACAGGTATTGACTGATGGTATCTAATGTGAAGCTGTCTTACCACGTGCATTGAATAAACTAAACTTGTATTTTTTTTTCTTCCCGTTATCTGTCTTGAACCTGTCGTCTTTGTCTGTGTCGATTTCTATTTGTGATCTGACTTCATGTTCAACTGATGATGATTCATCCATCCCATCAACCTGTTTTTGTGACCTTTGAACTGATGTTCTTTGAGCCACTTTCCTTCACCTTGTTCTGTGTCATGTTTCCCCACCTTCCTTTCATCTTGTGCCTTTTTCTACTTGGTGTGTCTTTCATCTTGCTGTCCTGACTTCCATTTTGCCATGGTTTCCCCCTCTGTCCTATTTGTCCTGTTGGTGTCTCCTTCCTCCTCTTTCTGTAGAAGAGGACTGGAATGATGGACAGTGATGATTTCAGAGCTTGCCTTATCTCCATGGGTTACAATCTGGTATGGTGATTTCCTGTTCCTTATGCTTTCATTTTAGTGGTGCCTGGTTATAAAGCTAGGTCGTGAATGTAAGAAATCCTGGTTACCTGCAATGTACACAAGTGACTCATATTGATTGAACCACACAATTTATGCAGTTTACTGCTGGTCTCCGTACAGACTTAAGATTATCAAATTGATTTGAGGGCTATTGGGATTCTACAGTAAAACTGCAATGCTCCCACACATCCTCTTTGTAATGAAACGTAAGGTGGGAGGAATTGGGTCTTGTTCCCTGCATTGAATCTTGCTTCCAGTCTACTGCCACACAGTTCTTTCACCCTTAGGGCCTATCTTTGTATTACATACAGACTGATGAAACAAAAGTCCCTTCTCTCCCTGTTGTGTGTTTGGGGGGAAAAATAAAGTTTTGCACCAAAAAGTCTGTTCAAGTGGGCATGAACCTACCAGATAAATTTGCACTAAAATGACTGTTTCAAAAGGTCATAAGAATGTCTAGTGTAAAATAAAATGTGCTGGTTTAGTTATTTTTTGTTTCTCTGAGATTTGGATTAAGACAGGTAGTTAGAGTAGAGGGCCCTATGCTCTACAATTTGCATTGTTATATCTGACCTAAGAGTGGTTGATGCCGACATATGGTGTACAGAGTGAAAAAGGGTAGCGTTTTCCAACATTGACTAAGATGCCTTGAAGAATCCTTGAGTAAATGCACTGTACAGTGCATCATCAAACCATTCAGACCATGATGGTCCAGGTAAGAGCCTTGGTCTTAGCTGAGTCTGCTGATCCCACTTGCAGCTTGAATTGAGATTGATCACGTTGGGTTGGGGAGGGGGAAAAAATCAGTCTAACTTCCTCTTCTATAGTTCAGTGTTTTAGAAAGTTTTGGGGGGCAGAATTGAGTTGAGCTGTAGAGACCTCCAAGTTTGAACAACCTGCAACAATAAGCTGTCCATACAACAACACCTCAACAAGATTTAACAGCTTTATGTGAGAAAGAGAGAACACTGGAGGAAAGATAACTTAGTAAAGATATATCCAAAAGAGTTAATCAATTAATTGTGGAGTTTCCAGTTACCACTGAATCAGCTTTTGGGAAGAACATTGTATCACCTCTTTATTCAGGTGACTTTAGTCTCAGTCAAATCATGAAGTCCAGCTGTAACCATCCAAGAGTTCCTTGTTTAAGTTGGCTTTTGCAAGGAAGCCAGAGACTGCCCCATGCCATGAGTTTACACCTGGTCTTTTTGCACAATGTAAAGAGTTGAGAAGAAGCGTTTCATGATTTTTTACATAAAATGTCCAGGTAATGGGATTTTATCTCAACACTACAATTATCCAGCAAGTATTCTCTTCTAGGGTCTTTTTCTGTGAGGGAACAACTGCCAGTCTGAATTCATACAAATGCAGCCATGAGTTAAGGTTCCCATTCTAACAATTGTCTACTATATATTGGAAAAGTCAGATTCATTCATTGCGCTGAGCATTAACTGTCTAATTGGGGTAGTTTTAGATTTGATCTGGACTTTTATTTGAGTTTACTTGAATTGGGAATTACATAAACTGTAGTGAATGGAAAATTGGTACAGAGTAATTTTAGAATTGGATCAAGCAAGCGTTTTGAATTGGTCGATTGCCAATTCACCACCTATCACTTTTTTAACCGGGTCAATGGAAATCTAAGACTAGGAATTCTGAAGGCACACACTTAGTTACAGTTAGTACACCGACTGAGGTCTTTGAGAGGGCCACTCCTTTAAAAGTCTGTACAAACTTCAGCGCAATTGTTCTGATTGATTTCAGAGTGAAGAGGAATTTAATCGCATCATGAACATTGTCGACCCCAACCACGTGGGTGTGGTGACATTCCAGGCGTTCTTCGACTTCATGTCCCGGGAAACGGCAGATACAGACACTGCTGACCAGGTCATGGCCTCCTTTAAAGTGCTAGCCGGTGATAAGGTGAGTTCTTCAATTGTACTGACATTGTCAAAACTAAGTCTTAAAAGAAAACCCAGCCAAGGTTGCAGTTTAGGATCACTGCCTATTAAAACACACTTGTTTGTTATGCAAAGTTGGTTGTAATGTGTTTCCTACATATGGCCAATATTCATGCTAAAATATTGACTTCCATGTCTTTGGGTTACCACTTGACATCATTTCCAGTTTGCTTCATCATGTGCGAAAAGCAGGAGGTAACAGTGACCTGATGATCCAGACGTTGACCTTTCTTTCAGTTTAAGAAGCAGCCGGTAGACAATTTTATAGATCCCGACCACCACGTTAAAACAAGGCTTCACTGTATATAATCAACGTTTTCAAGAGAAAACATTGTGGGGAGGGAAGAATTCCCCATTTCCTATTGTGTATACATGAGCAGAAGCGGAAGTTTCTTCTGGGTAAACAGTGGCATCGCCAATAAGGTGGTTTAGTTGAAATTGATATTAATTCTGTAATTATTAATTCTTTTTTTTCCATTTCCCCCACCCAAAAAAAACTTTGTAGAGTTACATCACCGCTGATGAACTTCGTCGTGAGTTACCTCCAGACCAGGCTGAATATTGCATCGCGAGAATGGCACCGTACAGCGGGCCGGACAGAGTGCCTGGCGCCCTGGACTACATGTCTTTCTCCACAGCACTGTATGGCGAAAGTGACCTTTAAAAAATCCTGCATCTTCTGGATGCAGCCAGTGTCTGCTCACCTCTATTGGCTTTAAACTAAAGAAATTGTGGAATGTCTGCTTGGGATGGCAAGTGCAGTTTACAGAAGAAATATTTTTTTCTTCAGGCAACTTCAAAACATATTTTATTATAGAAATAGGTATTTTTCTCAAAATGTTCCCCCCAAAAAATCAAAATGTACCGTTTACTTTTGTTGTGATATCTGTAGTCAAGCACAATGTCGCATTCCATGTTTTTCTACTAACGTACACCTGTTATGTATATTGAAAACAGGCCACATTGTAACTCACCACCGCACAAAAAAATTCAGCAAGTTCACTCATTACACAGCATAATAAAGGATTTATTTTATAAATATGTTAAATATTTTCAGACTTTTTTTTAAGAAAGCACCCCGCCTTGAATGTAATGAGTGTCACTGTTTATGATATTTAAGTTTTTTTAATTAAAAAAGGCTTCCATGGTCAATGCTCGTGGGTACATATATGGTTTCAAGCACAATGTCTCTGAGACGCCGTCCGGCATGGAGGGCGCTATATAAATCCAAGTTGTTGTTGTTGTTTCCAAGTGATGCAGTTAAAATCTTCAGCCGGAGAAGACAGGGTCGGTCTGCAGTGCTGGCTTTCAGATGCTTTGTATCACGTTAAGTCAGTTAGCCCCATTCCATTCAAATCTTGCTAAAGTCCATAAATGAGGAGGAAAAGCCACTTAACGCAGAATTCTGGAAATCGTTCAAGACTGGAGTAAATAGGAATGGATCGTGATGGACGATTAAGTGATCCAGGTTTTATATTGGTGATATATTGTCAAAAATATGAAAATTTTATTTATAGAATGATTTGGCTTGGAAACAGACCATTGGCCCAACTGGTCTGTAATAATATGTTCAATATATCTTGTCAACATGAGTGAAAGCAATTTTGAATTTCTTTTGGAGTTGATGTTTTCATAAACAAATCATATCCTTGAATCTATACTTCTTTGAGCTATTTGTTTAGTCTCAAAACATTTTTAAATTGGAAATAAGACCTTTATGGACACCACTTTCAAATTTTCACACCGAACCTAAGTGAGCTATGCAATAAGCCTAGGTTAGGAATGGGGCAGATATTGTGAAGCTTCCATAGTGATAAGGTCAATGCCACTCGATAAGATTTTGTTGCATGTTCAGTCTGTGCAATGACTAAATGAAATATTGCAATAAGATGGAACCAATTCTATGGTGCATAACAGTAAAGTTGGCCATAACCATGTCTTTAATTGAAGCAATGTAAGATTTGAAATACTTTGATATAACTGGCATTCAGATAATTTGGCGCAAACAGCTGTCTTAGAAATATTGCAGAGTATCAGTGAAAGAATTTTTAAGATCACCTTCCGGCCTTACTTTGCAATATTGTAAAACTGTTGATCCAATAGGATAATTCAAGCTGAGCTTTGCAATGAGTTTAATTATTTAGAATGTGGGTGAGAACTTTATGGATTTTAATCTGTGAAGAAATCATCTGATCAGAATCAACCAACTCTGTTTTGATTACACAGTGGCACCTAGTGAATTTAACCAAGAGGACAGATCAGTTATTGATCCTGAATTGAATGGTTCCTTTTATAAGATCTCGCATATGAATTGCTGTCAACTTTAGACTGGGAACATCAAAAAAACTTCTGCTCATAACAAAAGACATGCTAGATGAGCCGACTGCCTCAGATTTCTGGTGGGACTTGTTGACAGATTTCAAATATTTGCACATTAATGTATCTTCTGGCAGCACCTTCCCACAGACATATCTAGGTCTCGCTTTCTACTCAGATGTACTATTTTCATCTGAATCCGAGTCCTGATGACTTCTTCCAGCTGTGTAAATTCATTATAAATTATCCCATGTGTAGCTGGGTTACGTGGAACTCAGTTTGGTTTAGATACTCTTTGACCAAAAAAATTATAAATGACTTAATCTGGGATTCAATTATCACGCTGGTCAATCTAGCTCACTGAATATAATAATCCTTGCATTTGATATAGTGATTTTCACATCTTCTAGACATCTCAAAGCGCTTCACAGAATGGACTGTAAAATTAATTGACTGGGCGAAATGCGGCAGCCAATCGCGCACAGCAGTGTCGCACAAACAGTCATGGATTGAAGTGACCAATTTTTTTTTGAGGGATTATTATCAGGTGTGTGGAGTAAGAAAACTTACCCAAGGTTTCACCGTGCCGTATATGTGCCATAGAATATGCTGTGTCAGGCTCTCTCTCTGCTCCTGGCAGCAACCAAAACAACTTGCATTTATATAGCGTCCCCTCAAGCAGGGTAGAATCCAAGAGCACTGACATCAAGCTCCTTCAGGTACAGAACCAGAAGCTACTGTGCACTTTTCAAATTGCCCTTGATGTTGCACAAAGTGTGAGGTACAACTTCTAGCTTTCGTCTGTCTGATCCGAGACCACAATCTGCTCCACTTTTTCGCCCTAGGGATTTGAGATTTACAGATCATTGCTCTTTTATCACACAGTTGGCAACACAGAAAGGCAATTTAAGCATTCAAATTGGGAGACAATATATCAATCTTTTGTATTTCTATTTGCTGTCTAATGCATAGTACGTTGTTTGTTGCTGAGGAATGAAGAGCCAAGTGTGTGTATAATCTTCAGATGTCATGAGAAGTCACAAATAGCTTTATAATGCTTAGCTGTTGCTTGGGTTCCTGTTTAGTGGCGATGCTTTCCCACAGCATTGCCACTAGCACGAGCATGTGGGAATACTGAGCAACCAAAATGAGCTGAGTAAACTAGAAGGATGTGCTGCACACTTACACAATACCTGCTCTCGGGAATGAAGCGACTTGCAATTAGATACCAAGTGACACTTTCCCCATTTAGTACAAAGAAAAGAAAGTGTTCCTTTCTCCTCCAGATTTGTGACGTGCAAGAAATGGGCTGAAATTCAAATGTGGCCATTCATCTTCTTAATTAAAGTGACATTTGTCATGGAATTATAATGAGCACAGCACAGAAGGAGGCCGTTTGTCATATTGTGCCAGTTGGAGCTGGAAGAAAAGCAAACTAGCAGCTGCAAACATGCTATTAGATTCAGCGGAAATTTGTTAAAAGCACACTTTCGATCTTTCAAGTCGAACTTGGATTAGGAGATTAGACAAGTGGATGGGGTGGGGGAGAAGGGGAGGTGGTCAATGATTTTTCAGCTTCACTGAGCTGAAAACAATAATGTCCAAGCAAGTAAAATTTGTGGGATTGAAAGCTTCAAATCAGAAAAACCCACTGCATGTGGGGCAATTGCCTGGCAAAGCATCTCAAGTTATAAAGCACATCTGCTGCATGGAGCCCCAAGTATGTTGCACAGACGTGTGTGATCTGTGCTGTGAGGCTCTCCTGGGTCAGAATAGAATTCTGTCGAGTGCTTGTGATGTACGTGCAGAAGACCTACATTACGAGGAGTTTTTTTCCCTAACACTTGCACTGCCGTTTTCCTTTCAAAACCTTTATCGATCCCCATGCCTTGTTAACACCTCATTGTTTTTTTGCTCTCACATTGATCATTTGTAGCTCTTCCATGCACCATACAAAGACAGATGCTGCTTTACATTTCCAGAATAGGTTTTACTGCTCAGTGTCAGGCTCTGCTACTGTCAGGTGTTCCGAGATGCCCGATTATAAATGCATGTTGTTGTTGTTACTTAACCTCCAGCATCTAAAATGTAATACTTCAGAATGTGAAAGCTTATAGACTGCAGGACATTTGATTTCTATGTCTCTCATCCAAGGCTTTTTCAATCATTGTTGGTTACCACAATGAGCACAAAGCAAAGTGAAACGCTGATTTGATCACACAGAACATTTGGATGAAAAGAATAGAATTTAGGGCATAGATTTAAGGTAAGAAGCTGATAGCTTTATATAGGTGTTTTATGGATCAGTGGAGACTCCTCGCAATAGTGAGAATGATTTTAGTTTAATTGTTGAATAAACTGAGCTACAATAACAGACGAAAAGCAAATGTTTGTATTGAACATGTGTTCTGAGCTCCATCTTGTGGTAATCATCTGCATATTCAAGCAATGCAGTTATTACCTTTTAATGCTTTTTTAAAAAAACTTACAAAATTAAACAAATATTTTGAAACTAAACAGAATTGTTTCTATGTTGGACTGCTTTTATGAAGGTTAATTTTTCTCCATTGCTATAAGAGGCCCTTTGTCTGGGATTACTGAGGTTACAAGACAGTATTGAATAGCCTCTGTTTCTCATTCAAAGACTGTTGTTCTGCATCGATCATCTCCCAGAACATATGATTTTGTTTTGTGAACTTTTTGCTTGTTTTTATTTTAAAAATGTAAACACATTGTCTGAAGAGTGTATCGAGTGCACGATAGATGTCAGCTGCAGTACACTGGGATCTCTGAAACATTCCTGCACATATATCAGGTTAATCAGTTCCTATTGCAACAATAGCTGTAGTTTTTTTTTAAAAAAAGCATTGTCTGAACAGTAGATTGTCAAGAGTGTTCACTGGAGAGTGAGATTGGAAGAATCAATGACCCCAAGAAAATGTGGAATCTGAATTAACACACACAGCGAAAGGGTAAGGAACTTTGGGTTATGCAGTCTCGCTCTTTTTATTGATAGGAGCTCTCACTGTTAAACTCTAGCCCTGGATATGAAAATTCCTGTTCAGGACAATGCTGCATCTACTCTGGTTGATCCTCAAATACTTAGCATATTGAGGCCCCATCTGGAAAGCAAAATGAACTGGTATGTTTGTGGCTGCTGCATTCTGATTATCTAATGTACTTCCTCATGGAATCTGATTCAGCCAATAACATCTGTTTTCAGTCTTCTGACTTAAGGGGAAGAGGAGACCAGTTAGGCTATGGAACTTGTGGCTTTGTGAATGTCTGGTTTAGAGCAAAGAACAGTCGAAGTTTCCATCTACGGACATTAAAAAAAACCCAGCTGGATATTATAAAGGGAAGATAGACGTCAGATGTGAAATGCAGTTGGTGGGCTGGAAGGATTGTGGTCTGGTGATGGTAGCCTTGACTTTGGCGGTTAGTACTAATTCTGTAAAATTAGTAGTGTAGCACTGTTGCATGATAAAGTAATTAGGAGTCTCAGTACTCAAAGCAGCGTGACAAATGAGTGAGCAATTGCATGATAATTAAGAAGACACAGAGTAATGCAAAAGAAAGGTCTATTTATTCAGAGGTTAATCAGTGACTGGAGTGGATTACCAGGTAGGGTGGTTAAGACCAGGAAGCTGGACAAAGTGTTTTTAAAAATGATGTGATGGAAGAACTGTCATGTTCGTATTCTGGAAGGATAAGATCAAATGGGCCAAACCTCTCTCTCGAGATGTTTTTTTTGCTAGAGAAGGGCTGAGGTAACAGCGATATGCAAGAGGAAACTATATATACACACGCGTGTATTTCTTCCTGCATTACCACCCAAACCTGGATTCGTTCTTTTAGATTCCAGGCACCAGCAATGTCAGGTTATACAAATCTCTTGGGAGATTTACAAGCTAAGCGTGTTGCTAGGCCCCTAGAGAAGACGACTGCTGGTCCACAAAACTAATGTTGCTGGTCAGGCTGCAATGTAGATTGATGTTGTTAATGTTCAAAAATTCCATTATCATGGGCACAATGCAGGAGAGGGTCATTTACTGTTGCCAAGAAAAGTGAAAAGTTAATTTTCTGCAATGTTTTTATCTTAAAGCCAAGCCCTAGCCATATCATGAGAGCCAGTTAGCAGACTATTGCATTTGCATTCACACCCATTTCTGGTAAGATCCTTTTCCCACTTTACAATTGTTCCAAATTCCACCTTCTGTCCACATCATTATATTAGCTCGATAAGCTGCTTGTATTAGATGGAAATAATAATCCCATAGCTAATAAAACCTTAACCTGTTGCAGATTCTGACGCCATTTTTGGACTAAAAAGGGTGTCACTGGCTCAAAGTGTGAGGTGGCAAAACTTTTTTTTGCTAATACTTCACTTCACTCGTGGTTTTTTCAGGGTACTGAAAAAACATTGTCAAGAAACAGATTATTTAACTATTACAATACGAATTAAAAAGGGCATACAGCACACAAAGAGTTACATTGCAAAGTTCACTTTTCTTGCCTACTTCCCTTTCAGTTTGACTCTGAAATCAGTGTGACTGGTCTTGCCTGGAGAATATATTTTGTTGCTTGTACTGTGTACATTGCGGGGGTGAGTAGCTGGGGGAATAAAATGCTGCATTGTTACGCAAATATTTATCTTTACTTGGCTACAACAAAGTATCGAACAGCAACCACATTTTTAACAAGAAGAAGCCACGGCAGAACTCAACTGGAGTGGATTATTTAGTCCTTCACATTCCTGAACCATTTCATCCGAAGCTTCGCTTACTACAGTAACAATGCAGAACTGCAGTGAAAGTTTGCCGTCTTCTCAAGAGCTGCTTAAAGGTAAAGTCACATTACGAAACTACTGAATGTTCACTTGGATTTGTTCAATGCAATATTATGTGCTTTCCTTGGAGGGACCACGTTGTGGGTTTGAGAAGGTAGTGTAACCGTAAATCTTGGAAAAACTGCTTACTTGTTCATTTTGTTCTTTCCTATCCCATGATTGTAAAGCAGGCCTCTGCATGACCAAACGGGGAAATACTTTCTGTTTTGGAATAGTATCGGGAATCTTTTAACACCCACCTAAAAACAGGCCAAAGGGACCTCGTGTTTAAAGTCTCATCTGAGAGACAAATTATATTTGACAATGCAATAATTTGAACAATTTGGATTAGCTACATGGACCGTGAGCTCAGGCGTAGCATAATTTTATATTTACAGTTTGAATTGAAAGATTGGAATTGAGTGGGAAAAGTGCACTGAATTCAGCACAAAATATGTAGCATAGACTTACCAACTGGAGGGTGAAGTGTCAACTGAGCAGCTTATGTTTGAGATTTAGTGAAACTGACGGGGAAAAGAAGCCCTGAAAGTTTCTGCAAAGTCTTATCTTCGAGATAAACTGAGGGGTATTCTACAAACACAGCAACAACAAATTACATTTGTATAGCGCCTTTCACGTCAGGAGGACATCTCTAAGTCATATCTGGAAGTCAGATACGTGGAATTATAGCAGTGAAAAAGCATTAATATTCCACCAACGTTCCACAGCTGTGCGTGATGTGATGGGAGCTCACAGTTGAAGACACTGTCACGACCAGCCGGGGATGGCAGAAAATAAAGATAAAGGGGTCAGCAAGCCAGCAAGAGCTACAAGCAACCCAAACAAAGGGACTTTTATATTGCAGGTTGGCTTGGAATGACTCATACCACTGCTGGTATGACCCAAGCCCAGCGTGAGTGTATGAGACATCTGAGTTGTGGGTGCTGTTTGCAAAAGGCAGGTGCATTGGATGAGCTTTGGGTCATCTGGGCTGCATTAGTTTATAAACTGCTTGGAAACTCATTTCACGAGAACAGATTCTAAAGTGTTCCTAAGATTGCTGGTGCTGTAATTCACCGCTTAAACTCTGAGGGAGAAAGGTCAGCTGGGAAGAGGGATAGCATCAGTAGCATGGAAACTTGATATAATTCCTGAAATAAATGATATGCAATTCATCCATACATGCATGCAAAGAAGATACTGTATATAAAGAATATCCCAGAAGGCTGTGGATGCTCAGTCCTTGAACATATTCAAGACTGAGGTTGTTAGATTTCTTAAGGATAGAGGGATTAAGGGATATGGGGAAAGATCAGCCATGAACTTATTAAATGGCGGGGCAGGCTCAAGTGGCTGAATATCCTACTCCTGCTTCTACGTCTTATGGTCTTATACTGGTAGAATAAAATCCTATCACAAATTATTACCTTGTATTCTCTAACTATAGGCGGGGGTTGGCACGGAAATTAGAGATCGATGTACTGTTAATGCCAATTTAATTTTCCACTTTTTCATGGAAATTTAAGTAATACTGAGAGCAATTTGCTATCTTTTTATTTCCTTTCTTACTCTAGACCTCACAACTACTGGAATTGTTGTCATGGTTATGCTCAATGGTATAGCAATTGCCAATTATTGCATCTTCATAGAGCTATGGATATACGTACACAACAATGTCATGAATACGTTAATCAAGGAGAAAACTATGGCAGTGCTGGGCTTATTTCCTGTAAGTATAGTAATTTAAGCACCAAAATACATCGCAGATCTCGTTTCATGGTGTAAATTCTCAGTCAACTCATTTGTTGAGCCAAAACCCTAATGGATAGGATGGTCCGAGATAGACAAGCAGCAGGAAGCTTACCAGGCTGCGCTCTCAATTGCAAACTATGATTACTGAATGTTCACTTGAATTTGTGCTTTCCTTGGAGGTACTAAGTTGTGGGTTTGAGAACTCCAACAGTTCCCCAACACACACACTGGGATCCCCAAACCTTGGCTCTTGCCAAAATGTATCTAATGCTCTCCAGAATTAGGTAAAGAAACATACATCCCTACAGGGAGGGAGTGCACATTCTATTCGATGCTGGGAAATTTCCATGTGTAAGTGGCATATATATGTGGAACTTGTTTGGTTGTAGACTAGTACTAGTTTCAGTACAGGGATTTTCTTCCCCTACCCCTTCCTACTCCTTTCTCCCACTCGCACTTTACTGACATTGTTTACAAGATGTTCAGTTTGCATCGTGGTGATTTTCATCACAGCAGGACACTGCTTACGTTTGTTGTGCTGTGAACCTTCTCCTATATACAAAAGTGATAAAACAATTTCAGCAAAAACATTATGTTCTTCCTTTCTTAGGTAACTACCGTTGCTTATCAGTTGGGGATGTTTGTTCCAAGAGCAGGAGCCCTGGTGGACTTTGTGAGTGCAGTGTAAGTAATATAATAATAATCTTTGGATTTATATAGCATCTTATCACATCTTCGAGACACCACAAAGCGCTTCACAAAATATACTGGAAAGTGAATTGACTGTATATATAGTGAACGAAATGCTACAGCCAATTGCACACAGCAGTGACCCACAAACAATCATGAATTGAATAACCAAATTATTATTATTATTATTTGTTTTTGAAGAGATTATTATCCCTGGATAAGCGATCCGCCAATCGACTAACAACCAGGTTCCTACTTACTGCTAGGTAAACAGAGGTGTGTGGAGTAAGGAAACTTGCCCAACATTTTGCCCTGCCAGGAATTGAACCCAGGTCTCTCGCTTGCGAGGCAAGTGCTCTAACCGCTGAGCTAGAGGACTCCACGTACTGTACTGTATATTAAAGATGCTTTGCATAACTGCTTTGATAAGGGATCTATTTTTGATGTTTAATCTGACTTTCTCTACATAGATATGCTAGTCTATCATTATTTAGTTTCTTCCACCTCACTATTGCTTACCTTGGAGGAGTCACAGAAGCTATTGATAAACTGCAATATGTGGATACGCCATTAAATTTGGGGCCTTGCTGCTGCTGTTGTGCCTGCCTTCCAAAGGTGAAAATAAGCAGGTACAGTATTGCCATATATTTATTTTAACAATGTAATATATATGTATAATATATCCTATAGTGTTTTATCTTTATAGCTTTATATTTGCTCAGTTGACGTCCAGTGAACTATTAATCCTTCATTGTGGATGTCCTTGTTCATCTGTTGTGTGGGACTCTTGGATGCTGATAAATTGTGGATGTCACCAGCAAAACAGTGCAGAGGGGAATAAAACCAGTTCCATCATCCTTACCTAAAACCATTCCTTGTGTGTGGGCAATAAATTGTATGAAAATGCTTCAAATGTCTGATTTTTAAGACTTGGTATCTTAAATGTCTTTCTTGAAGCAATATGTACTAGCTTATTAAATGTGGGAATTCAAGTATAATATTGTAAAAGTATAAATTCGTATAAAATATATGATTAAAAATTGTGAACTTATTGCATACATTTACTATAATTAGTAGTTTATCCGGATCACATTTCACTCTGAGTAATAAAACATTGAGATCATTTGAAGTGAAGCAATATAGATAAGTACAATAATGCACTATTGAAGAAAACACTATTTGCTAGTGTTCAGGGTTAAAATTTTATATGAAGTAACTTTGATAAATTGTTCTGTAGTTTACAAAGCAAAGACTTAATCCAGGGCCCCTTCTGCTTATTAGTATTATTAATGATATTCCTTGCATTTGATTTTGTGCTTTTCACGTCTTCTAGACGTCTCAGAGCGCTTCACAGAATATACTGTAAAGTGAATTGAGCACGGCAGCCAATTGTGCACAGCAGTGTCCCACAAACAGTCGGGGATTGAAGTGATCTTGAGGGATTATTATCAGGTGTGTGGAGTAAGGAAATGTGCCATGGTTTTGCCCTCCCGGGAATCGAACCCAAGTCTCTCGCTTGCAAGGCAAGTGCTCTAACCACTGAGCTACACGACTCCACAACAACTTATTCGGGTTAACATTCAAGTGGATGTTAAACATCCTGTGGCACTTTCACAAAGAGAAGAGAGTTTCTTCTATCCTGGCCAAAACTCCCCCTGATAAAATTGTTTTTTCAACTTCATGGCTGTCTGTCAACATTGTAATGTTTGAAATTATTTGCAGTATACAAGTTCACAGTCATATCTCTTTATAGTAAATCTAGTCAAGCGATTTGAGGCATCATCCTGTCATGAAACGTACTTTATCAAAAGCAAGGAGTATTATATTACACAATGTCTGACATTTCATTCTATCAGCTATTGATCAATGAACTAAATAAAGATTAGTAAATTTGCAACATATAAAAGAGGACTCTGTTTTAAATGTGGGTTGTGTGTAATACTTTAGAAAGTAAATCCAGAAATGTAATTCTGATAATTAAAGTTATTTGGGATATTTGTTCCACAGAAAAACTTACACAATCCTTCGAATTGGCATCTTGCAGGCATTGACCCTGCAGCCTTTACTCCAGTTTATCTGTACCATTCTATGGGCCGATGGCGAATATAATAATGGACAGGTAACTTTGAATCCAATCTGTTTTTTTTCAGGTACAAGAATTCAGGCAATTCATTCTATTCGCAAAAGGTTCATTTATTATCAACAGAGTTACTTTTTGTTAGCTTCAGCAAAATTAAGTTTGCATTGTGTATTATGACCTTTGGGAGCTAACAGAAATTTTAATCTAATCTGAAATTGACACTCTAATCTTAATGATCAACTAAATTCCACTGGATCCTCGAATACCTGAATCTGGTGCTGGAATAAATTGCAACAGTGGCAAAACATGTATTGTTAGTAACCTTTCATGTTTAATTTAATTTACTGATTTGTAATGCTTTATATTTGCTTATTTCATATCTAATAAAATATTTGGCTTTGAATATTCTCACTGATGGTGTAGTTTAGAAACATCCAAATTTACTATACTTCATTTAAATCAGTTTACTGAATTACAATGTACTCTGGAAAAAATACTGTATTTCCATGAATATATGTTGTATAATAATCCTAAAGTGGCCCTTGAGGCCTGAAACTTAAGCTTGAGCTGTATTAGTAAATTACACTTCCTTTTCCAGGTACATCCAAATGATCCCTTGTTCTACATCAGGATTCTGCTGAACATGTCTGCTTTATTATCCTTGTATGCATTTAACTTGTTACTGAAAGCAGCCATTGGAATTGCAGAAACAGGATATCATCTTGTGGCTAAATATGCAATTATCATTGTCTACATCATACTTTGCAATCTGCAGCCACTGATACTGAGCAGTCTTGCAACTTACAATGTCATTCCTTGCGTGGCCTTGTATTCCTCCAAAAACAGAGCATTGCGTAAGTACTGCAGTAGCAACATCGAATTTCTCAGTACTGACGACAGATTATCCTTTGTATGCAGCAAAATACAATAGTTACACTTATAATTTGCTTCTGGATTTCAGTATTTTGCACAATGCTATGTAGTTGTAATGTTGAATGAGGATTGTCCTCTGAAATATTGCTAAGCAGTATAATTAGATTCAGATCTGAAGCTCACTGAGTAAAGACCATAACTAATATGAGCCATACAGAGCAGGTTTAAACTTCAACCCCCCACCACCACCAGCTATGACCCTACAACCCAAGAGCTATGGAGGGGGCTGCCTAGGTCTGTTATCAATTGATCCTTGCTAGAACATTTGCCTGTGCGGATGTCAGATAAAGACAGGATTAGGCTTTGTCGTGATGCTTCAGTTGCTCAAATTCACTGCCCAGGCTTCTTGTAGAAGGGGTACTAGCAATTCTTGGTCTGAATCTGAACAATGAAGGCCGGCAGGGTATTTTAACATGAAGAGGCTAGAACGTTCCATTCTTAGTTAACAGGAAATATGTGGCACGTTGTTTATCTTGACACCTCCCTACAGTCCCTATTACTGGCATTGTATTCAGCACTTCTAGAAATGTGATAAATATTCTCCAGCCCAACTGTTCCCGTTCCAATGATTCCAGGCAATCATTTCTGAAATTTTCATCTATTTTCCCCTTTCAGTTGTGTAAAGCACTTAGAAATGTACTCCCGATGTAAAAAACGTTATATAAATTGTTGCTAATTCTACATTGTGATGATAATCTCGTCCATGTCATTTTGTTTAATTACTATGTTTTATTCGAGCTACTACTGGTGCAGCGATTTAGAGAATATTTAGAGATTGGTATAATTTTTCATCATTTGCTTCCAATAATTTACCTATCATTTCTTTACAGAAATGGATCACCATGCAAAGATTCTGGAAATGTTTGTACTACTGCTTGTAAGTAGAAAGTATTATCACCAAAGTTTGCCAGAATCCACTCCACTGTATTTTGAAAATCCACTTCACAATCTTCCTTGAAAAAAACAGCATTTGATGTATTATAAGAATTTATTATAATATTAATCCCTAAATTTGATAGAGGGTTTTCATGTTTCTAGACGTCTCAAAGCGCTTCACTGAATATACTGTAAAGTGAATTGATTTATTTAGCTGTGTTATTGAGCTAAATAGAAAAAAACACTATGCTTTTTGTGCGTCTGTGGCATAAAATTCTGTGAGATGTGATGTGGTTTGTCGATTACCTTCTCTGATTACCTTCTCTGATATCTCACAAAGTCGATTTAGCTTGCTAGCTACCAGTTTGAGTATGTTTTTCTTTCCTGCTGACAGCAGATCTATGAAACTAACCAAGCAGTCCTGCTGTATAATGGGATGTAAAGAGAAAATGGGACTAGGTTAAGGCTCTCTGGCATGCTAACATTTTTATAAATTATTTTAGTTATTTTGTAACTAACAAATGTATCAAATTGAACATCGAACTGAAAGGCAGAGAGTTCTCTTTTTGCTGCTGATTCAACTTTTAGTGTTCTCAACAGGTTTTACTGTAAATTTGCTTGTCAAACGAGATATGTTCCATTGAATGTATGTTCCCAGCAACCCTCGTTGCTGAGTGATCTCTGCTGCTTCTTCATTGTCAATTGTGTAAGAAAACCTGTGTTATAAATGTGATTTGAGTGTGGACCCCAACAATTACTTTCCAAAAAATCTGGCTCGATCAGCAGTCATAATATTTCAAATAGCATTGTTGTGCTTCAAAAGCAATCGTCGCACGTTGACACTTTTTTTTAGTGAAGTGTGACGACAACACAAGAGGATCAATGACTCATTTTGAAGCTTAATATCATAATTTGAAGGATGATGTGGGCTGATGGATCTTGCCTGCTTTCAGTGTGCATGTGCAATGAAGGAACCAGTAACATCATAATGTGGAAGAGCTAATTGGTGATCATACCGTTATACAACAAGCAATAACTTGCATTTATATAGTACACTTCAGACCAAGTTACAACATCAATGATTTTAAGTTTACTTTCAGACTGAAATCTAATATATATTTACTCAAGTAACATTCGCTCATTGATAGTGGTGTAGAAAGTTTGCACATGTGAATTAATGTTAGAATTTTTTTTTGTGCAGTATGATTTATGCTGGTTCATTGTAGTACACTATAATCAAGTCATTCATATCAAATAGGTATCATTCTTTGTTACAATTGATGGACTGTACTTATTGCAGCAATTTTCCATTGCTTTCAATACTTTCATGAATACAGTAAATAAAATTGTATTAAGGAAACCCTTATTTTTGATTTCTGAGGAATAATAATTTCAGCAACATCTAAGAGCAAATGTTCACACAGCCATATTAGTAAACACAGTGTGTTTTCCATATTCCTTTTATTTTTCTCCAGTTTTATTTCCTCCTTTCCTGCACATGACGGATCATGCTGCCATATTCTTCTCCAGACACTGCGCCTCTACCATTCATCATTTCTTGTGTGTGAGGCTTGAGAGTGAATGTTGGCAGACTATTTCAGCAGCAGGGTTCACCTGGCATCCATACATGTTCATATTCCAGTAGTGGTCACTAGATTGAGATCAGAGGCTCTCTGATTTTTTTTCTTCTTCTTCCTCCAATCAGGCCTATGGTGGTTCTCCCTACATTGATTGTTTTATTTTGAAAAGCAAAGGAACTAGGGGTTTACTCTGCTCCCTTCACTTGATAAAGTAAATCTTTCAACTTATATGTAGTGTAGAAACAAGTCCCAAATAGGAACTCTCATTGTAGGTGTCTGGAGAAAACTTACATTGCCCACGAGGTAGCAAATACACATTTCAGTCTTAACTAGATTTTCAGCATTAGCCTCTCAGTCAATACAAACAATCAATTAGAGCAAATGGTAGATGCTCCATTGGAGCACATATGCAGTAAGTTAGTTAAACTAATATAATCCTTTTTATACTTGTGAGCAGATCTAGAAATATAAACAGGAAAAGACCATCACGTCCATCTGACCAGTCCCAAAGATTTTTTTAAATCATATATGCAACTCTCTCTCTTACTCCTCAAACTACTGTACATTTTACAGCACTACAATCTACAACAACAACAAGATTGCATTTAGAGAGGGCCTTTCACATCGGGAGGACATCCCAAGGTGCTGGACAGTTGGGTCGGGACCCGAGCAGGGGGGAAATGGTCAGGGTGTGAGGGGAGGGAAGGGAGGAAGCGAGGAGGGGGTAGAGAGTCGAGAGGGGAGCTGAAAGTACGGTTGAAGAGAAAGGTCTTGAGACCGGCCTTGAAGGAGGAAAGGGAGGAAGCGGCGAAGGCACTGGGGGATGGAGTTCCAGAGCCTAGGGGCTAAGAGGCTGAAGGTCCGGCCACCGATGGTAGGGCGGTTGGAGCGGGGGATGTGGAGCAGACCGGAGCCAGAGGAACGCAATGTACGGGCAGGTACGTAGGGGGAAAGTAGGTCGGAGAGGTAGGAGGGAGCAAGGCCATGAATGGCCTTGTAGGTGAGGATGAGGATCTTGAATTCGATCCTCTGGGGGATGGGGAGTCAGTGGAGGTGAGCGAGGGTGGGAGTGATGTGGTCGTGAAGCCTGGTGCGGGACAGTACACAAGCTACTTCTGTTATCAAGAAACCAATCTACAGTACTACAATCTACTTCCTTTTCCAAGAAGCCAATCTGAGGATAAGTTTCTGCAGACTTTTAAAGCTGGGTGGGTGAAATGGCTGTATCTGTCAGCGTAATTGCTCTGTGATACTCTATATCCCAATGGAAATAACCTCGGATATGTTCTGCAGTGGGAAGCCAATCTATCTCAACAATCCACATCGGTTACCAAGAATCTATCCAATTTCCAATAGAATTTGGTGTCCCAATCTTATTCTATCCCTCTCTGGACAGTCCATTTCACAAATGTGTATTGTAGTTAATTCTAAACTGTGCACCTTTCTTCTGATCTTGATCCAGTGCCTAATAATGCTACTGCTTGTAGAATGTTAAGAACTGGGGCTACTGTAGAACATATGGTAGGATATTTCTAATGGGATATAATAATAATCCTTGCATTTGATATAATAATAATAATAATCCTTGCATTTGATATAGCTCTTTTCACGTCTTCTAGACGTCCCAAAGCGCTTCACAGAATATACTGTAAAGTGAATTGACTATATATTTGTGGACGAACGCGGCAGCCAATTGCGCACAGCAGTGTCCCACAAACAGTCGTGGATTGAAAATGACCAATTTATGTTATTGTTTTTTTTTGGAGGGATTATTATTAGACGTGTGGAGTAGGGAAACTTGCCCAAGGTTTCGCCCTGCCTGGAATTGAATTCAGGTCTCTCACTTGCAAAGCGAGTGCTCTAACCACTGAGATACAGGACTCCACAAACAGGACTTTAAGATCAAGCATTTCAGCTCTAAAAGCCTGTAGAAAATTAATCTCCCACAAAATTCATTCCATAACGATTTAGTATCATTCTTAAGTGTTCTTATTTCATTATGTTTCACAGTTCAGGTGCACTAGCACAGCTGCATTATTTAATAACTTAAAAATCATCTTTGTTTCTGAGTAATTGAATCATGCTGGAAATCGATAGAGATGAAATTCATTAATATGGGAACTTCCCTGGAACACTGATGTTCACAATGGATGTCTCATGCACTTAGTACTGAGACATACTGTTCATTAGTCAATACTGGGAAGTTCTCAGCATTTGGTAAAGGTCCTTCACCCACACAGTGCATAACGACAGCTATCACTGAAGAACATTAACTGCTTATGTAAACGTATTTTATGATGAAAGCCTCAGTTTCTTTCTGAGATTGGATGATTATTTCAAATGTACTGAGATTGGTTAAGAAACTGAAATTTACATTTTTTATTAATTGCTTTCTATATTTCTTGACCATTATATTTTATCTACATTATTTTATCCTCAGGATATTATTTCAGAATATAGGAAACAATGTTGGTATAATCCAACTCTCTAAGCCTATCCAAAGGCTTTCTCTTTCAATTTCATACAAAGCCATTTTCATAACTGAGCTCTTGCCTTAATTACTAAAGTAATTCTCCATATTTTTAATAAGAGGAACCAGACAGTCTGCCAACAGCAAACCTGATCAAGTCAGATTGTCTCACTCGACATACATTTACTACAATGTTGATTTTCTCTCCAAGAAGTATCCTAGTTCTTCAACATTTGCTTTGGACGAATGCTAAAAATGCTGCGGTTGGGGCTTTTTTTTTGTATGTTGTAAATTGTCGAAAATAGAAATGTGTATCTGTCCATTTTAGGCAAGTTACACCAAAAGCATTTGTACAATTCCATTGGTGGTGGGGGCAATAATGATGGAATTCTTCAAACTTAAGTTAGTTACTTTTTTTTAATTAGCGATGATAGCATTACTTCAGCACAACCATCCATTCAGTACACCCGGTAATGCACTTTTGTTTACAAGGGCAGTATGCGGTTAAGTGTAGATTGTCTCCAAAGACAGAATTTTCTGAACAAGAACTTGATTTAAGTCCTTGGGAGTCAGCTGTTTGTTAAGCTTCCACGGTATATTCCTTTGGTCAATTGGTCGTGTTTTCAATCTAGGTGCTAGATTATATTTTCAATTGAACTCTACTATGCTGTATTTACCAATGAAACCTTCCTAAAATTTCAAAGGGGTCCAGAGTGTGGTAATTTCTAACTTGATTTTTTAATAAGAAAATCAGAAGTATGTAAATGTGACTTTGGGGAATTCTGCTGTCACAATCTATGTTCGAAGGTGGGTTTGCATGAGTCAGCATGATGTCATTCCCTCATTGTCATTCTTGCTTATTAAGCAAACCAGTTAGATATTTCCACACATTTAACTCCAATGTTAAATTTGAAAGCATTGATCTAGTTTATTTCATTCTGCAGAGACAAAAGAAAGTATGGGATCCCATGTGATTTCAAACAACCCTTTAAGCAAAGTGAGTGTAGAATAAAGTTATTAAATTATTAATTACCTTCTTGAAAATGAGTTATTACATTTGTCATATTATGGAATAAGGTAAGCATGGTGAGTGTCTCCAGGGTAAACATTCCAGACAGGGTAATTTCCATGTCAATTCTGTCTGGTTTGAATATTCTTAACCATGGTGATGAGTTTTTGCATGTGTCAGCCCCGCTGCTGACCAAAGTAAAAATGAGACCCTCTTACTTTAACTGTAAGATTCTCTCTACTTTCCAGCTGCTTACTGTCTTACGTTCCATATTCTAATTTAGACTTCAATTTCAATTTCCTTTCTGTTCAGCAGCATCCTTCCACATGTGTTTCAAATTTTATTTGGACAGTCTTTTGACCCACTGCCCATTTCCTGCTGTTCAAATGTACGCTCTTTTTTTCATCCTCTGACTTGATTTCCAATCAAACCTTTGGTTGTCTCATTTGAGATGTCAGTTAAACTAAATTTGCTATTAGAAAGTTAAGAATACATTTCTAAACTGAATTATTGTATAAAACAGACTTCAAACAACAGCATTTTGTTAGTTTTTACTCATGTAAAATGAATTGGAAAGTTACAGTGCAATAACTCAGGTTACATTCGTATTGTATTTTGTTACACTTGTCGAGCTCTAAAAAATATGGATTAATACATTTGTAAAAGTATAAAAACAGTGCAAATAAAATTGTGGTTATACATTCAATTCTTTGATGTTTTGAAATGACTTCAGAAATGAACTTGTTTAGTCTTGAGATCTAACTCAATACATTGGTTTTCAGATGGATGAAATGACAAAGTCCTTCGCAGGTAAAACCATAAGAGCTGAGTGTCATGAGGAAAAGTCAAATAAATATTTCATCTGACAAAGTACAGTAGTTTAAATGCACTGGTGTAAAACAAGAGGAAATAAAATGGGAATGTTTGAATACAATAGAGAATAATGTTAAAGTCCATAAAAAGTATCTTATCAAAATACTGTGCCAGTAAACTCCTATTTAAGACAAACACTGACTAATTTCTTTATGGATTAGTAATGCTCATGGTGTTTTATAAATTAGAATTTATCGTAGGCCATCAGTTTTCTGCTGATCCACGTTACCGCTACAGTTCATCGAACCTGAGCACTCGGACTTTTTGTTTGTAGTGGTATTCCTTCAAGTACGTTTTCATTGCTGGTGGCACGGAAAGACTATGAATGCCATCATAGGTAGTATAGCTGCAAATTACAGCTCTACAGAGGTGCTGAAGTGAAAAGGGAAAGGTCCTGTTCAGTGGAAGTGACAACAGTGGCTCAAAAAACATACAGGAGTTTGGGTCCTTGTAATGTTCCAAGAGACCAGTTACACTAGGTGCATGAAAGACACAGGGATCATGAGCATCAAAGCTGAAATTGTAATTCCATTGTTCAATTCTGGCATGGAGAGAGCGGCTATAACGTCTGAAACTGACAGAAAATAGATAGTCCTCTTGGGCCGAGTCTCTAAGCAGATATGTTCCTTCTGGTTTACCTTCCAACAAAGCCTCAGCACCATATCTATCCATAACACCCCAATAGCTTGGATTCTTACTGATCCAAAATAGATCTGGAACTAGGCAGTGAATGTAGTCAATCTGGGTATGGTCTTTATGAAGTGCAATTGGTTGATTGATTCCCTCATCAGAACCCATTTTTGCTCTGTTCTGCTTTCGAGACTGTGTGCAAAGAGTCAACACTTCGTCATCAGAGTCAATTTCATTGCTTTGAAAATGAAACCCTCTCTCAGAGGTCAATTCATTTATCCCAAGTGGTAACTTTGGGCCGTGCAGTGTATTGGTCTGGGATATTACTTCGAATGTGTGAATTTGTGCATTCGGAGGAGGATCAACACCTTGTTCAATGCTCATTCTACGTCTTTCCCGTAGCCTATCATCCTCATCATCAGCAAATCCTACTGCTGATGCTCCCCAAATCCCACACCTTTGAGTCCCTGGAACAGCGTGCCATTTAATCAAGTGCCATTTCTGAGCGAGCTCAGAATCAACTGGAAAAGGGCATCTATCCAACATCAGTTCACTAATGTGAATTTTCCTTTTTGAAGTGAGAGCTGCAGAATGTTTATGGTTATGCACTTTAACTGGGAAACACTGAACTATTGCATCTTGGATCTTCTGTTTCAGTGATCGACTAGGTAGCTTGCATACACAATCATCAACATCTTGTCTGGAAGAGGAGCTCAATCTTCTTTCCCTTCTTCGTGAAGGGATTGACTGTTTTCCAGGTGCTTGTCTCTCCTCACTATCTGAAGAAGCCTCCGTTTTAGTTGAACGTGACCGCTTACCACTCCAAGCATAACCATCCTTATGATCAGTACTTCTGCCTCGGTTGATTTTAGGCCTTACGTCTACATTTTGAGATGTTGCTCCTTTTTCCTCTGACATTTTAATTAAAACTTGAAATAAAGTTAGAAATCTGAATTCAAACTATTTAGGGCTGGTGTATGTTCCACAGCACATTCAAACAAAAAATCTATTCCTATTTAGCTGAATTTCAATGGTTATTTCATGTTGCTACGATCTAAAGAACCGCAGAGTACTTCATCAGAGGAACATCTACAAGGGGGAAAACAAGAATCAGAAATTTCACCTTGAATTATTAATGCAACTGAATCAAGTGAATCATATAACAGAATTACACATACAGCATGCAAATAGTCCTAGTCAGTCTGGGAGTAACACAGTAGTACTCTCTCTGGTGTGAATTGTTATAATAATACAAAGAATAACAATGGGTTAACAATGGAGATATTAAGGACATGTTCTTAATAAGATGCTGTCGTGGCTTGGACTAAATATACCCTATACGTTGCTTCCAGATAGTATAGTATTAAGGCTCTTTAAAGGGTGGTGTCAGGGACATTGACCTCCAATCTGTGTTGATGTGTCACAATGTTAGATTCTCACATCTAGAGTGCAACCGGTGATGGTGGAGTGTGTGTGTGTGTGTGGGGGGGGACTACCTGACCTCACACTTTTTAAAACATAACCGTTCATAGAAAATCACATGGAGACCGTGCAGGTGGTCTCCTCGAAAGGGTGCAGAGAAACCCAGGCGAGTTGAATCCTTGGCCAAGTCGTGCCCAGAGAACAACCGATCCACTCTCCCCCTCACGCCCCAAAATCTGACGGCCAAGTCCTCACGGGGGGAATGCGAAGCGTACAAAATATTACTGACTGCGGCCTTATTCACATACTTGTATTTAAAGCCCGTGAATCCCTTGGAAAATGACTTCCCGGTTGTTGAGGAAGAGGGGGTGAGGGGCGAGGGAGGGGGTGGGGGGCGAGGAGGGAGGGAGGGGGTGAGGGGCGAGGGAGGGGGTGGGGGGCGAGGGAGGGAGGGAGGGGGTGAGGGGCGAGGGAGGGAGGGGAGGGTGGGGGGCGAGGGAGGGAGGGAGGGGTGAGGGGCGAGGGAGGGAGGGGGTGGGGCGAGGGAGGGAGGGAGGGGTGGGGGGCGAGGGAGGAGGTGAGGGGCGAGCGAGGGAGGGAGGGGTGGGGGGCGAGGGAGGGAGGGAGGGGGTGGGGGGCGAGGGAGGGAGGGGGTGGGGGGAGGGAGGAGTGAGGGAGAGAGAGAGAGGCCATTTAATCAGCATCTACACCATTTAATTTAATTTTTTTTAAAAAAAGGATGAGCTGATGCTCTTTGCGCGGGTGACGTTCTCCGCTTAAAAGCCTTACCCAGCAATGTCCGGCAGTTCTGGTGGTTGGACGCCCTCTCTCTCTCTCTCTCTCCCCCCCACCACCACCTTATTACTTGGCGAGGAGACAATCGGACAACATCGGACGCCGCGACGGGTGTCGAGGCAGAGACGGAGATTTGACGGTTTACCACCGAGGGGGGAGGCGGCGGCGGCGGCTGTTGCTGCTGCGGTCGTCGGTTTGAAGGGAGAGAAACGGCCGATCCCTTCACACTAACCCCGGACACGACTAACCGAGCGGCGGAAATGACGGTTTACATCCCACCCACTGACACAGACACAGACACACACACACACAGACACTTCCCCTCTCTGCCTCATGTCACGGATAAATTACATTAAATGTCTGCGCAGCCGTCCTCCGACTGGTGGGTCCGTGGTTTTGTCCCTTTGAGAGTCAGACCCCCGGGATGGCCGTTGGCGGCGGTGGCGGTGTTGGCTGTGTGTGTGTGGGGGAGGGGGAGGGGAGGGGGGGGTCGATGATGACGATCCGTTGGGTTTGAAAACGCCTCCTCGCGCTGCTTGACCTGTGACGTAGCGGCTGGCGGGAAAGACGGTGAGTGTCTGTGTGTGTGTGTGTGTGTGAGAGAGAGAGAAGACTGGGCTCGCGCTGAGCCGGAGGAGCAACCGCCATCCCCGGAGCGAGCGAGGGAGGGACTGTGAGAGAGAGAGAGTGGTAAGACAGAGAGGGTGTGTATGGGGGAAGACGGAGTGTATAAGTGTGAGGGAGGGAGGGAGGGGGGGCAGTGAGTGAGGGGGGGGGAGTGAGTGAGGGTGGGGGGGAGTGAGTGTGAGGGGGGGGGAGTGAGGGGGGGGAGTGAGGGGGGGGAGTGAGTGAGGGGGGGGGAGTGAGTGAGGGGGGGGGAGTGAGGGTGAGGGGGGGGGGAGTGAGGGTGAGGGGGGGGGAGTGAGGGTGAGGGAGGGGGGGAGTGAGGGTGAGGGAGGGGGGGAGTGAGGGTGAGGGAGGAGGGAGTGAGTGTGAAGGAGGAGGGAGTGAGTGTGAGGGAGAGGGGGAGTGAGTGTGAGGGAGAGGGGGAGTGAGTGTGAGGGAGGGGGGAGTGAGTGTGAGGGAGGGGGGGAGTGAGTGTGAAGGAAGGGAGTGAGTGAAGGAGGGGGGAGTGAGGGTGAGGGAGGGGGAGTGAGGGTGTGGGAGGAGGGAGTGAGTGTGAAGGGGGGGTGTGAGTGTGAAGGGGGGTGTGAGTGTGAAGGGGGAGTGAGGGTGAGGGAGGAGGGAGTGAGTGTGAAGGAGGAGAGAGTGAGGATGAAGGAGGGGGGGAGTGAGAGTGAAGGAGGGGGAGTGAGTGTGGGAAGGGTTGTAGACAAAGAGAGTGTGTGAGAGAGTGGGATGACGGAGAGAGAGCGAGTGAGTGTGAGGTGGAGATAGAGACAGAGGGGAGAAAAGACCATGTGTGAGAGAGAGAGTGGGAGAGCGGGAGGGAAGATAGATACTCCCTGCTCTCCCCCCTCCCCCCCCCCCCCCCCACACACACACTGTGTGTCTGTCTTTGTGATATACATTTTCGGCCAAAAAAACACAGTCACTACACTTTACAGTATATTCTGTGAAGCGCTTTGAGTATTCTCGAAGATGTGATAAGTGCAAGGCTTATTATTGTAGATTGTGTATGTGTGTGAGACAGACCGATGAATGAGTGAGTGAGCGAGAATATTGTGTGTTCCACAACAGTCAATCCACTTTACTGTATATTCCGTGAAGCGCGACCCTACCAACCACTCCCCCGGCTTCCCATCACCCAGAGGATACAGTTCCAGATCCTGGTCCTCGCTTTCAAAAGCCCTCCATGGCCTTGCTCCCCACTACCTCTGGGACCTCCTAAAACCCCTCCATTCGCTCAGCGGGCTCTGGTCTGCTTCACATCCCCCGCCTCGCCCGCCCCACCACTGGCGGGCGAGCCTTTAACCACTCTGCCCCCACCTTCCGGAAGGCCATCCCGCAGTCCTCCCTTGCCGCCTTCCAGAACCGTCTCAAAACCCTTTTCGATTGTGCCTTCGGTCATCCTCATTCCCCTCCCTGCCCTCCACCCGCCCCGATCCCAACCCCCAGCTTGGGTCCGAAACACTGATTGTCCAGCGCCCTGGGACATCCTCCCGACGTGAAAGGCACTAGGGATCCTAACCTACACAGTGATGTTATACTCTTTTTAATGTAAAAACTGTTTTTCTGAATAAAGTGAATCAACCTAACAATGCCAGCTGAAAAAAAGCCAATGCGATATGCTCATCCGGATGGGTATACTGGGGTTTGCTACTGTGAAAGTGGAAGGTAAGATATTATGTTGTATACATCATAATCTGCACTACTTGGATTCTGATTACTTTTCGTTAAAAGGAGTTCTTGTGTGAGCTTTTTACCTCTTGTGTCTCCTGTGCACCATATCTTATAAACCATATCTCAGTACAATTCATTGTTGAGGAGGAGAGAAATATATAGAGGCAAAATCAATTAATAAAACATTGGAATAGAGCAGGATAGACTTTTGCCCTGTATGGACACTGTTGATCGAAAGTGTTGCCAATGAATGCCAAAAGGGGTTGAAAAGTTCCATTCCTTGTTACTGACAAATTGATGACAACATAATTGAAATAATGTTATGTAAGAAATTGACCAGCATTCTTGTGTTTGCCATTTCAGATTTATTGTAACAGCTGGCAGTGATGGAGATGTTAGAATATGGGAAAGTCTGGACGATGATGATCCCAAATCAATCAATATGGGCGAAAAGGTTTATTCTGTGGCTCTTAAAGTATGTGATTTCTTTGCTCTTTTCAGATATTCTAAATTCCCCTCCCATGAATTACAATTGCTTCTTCTAATGACTTTATGTACTGTGCTACATAATGATCTCTTGAACGTCCTCGCCATTACTTATATTTCTAAAATAGTCACCTTCCATTTGCAATTCCATTTTCTCAGTGATGTTAAATTTAAGCTTAGTAAATGGAGCTAGAAGCTGAATGTCAGATTTCATTGCGGAAGGTTCCTCAGTGCCATTTAAAATCAAAGAATCTTGGATTTTGTATAAGAATGTGATCAATCAAATAGTACCTGACTAGATATTCGAAGAAACAAATATCTGTTCACCAGAATAGATAGAAGGATAATACTAAATATAAGTAATCAAAACTGGTATCAAATACCTACCCATCGTAATCCCAGCCAGCTCTGTCTACGTTGTTTCAACATACTGTCTTTGCTGTATTGCTATTTGTTCAGATGTAAGCAGTGCATTTTTTCTCTATTATGGTTGTAATGGATTAATACCTATCTTAAATGCATTTGTTTCCGGTTTTAGAATGGAATGCTTGTTACTACCGTTTCTAACAACATAGTTCAAGTTCATTCCTTTCCTGAGGGTACACCAGATGGAATTCTAACTCGCTTCACTGCAGAAGCAAACCATGTCGTCTTCAATAACTCTGGCACCCAAGTCGCTGCTGGTTCCAGGTAATTTCACAAATAATAACTTGTATGCAGCAAACATTTCATATCTATCTCTACTATTCCTGAATATTAGTTTTGAATTTAATTGTATTTTGTGATTTGAGATGGTGAACAATAAAAGAAGTGGAAGAAAAATCTAGATTAAGCTTGTGCTAAAGAAAACAAATGCATACAAGTGTTTCATTTAGAAATATAAACTTTTTAGTAATCACAATGATCAGATTAATGTTTTTCTTTACTCTTTATTGTTTATTAAAAGAACTCCCAAGAGTCTATCCATGTGAAGAGTGCTTTATAAATGTAAGCTGTTACTGTATTAATTTTTTTGTATTTGCCCAGCGTGGTCTAATTTTTTAAAAAACTGTGTACCTTGCAGTGACTTTATGGTGAAGATCATTGATATTAGTGACAACAGCCAACAGAAGACTTTTCGAGGTCATAGTGGTCCAGTCCTCAGCGTTGCTTTTGATCCAGAGAATGTATTTCTGGTAAACGGCTAATACAACTTCTATGAAACATATTCTGTAAAATCAATAGCACAAATGCATCATTTTTGTTTTAAAATATGCATATAGTTATCACAGTATTTAATAATATGGAAAGGTCAATACATAAGAATCACAAAGTGTTTCATTTCACAGGCTTCTTCTAGCTGTGATGGTTCAGTATTTGTCTGGAAAATTGCAGATCAGGTAAGATGGGCACCTTTTATGGGAAATTGCAAGACACAAAGAATGATCAGAATGAATGTTCCATCTTCTCTGCTACGTGTGTTGTATGAGAATTGAATACAATGTATTATCTAATCTGGAGTTTATAACTGTTTTGAACTTCAAGTTCTCTCAGCCTTTTCATTTAGATTACAGCCTCAAAGCTTCCCTCACAGGATTTTATTATTTAGTTTGTCGACCACCTTTAGTGAGCTGTACTTACATTCAGCAAAATAGACTGGAAAACCTGCTGCATTAATTAAAATTCTTAAATCTGATTAAAATAATTTACAAGTTAATCAAAATAATATTTAATGGATGAGAGAATGCTTGTATTAAATAAAACTCTTTCTCGTTTGTAGACACGTGTAATAAATTGGTTGCTGTTAAATAAACACAATGATGTCAGCTTAACTTCGTCCATTTGTAGACTTGATTGGCAACCAAAGACTGGAATGGTAAGTTATCCTCCACACAAAGAACAGTACACTGAAATCTGACTATTTTCATATCCATTTTGAAATTAGTTTTCAAAGCCATAACTCAGTCAAGATTAGTGTTTGTTGAGCAAACCACACAGATGTCCAATACTATTCTGGGTAAATTAATCATATAGGCTAAAACTGTTACTAAAAACAATAATTATTTTCCTGGAGGAGTCCAGTAAGTTGCTTAAGAAATCGTAAGTTTAAAAACTTTGTTGATAAAGAACCTTGAGTACTTGAAAATATTCTTGCTTGAGATTCACTTTATGATCTCTGAATTTTAATTCAAACCAGTCCCCATTTTAGTTCTCCTTTGTCCTCTATGGAAGACACTGGACTGTACTGGGATTTGATGCCAATGCTGCAAGCTGCCCTCAAGTGCTCAATTGGCCATGTTGCATTTGTGAGCCTTGTCAGTGAGTGTCAGCTGGTAATTGAGCTATGGAGCATCATAGCTTGAACCTGATTTTATCCTCTGATAGATAGATGGCTATTTAATTATGTTATGGTAATACTGATAATTTGAATATTTTCTGCATTATAATTGATTGTCCTTTTCTATATGGTGCATGCATACAGTTACTGGCCATTCCAGTGGATCAAACAGTTAAACTATATGAAAGAGAAACCTGGCAAAACAGTTTTGATCTTTCTGATAATAGCATCACTAAGGTAAGTATTACATTATAGTTGAAAATAGCTGTAGTTTAATATAGAGAAAAAAAGATAAATATGCATTAGTAAAAGTGTCACCTGTACTGTAAAGTTTAAGTCCTATATTGATCACAATTGATTTAAGCCCTATATTGAACACAAGAACACCTGATGGTCAGATAATATTCGCTACATCAACATTCTGATGCACATGTAGAAAAATCAGAAAATAAATACTTTCATTGATTGTGATTTTAAAATGTTCATGGAACATTTGTACAGAATTCCTGCTTCCTTTGAGGGCTACATGGGGCAGTATCTTTTGGTATTCCAAAAAATAATTGCGCTTCACTTTCTTTATTCAAATTTAGTTGAAATTGCATATGTTTTTTGTAGAAAATTTTCAGTGAAATACCTTTCTTTCTTCAGCCAATAAATATTGTTTCATGGTCTCCTTGTGGTCGCTACTTGGCTGCTGGCAGTGCTGATGGATCTATGGTGGTGTGGAACGTAACGACGAAAGAGTGTGTTGAAAGGTAAAATGTTCATTGTAATAATTTATGATTAGTTCATAGCACTCTGATGTTGGGAATTGGAATGATAGAGTATTGTAAGGTATTAAAGGTCCAAAATGTATATTCATTTGATGCTTCCATATTGTTAATGCTGTTATTTATAGAGAGCCACGACTAAAATATCTCTAGCAATAGCTGTATAAGCATTAGGAAAATTTTAATAGAGTAGGAGAGAGTGTGATGAGTTTTAATTTCAATACTGAGGATGCAGAGAGCAGGAAAAACAAGTAGGATGGCATATTTGGACCTTGGTGAGGAAAGTTCAGAGGATCAATAAACCTAATCGAAAAGAAAACAAGATTATGACTAATCGAGATGTTGGAGAATAGATGAAAGAAAGATCCATGCTGTCTGTGCAGTCTGTTTCTTTCTTTCTTTCTTTCTTTCTTTCTTTCTTTCTTTCTTTCTTTCTTTCTTTCTTTCTTTCTTTCTTTCTTTCTTTCTTTCTTTCTTTCTTTCTTTCTTTCTTTCTTTCTTTCTTTCTGTGTATTATCCAATAATGCAAGAAAGGTATGGGAGCAATATTCAAATGTGAGTGGACTTGGGCATAATAGAGTTTAAGAGGAAATAAAATTAATTTTCTAAAAATCTTATCTCAACAGCTTAATTATTGACTTTAAAAGATGTGTGATGAGAAGGTCCACATTTTTTTTATTATTTTGGAGGAAGTGATCCACCAAGCTTTTTGCTGCAAAGCAGTTATGGCTTCCTGTCAGCTGTTTGTAGCTTTATTGAGAAGGTCCCAGCAATGTAACTTTTAGTCGTATTCCTCTATACTACTACATGTTTGAAAATTTTAACTCTAAACTGCAGCCTGGAGAATATTCTAGTTATTTCAGAGGCAACGTGCTATTCCAGTTTGCCATTCTTAATTGACATTCAGAAGTGGTTAATAATTATTGGAATAAATATATTCTAAATTAAGCTTAGAAATGTGCTTCCATAGGTTGCAGCATGAAAAGGCTTTCAAAATCTCTGCAATGGCATGGCATCCCAAAGGAGGAAAAATAGCATATACAGACTGTGAAGGAAATCTTGGCCTTCTTGAAGACATTTTAGTAGATTCTGGCAACAAGGTAATTTTAATGCTATGATTCCATTTATAATTCTATGGGTACTTGTCATTCACGATCTTCAACTTCCAGTTCTTTTGTAATTAAAATACTGTGTGTGCTTTCGTTTAGAAACCAACTTCAAGTGCAGCTCCTAGTTTTGATGAGCTTTTTGATGAAGATGACAATGACTTGCTTACAAAAGATGCACAAGATCATGTAAATCTGTCACAGTCGTCACCAACACGGCAGCCATTAATGGATGATGACGAAGATGATGGCGAGTACGATATGAAGACTCCCCGCAGCCGATCCAAAATTCATCGTGTTATTGATGATAACTCTCACGGTATGGCACACTAATAGTCGCTGGATCAGTTCTGTTGCATTAATTGTATAATTGAAATGATTATTTAAAAATATCCTCATTAACTATCTCCATTTCTTTATTGATTAATGGGGGATATCTTCACCTTTCCATGTGATCTGTGTAAAAATATTTTTCTAAATTGTTTTCAGATATCGGATCTCCTACTCAGGAAGATCAAACCGATGATGGTGACCAAGCTGTTAGTGTGCCTACTGTACCAGAACCAGTACGTTATTTGGGGCCAGTGCCAACACCTCAGCAGAAGCCTTTTCAGCCTTGTTCCACACCCTCTCATCTTATGCATAGGTTCATGGTAAGCATAGTACCATTGTGTGTAACTAATTCAGATTGAGCCACCTTAAAGGTGAAGTAGACAGCTGGATTCAAGAGATGTACAATACCTCTACAAAATAGGATTACATTCTGCTCAAAACATGTTTCAAATCAATTTTTTTAACAGGATCTATTAAAGGACTAGGAGACCTGCAAACCCACACTGTTACTATTTGTAATATGTAGGATTGAATGACTCTTCCATCGAACACACTTTCTTTTCAGTGGGTACCAAGGCCCACTATCTGAATGAAGGGAAATGTATTTGCTAATATAGTTGTGTTTGTTTTTCTTTTGAAATTTCAATTTGTAGAACATAAGTCATCAAAACCTTAGGAAATTGTTCAAATTAGCTTTAATTTTCTGTTGCTGATTAAAATGTAAAAATACATCTATTTAAAGCCTACATCAAAATGATCTGCAAATCTCCTTTTCCATCTTGGTTATTGATAATGAAGGCACCTGAGTCCTGTAATTCCACCAAGTTTTAGGCTCTAAGAATATTTTGTCCTTAAAATGTAAGATCATGCAAAATTGGGGAACATTCTTAAATTCACTTTTAAGTTGGAAGTCAGTTTTCTGCAGCTCTTAAAAGGAATCAGTGCAGTCTTACATTTTAAGACCAAATGGTTTTGCAGGTGCAGGCTGGTATTAAAGTTAGCACACTGGGTTCTTTATTTGTTGATTAATTGTTTCTGGTTTATTTATAGATGTGGAATTCAGTTGGTATTATTCGCTGCTACAATGATGTACAAGATAATGCTATTGATGTGGAATTTCACGATACTTCCGTACACCATGCGATGCACCTGAGTAATGTCCTGAATCATACCATGGCTGATTTATCACAGGAAGCAGTGTTATTAGCTTGTGAGAAATCTGACGAGCTCCCAAGGTAAAAGATAGGCCAGTGATGCCTTAACTTATCTTTCATTTGTCAAAAATAAGTTGTGCTTAATGAATGGATTAGTACCTGATGCATCACAAGTGTAGCTTGATTGATTTACAATTTGTTTCTGAAATTCAACTGAAATATTTTTGTCATTGCTTTCTGATATTTCTTTTTATTTATTTCCTCCCCTTTTACTTCACTTGCAAACCTCAGCCTAGCTGATTGAAATGCTAATTGCTGTCTTGCACAGTATTAAACTTTCGAAGGATATTATTCCAGTATTGATATCCAGGAACAGGAAAAGCAATATCTTTCCTCACTCTAATTGCAGAAACCTAGAAGTGGATCAACCATCTTGATAGGTCGTTTCTACACAACAGATGAAAATGATTAGTGTGGTTGAGAGTAGCACACTTAGGAATTTCTCAATTTACTACTGGATGTTGTAGTGCCTCACAAGTCTGATCCAGCATATCACACCTCATTGGGGAAGCTACACTGCTTCCCTTTTGGATTCAGCACAACAAACTCTCTTGTTGGTTTCCAAAAATAAGTTATGTATTTTCAACTATTCTATCTTCCTTTATAAAGTGAAATGGTCTCATTTTCTTTCCAACAGCACACTCCAGTGCATTCACTTCAGCTCCACAGATGCAAATAAGGAGTGGATGATGGTTATGCCAAAAGGTGAAAACATTCAAGCCGTTTGCCTGGGTAAAGGTTGGGCTGCTGTTTCAACTGATGCCCAGATTATTCGCATCTTCAGCATTGGTGGTGTACAGAAGGAAATCTTCAGTCTAGCAGGACCTGTTGTGTCCATGACGGGACATGGACAACAGCTTCTGGTTTCTCATCACAGAGGTAAGTGGATTTGAAATTTGATGCTGCTACTGTTTTGTAAAGTGCAGACAATTTAGAGTAAAACTCCCTATAATCGTTTACAAAATGTGCCTTCATCCTATCCTAGTCCATTTTCATTTTCTACATGTGTCTTCCTTATGGTTTCTTTGAGTAAGATTGCCGATTTGTGCTGAATCTTAGATAGGTTTGTACCGAAGACTCTCAACACTTACAAATGGGTTGAAATTACCCAAATGTGATTTATGTAGGGCCCTAACAATCACTGGAAGGGGAGTAATCCTGTTTTGTAGATTAGTCCTGGTTACATTGGGACCCCAAGTATTAGAGGTGAAAAGATGGCTTTCTAATTCTGAAAGCGTTATAATCTTTGCATTCTGAACAAAAGTTTTTTTTCTGAATAAAGTCACATAATTTTTAACTGTTAAAAATGTACTGCATGACTTGTCCAAAGCAACGTCTGAAGACTCAATTTAATATATGCCCTACACCATTATTTGAAGATAATCAGGGTTTCAGCGTAAATAATAAGATCCTTTCTGAAGGGATCTTAATACCATCAGTTTTTAATTAAAAAATATTTGTACCACACTTTTGCAGAACAATGTTCTATCAAGAGGAGAATCATAACTATACTAGCCAATGTTCCTTTAGGTAAATATATACAATGGTGCATCTGCTGACAACCCAACAAGCATATTCTGATACAGAGAATGGGCTTCATCTTGAGGATATAGGAGTAGGCATTTGAGATGTCAAGTATTCTTTCCTTTGTACTCCCAGCACAATTATCTAGCAGTGCTGGGTTAAAATAGGCGGTGCAGTTGAGAATTTCCAGCTGACTCTCTTTCATTCTGTTGCAGGTAAATGATGAGTGACCCAGTGCCTCCCACTCCTCCCTGATTTTGCTTGAGGAGATCGGTCTTGCTCTTCTGCTTGTTTGTATTCACAGGCACTTTAACAATACCAATAAAGCTGCTAGAATGCATGGAAATATGTTTACATGTTATTAAGATTATGTAGCTGTTTTTGGAGGGCATTAGTTTTCTCATAGACACAGCAGGATTATCTACATGAATTTTAGAAATTCCCTAGCCTGAAAGTGAGAAAATGTATTTGAGATGCAGTCTTTCTAATTGAAACAAAAAGCTATTTGTACCAAGCCTTCAATTTTCTACTGGTAAATAGCTTCAGGAGGTGATAGGTTCTTCTATAAAGAGGACCTAAGCAAAAACCTAATAAGTGTACTCGGGAACCACTACAATTACTTTGGGATATTTATTGTTTCATTGCCAACCATTTACCTTCACTGATTCTGTTTCAACTGGCCAGGTTCCTGTTTTCTCTTCATATAATTGCTTTCAAAATCAGCTTCAGTAGCTTTCACTACACTGTTCTAAATGTCTTGTGCACAGACAGATCACACAGAAGAACTGCTGCTTTGCTCAAAGCACATTATTACTGGTTAAAGCTTTATGAGCCCATCATTTGGTGAGATGGTATGTTAGATATGTTAATTCCATTCCAGCCTGTTAACCAGAAGATGTGGAAGCCTTTCCAGCTGTGGAATGCCTACCCAACAATTACAGCCTGATTTTTTTTAAATTTAATCAAAATCTTAGTGCATTATACCTGTTGTATTCAGTAGATTAATTATTTGAAATTTCAAATTCACTTTTTTAAATTATTTTTTAAAGCTTTTTTAATTGCTTACATTGCTTGAATTTTATATATTATATACATATATTCACTGCAGGCAAACAATCTAACTTCTCAGTTGATGTCTTTCAGTTCTATTGGTTAAAATATTCTCTTCGCAAAAGTTTTTTGTCATTAGAAATATTAAAAGGATTATATTGTTTTCTTCTCAGGCATCGGGTTTGATGGAGATCAATGTCTGGGAATTCAATTAATGGAATTTGGAAAAAGTAAACCGATTCTTCAAGGAGTTGCTCTCCCTATCACCAGGAAATCATACTTAACCTGGCAGGGCTTCTCTGCTGAAGGTGAGAATGTGGATCATTAATATCTGCTCCAAAGACCAACAATACATTTGTGGAACTACTGCAGCACAAAATGCACTGAAAGGGATGACATCCTACTAGAAATGTAATGTTTCACCATGTTTATTTATTTATGTTCAGAAATGTTCAAAACGTATCAACAGGTAAAATGTACTAATCCTGTCATTTCCTGGAACATTTTAAAAGGGTTCATTAATGGCAATTTTATATTTCTTTATTGCAGTATCACCTTGTTTCACAAGGGAAATTCATTGCAACCTAATAGTTGGGACAGCAGAGGGCGTAGGTGTTTTGTACGTGGTCTGGTTTTTGATTCTGAAGATATAAGAAGTATAATTTTCAACAAAACAATAAGCTTTTATCCTGCAGCTAGGAAACAAATACAGATTTTAACCTTGTGAATGTGGTGAATTTTAAGTGCTGCTGATGGGGATAGTTTGACAGTTTTGGCACCTGGTGTCTGCATTAAGTGCTCCGCGGTCAGATGTTATGCAAGTTGAGGTACGCTAAAGCTTTGTCTACACCACAGTCTCGATGACGAGGTGTCACAACTGAATGTCATAAATAAACTATATTGGTGCAATCTAGTTTTCTATGGTTCGAATGATTCAATCCTGGTGCTCAATTCTATTTCAGAAACACTTTATAGGTTATTAGATTTGACAATTCGTCAAGTAAAAAGCTTTTTTAAAAACAAAATCAGCTGATGTATACAGTGCTGGATTTGGCATCAAACTGCCATGTTTTCTACAATGGGTTTTGGTACAAAAGAAAAATCTTATGAACTGTTGAAAATGATGCACAATTTTTTTTGTGGTCCCTCTCTATAATGTCCTTTTCTCAGTTTTATTAAAAAATCAAACTCAGTTTATGGCAATAAATGAATTACTTGTTCTAAATCCATTAATGATCCAAAGTTACTGTTGCTCACTACAGTTCACGTTTATCTTCCTTCCTGTAAGCCTTATTTCAATTATATTTTCACAGGAACCCCAGCATTTTCAGACTCCGAAGGGACAGTGCAAATGATGAACAGAGCTCTGGGGAATACCTGGGTTCCTGTTTGTAACATTCGGGACCACTGCAAGGGCAAATCTGACCATTACTGGATAATTGGGATCCACGAAAATCCTCAGCAGCTTAGGTAAGCACAAGGCAGTTTAGTAGATGTATATTGTGATTGTATCAAATAGAAGAGCCAGGATAATATGATACAAAAATGCATTACCCTTAAATATTGATGATGCAATAGAATATAGTAAACAAACCAATACTTTTGTCCTTTAATAAATGCTATTGAAATATGAAATACAGATTGTATAATGACTGCTGTGCAACTATACCTCTTATTTCGAACAGGTGTATTCCATGTAAAGGATCCAGGTTCCCACCTACACTTCCACGCCCCGCTGTAGCAATCCTACCATTCAAGCTTCCTTATTGTCAGATTGATTCAGAAAAAGGACAAATGGAGGTTTGTGTTAAGTAGCCTGTTGTTTTGCACTGACAGCATTAATCTAAATAAGTGTATGGGAAGTCTAAAGTAGGAATCCTTTTGAAAAGTTGGTAGCATGGATTATAAACTTCTTTTCCTCTAGGAGCACTTCTGGCGATCTGTTTTGTTTCATAAGCATTTTGACTATCTGGAGGCAAGTGGCTACGAAATTGATGAAGCTGCAAAAGGCCAAGCTCTAAAAGAACAACAAGAGCTGCTAATGAAGATGTTTGCTGTGAGTAAATTCCTCATAAGCTTCTGCTGTCCATACAAGTGAAATTACATTTGTTTCTCCTCCCTACCAAGTTTGTTCTGATTTCCTGCAAACCTCAGAAATATATGTCCATAATTACAAAAAGTGAACTGATAAATGTTATAGTTTTAAACCAGTGATGGTTTCATAGGGANTTTTTTCCCACAAAATAGTTTGTACACCCTCAACCTAATAGATTTATAAATAATCATTAACAAAAGCTAAGTCTTAAGTATTAAAAACTTCAAATATCAATGCTGGAAAACTACTAGGATCAAGTTTTGGAGTAATTAAATAGATGGCTTTCCAATTCTTCAGCACCAAATGATACATCTTTAGCATTTTTTGTAGCACTAAAGATCGTAAAAAGGGATGAAATCCTGCTCGTATATCCTACTCCCAAGTTTTTTGAAGTGATAATTTCTTTTTTTAAAAAAACTCTATTCTTGCTCTGGGATTCTACCCTCGGTGATTGGCGCAGTACAAATGCAAGTTCTTTTATTGTTGCTGGAACATTCTCAATTGAGAGATAGATGCATGTATTTAGTTTCCTAGTGACCATGGATTACGACACATCACAAACTGCTTTAACTCAGCACTAATTTACATTTAATTGCCTGACTCGTTTAGGTTTTTGAAATGTAAGTTTTAAAAATAAGTAATCAGCTTTTTTTTTAATGAGATTTATTTGGGAGCAGAGAAAAACAACTCTAACAGACATTTATTTATATTTATGTTTTTAGCTGTCTTGCAAGTTAGAGCGTGAATTCCGCTGTGAAGAGCTTTCTGCGTTTATGACCCAGAATGTCTTGAGCCTCGCTATTAAGTATGCTTCACGTTCAAAACGTCTAAACCTTGCTCAGCGGCTTAGCTACGTAGCTCAAGAGAAAGCTGCAGAGTTGATGAACGTACAGGAAGTTGAAGAGGATCTTAGAGCTGGAATGAGTGCTGGGTATTCTAATTTTTTTGTTTGACATTTTCGTAGTTGTGATTTTATGTTCTGAATTCTACCTCTTTAAATCACTCTCTCGGTTATCCTTCTGAGTTATGAAATACCTTGCTGAACATTCCACATCTCTTAGTGATTTCCACATTATGTTCCAAATTTTATCACTCAAGACTACTGAGAGGAACTTTGTTTCCAAGATTGCTTAGTTGTTTCACCATTTTTATGTGGTGATGTTTAGTTTGCACAATAGTAAAGAGGAATTCAAAGGTCTTTTGCTCCCATTGTCAAAGACATTAGAAGATTATGCAACACTTTACTGCATTATACCTGAGGGAACAAAAGTATGTGAAGACTGTATATTATGAGTAATTTGGATAGGGTTTTTCTATTGGTATATTGTGCAGTAACAGATATGCAAATTGTTGAAACCAGTTATTTGTGAAGAGTGTGAGTTGGTTTTGAGTTGAACTACTGAATAAAATCGGCAGCTGGCAAAGTGCTTTTTGTAATTATGGATCAATTTAAAACGCAGTCAATTTAAAGCATTTCCAGTTGTTCATTTGATTCATATGCTCAGCTATTTCAAATGTATTCAGATGAAATGAGTCTGTGTAAATAGAGCAACTTAAAATACAGCTGGAAAAAACAGTATGAATGCCTCCTGCATTAAGTATGAACAAAACAATCTTTCAGAAAATGTATCTTTATTCTGAATGTTGTTGCAATCATTACTGAAACAGTCTTATGCATGTTATTACAGTAAGATCGGATGGAATTTATCACGTGTGCAATCTCAAGCTCAAAGTTATCCTGAGAAGGAGGAAGTAGAATATGAGGAAAATACTGTTGATAATGCAGATGGTGAAGATGGGTTGAGTACCCTGGAAGTACATGATGCAAGAAAAAGTAAGACCATGAGTAAAATACTTACCTTTTGGGACTAGACATTAAACTATATTCTGCCTAATCACATCTCACAAACAATTGCATAAGACTGTCCCTGCAATCAGAAACTTAAAGAATTAGTACTTTATTTATGTAAAGAGACAGTGATGATTGGTTTCTTGCAACTCTTATTTTAATAGTCTCCTAGTCATTTAACAAGGTTGGTGGGGGGGAAAAAAAACCTGAGGTTGGGGGAAAAAATTTAATCTGGTACTAAAATATTTAATGTTGCCTCATGTGTTTGAAGGTAGGGATGAGCCTTGTGAAGTCAAACAACTCGGGAAAGGATCTATTTCTAAAGCCAAGTAGAAATGTTAACTGTTTATTACCATCATTTCTTGAAAATAATGTATAATATTATTGCTCATTTGTACATTATTATTGGATTATTTTGAAAGTAAAGCTCAAGGTTTGTCATGCTTAAAGGCTTTGTTCTCTCATTATAAGTTTTATTTTATTTATCTCATAGAAGATCATGGTGGCACACTCCAATTTTTTTGTGATGAACAACATTTTGTAACACAACATTTTGTGGCACAAAGTGGCACATTTTGTGATGAACAGCACTTTGTGACATTTTGGAGCATTTCTTGAACAGAAACTTGCAATCTTTTCCTCTGCAGAGTTAAATCCATTCAGTAAAGATCTCAGCTCTACCGAAAAGACAACCCCAAAACCCAGTATGTATATTTACGTATTTATAAATTTATATATTTACTGACCAGCATCTTGGGACGTCCTCCGGTGTGAAAGGCGCTATACAAATGTAATTTTGTATTGTATTACAGAACTATATTTCATAAGATTGTAAATAAGAAGTTTGGCATTAACTCAAAGGTCACTTTAAAGCATTACTGTGCTGGCCATCTGCACGCTAATGTGATTGAATACATTCCAACATTCTTCATTCTTGACATCCTCCACACATAGTAAGATTGGAGTCACCCAGATACCAAAACATTGGAACCCCTGAAGACTATTTTGATGCTATTATGTTATACCACCCCATGTTTTCTGTTAAAACTTCTTGCGTTTATTACCAATCAGACCTCAATTCTAGTGGGTAAGATAGTTTGGAGAATGAATTTGAAGAATGGAGAGGTGAATTGTTTCACTTTTTGTCATCAGCAAGATGTACATTTTGTTTCAAAGCATAATACCTACCAAATGAACTGGTCACTATTTCCGCAGAGGCCTCTTTTTTTTCAACGTTCTCTCTTTCCCCCTCCCTTCTGTGTGGCTAAGAGCCTATCTTCACTGATTTGCATTGTTTCAAAAGATGTAGCAGAAAAAATAAAGTGTAGGCAAGTCCGTTCCACCCAACTAAACGCATTTTATTACTCCTTAACACAATACTTTTCTATAACGATGTGCATCACCATTAGTGACTATTTATCAAAAGTATTGATTCTTAATGTAAGATGTATCAATAAAACACTCTTAATAAACTTAAACTTGTACCACAATCCTTCCTTTTAAATCCTGTGTTTTGTTAGACGTTTCAGTATACTTAGGGGAAAAAACAAGTGCTGGTTTAACTAGTTTTTATCTCATGTCTACAGTGACATTTGCAACTGATAACTATGGGCGTGGAAATCCATTTAAGGTAAGAAATTATCCTAGTTATCAAGATTTGCCAAGTGCGATATCTTATGTATTTTGTAATTAGAATTAAAATTTTGGGTACTTGGATCACAGATAGACAGAAACCATTTTGATCAAAATAGATCTGTTTAGGATAACTATTAGGGAACTATAAGAGGGAACTTGGCAAATTATAGATAATTAAAAATCTGTTTACATAAAAAGTAAATGCAATTTACGTTGATACGTCTGTCATGTCGAGAGGCATCTCAAATGAGGGAAAGATACTGTGATTACCACTTTTATATAACTAATGTAATCAATTTTACTAATGAAAGCCTGAACATTTGTGTTCCCTAGGTGATGTCTGCTGCAACATTTTCCACATCTGCTGGCAGCCACGCTCGAAATGCCAATATTCTGGACAACATGTCCAAAGTGAGTAAGAAGTCAACGGGAATCGGCAACCAGTCTACAAACAAGCCAGGATCATTGGTCCTGAAGCCTCTTGCACCAAAACGAAAGGCAAAACAGGTACTTAAACCTATAAAACTTTGTTTTATAAGAACTAGCTTTTTTAAAAAAAAATACAGGAGATTGATAGTTAAATTTAAGAGAAATACTTCAAATTAGATCTCAGTACGCCAAAGACTATAAAGTTCTGTATCATGGCATTAAGAATTTTCCACAATAGTTTACATCTTAAGACAAAATGGAGAATAAGAATAAATGGAATTTCAGGCCCATAGTTACAAGCTAGTCTTTCGTAACATGTTATGAGATTTTTTTTTTTAAAGTTCCCATTCAGTTGGAATCCTTGAAAAACCCTAATTTGTAGAGGTGGTTGGTAAAGGTGAAATTGTTTCCATTCGAAGCAACTCTTTTTAGTCAGTTTTGTATTTACAGGCTGTTAAATGCATGATAATTGATGACCTATGTATGCGCTACATACTTCATCAGCAGAACTGAAAAGAGAAGGTTATTTTTGACCGTAGGACAATTTTTTTGATTTCTGCATCTAATTTTATTTGACGTCGTTTTAAAGATCCAAGCTACGTTGTTCCAGTCAACGTCCCTCAAATCTGGCAGTAAAACTGTGGAAGAAAAGGCAGCAAAGGCTGATCCGGTACCAGTGGTCACTTCGGATAAAACAAAGGCAGAGAAGAAAAAGTGAGTTCAAAAGCATTAAACATTCTCTGAAGTGTTTTGAGATGCCTAAAAGACTTGCTAAGATGCTATATCAAATGCAAGGCTTATTAATATTACTTGTATACTTAAAAAGGGCTTTACCTAGAAAAAGACATGTTCGATACAATTTGCAATGGGAACAGATTATTGAATCAACATAAGTCAAATTAAATTTTTCAACCGTATTCTGTAAATTTAGAACTTGTTTACCATGTAACAGATGATTGTAAATCTTATCTAGATTCAATTTTCTTATCAAGGTTCACATCTAATGTTGCCATAAAGTTACCACACAGATCCAGCTTTGAAATTCATGTTTTCCTTTTCATGTTGGATTATAATTGCTCACCACTTAATGGCAAGGAACTGCAAAATACAGTTTGTAATTAAACTATATGTTTTTCGTAAAAGGCCTAAAACAGGATATCAACTGTGGCTAGAAGACAACAGAAGCGCCATTCTTACTGACAATCCTGATTTGGAGGAGCAAGAAATAATCAAAGAAGGCATGAACCGATTCCGTGTGCTGACATCTGAGGAGAGGATGGTATGGGATTCTAATCTTTGTAGTTGATACTAGGGTTTTTTAGGATTTAAGTAACATAAATGCACCGAACCTACAATGTTTTCTATCTGATAGCAAGTAAATTAAATGGTCAAAGATGAAATGTAAGTTTAAAAAAAATTGTTTGCACGAGAATTTATTTTGTATACACAGATACATTTGGCCCACAAAATATACACTCAATCAATCCACTTTACAGTTTATTCTGTGAAGCGCTTTGAGATGTCTCAACAATGTGATGAGGTACTATACCAAATGTAAGGATTATTATTTTTATTTCACTTGATTAAAAAGCTAAGGAACCGCTCGGGATCAGGAAGAAGCCATTCAGCCCATCAGGTCTGTTCTGCTAGTTTGAGAGGTCATGGCAGATCTTTAATCCTTATTCCCCATATTCCTTAATACACTTAATTTCCAAATAACCGTTTATCTCTTCTTGAGCATCCTAGTTGATTTTGTTTGTTGCGCTTTCTGGCATAGAGAATTCACATTTTCGTGTGCACTTTGCATACACATGGAGCAAATAATAATTCATGACGATTCTGAAAATAATACTGTGCATTTGCCATGTATACATGAGAACATATTAAAATATTTTAGCAATTCCTGTTTTATTAAATCTGGAAGCAATTTTAATCTTTAAAACAAAATAGTAAAAACTAATCTGCTTGTGTAATTAAATTGGTACAAAATAAATTTGGGTGTTTTCGTAGGTAGAGCATTTGATCTGATAGTTTTGCGTGCACTAGGAAATAACAGAAGCTTTGATATTGGAAACTGCTCGGTCTCTAGTGCTGCTTGGTCTTGATTGCATTTCACAGAAACACAAAAGGATATCTACCTGAATAGGTTTGAAGTGGATGTTGCTGAGGAACCATACCTATGTAAATTTAGCAGTATTGATTTATATCTTCGTGAACTGATGAAATTTTTGGATAAGCATGGCAAGCAGATGCAGAAACACACCAGTTTATACTCACTTCAAAACGAGGGGAATTTATGAAGGGGTTTCTTCCAATGGGCTTTTGTGCTAACCTTCAAATTAATTATAGATGATCAATCTTAACAAGGCTGTGGAATAGAATTTGCTGTTTGAGGATGGATAAAAGGCTTTGATCGTCTGGCCAGCTCCTTGTTTTTTGGGATCAGTTGAAACTTTTCTTTTTCAAAAGTAAATAGTTTAATTAAAATTCCTTTATTCGGCTTTTTTTTCCTAATGCAAGGGATTTTGTATAAAGAAAAGCATATAATAATAATCCTTGCATTTGATATAGCGCTTTTCACATCTTCTAGAGGTCCCAAAGCGCTTCACAGAATATACTGTAAAGTGAATTGACTGTATATTTGTGGGCGAACGCGGCAGCCAATTGCGCACAGTAATATCCCACAAACAGTCGTAGATTGAAAATGACCAATTTTTTTTTTTTTTGGAGAGATTATTATTAGGCGTGTGAAGTAAGGAAACTTGCCCAAGGTTTCGCCCTGCCTGGAATTGAACTCAGGTCTCTTGCTTGCAAAGCGAGTGCTCCAACCACTGAGCTACAGGACTCCAGTATGGTGAATGAACAGCAAAAAAAACATGTTAATGTAAAAATTCTCCAAAAAGGATTAAATCCAAGTCAAAAAACTTCTTGTAAAATAAAGCTAACAAAATTCAGTTAAATACAGCAATAAATTAGATCAGGATTGAGTACAGAGAGAAATTGGCCAGGGAAACTGAAAGCAAACAAGCAAAAATAAATTATAATAATCCTTGCATTTGATGTAGCACTTTATAATGTCGTTGAAACTTCTGAAAGCACTTTACAAGATATACTGTAAAGTGGGTTTGATTGGATTTTGTGGGTGAAATGTGGCAGCCAGTTTGCGCACAGCCATTTCCCACAAACAGTCATGGAATGAATGGCCATTTTTTATTTGGGGGATTGTTGGCCAGAACACCATAAGAAACTCCCTTCTCTATGTTATGACTGTATCCATGATACGATAATAGTCAAAGACCATATACGATGTTGAAAGACAAGGTGTTTTGTCAAATCAGGGAAAGATAGATAGAAACTGATAATTTTCTACTGCCTTTCTTAATGCTGAATAAATTCTATTCTGATGGCTATCAGTATGAGGAACTCAGAGCACTTGGTGCTCACATGGTGAGATTTGAGAGAGAGAAAAGATGGAAACGTGGAGTGCACAAATTCATACTGGTCTATTGGTAATATTGAGTACAAAATTATGGTTTGGAATTGATCAGTTTTTTATTAATAGTTATTCTAAACATGGTTATTAAATATAAACTGATTTTCTTTAGCACCATTGGTAATGACAGTGCCGTTTTAACTTCCTCCTGTGGTGAACTTTTGTCTTCCAGTCTTGGACAAACAGAGCTAAAAAAGACGGTGGAAGCATCAACAGTGGAGAGGATGCTAAAAAGCGCAAACGTTCACAAGACCCAAGTGAAGATCAGCAGGAAAATGAGCAGGAAACCAAAAAGGAAAATTCTGAAGAGAGTTTTGCAAAGAAGCAGAAACCGCCACAAGTATCAACAAATTCAAAACTGTCGGCATTTGCCTTCCAAAAGGATTAAGCAGTACCTCAGATTATTTCAATACAGTTTGCACATATAATGTCCCTGTTACTCGGTTAAATGTATTTCTAACTGATGCTATACCAGGATTTGCATCATTTAAAATATTCCATAATTTTGCTATTAAGACAATTAATATCTCTTGTATAGAATATTTTGGTATAAGAAAACTTGATCAACAGTGCTGTACCTATGATTTTCCACATGCAGGGGGTTTTTGGTTGCAGACAAGTTTTAGGAGACGAGGAAAGGGCGCCAATGAATGGCAGAAAACGTACATAGTAGCTTTTCCTGAGGGATAAAACTGAAGGAGTCACACATTTATGGAAACTTTAAAGAATGGGTTTGGTGTTGCCTTGAGGTTTTCTCCCTGATTTCATGAGCAAAAATCCTGTGCAGTATATAAAATAAAAGTTTTGATGAATCTATTGCCAAGATTTTTGAAGAAAATAAACCATTCCAGGATGTACAGTAAGAATCATGATGCATTCAAATGTATTTGCTTTTACTGTTGTGAACTGAATACAGTAGATTTAGAGACTAATTAGGAGGAATCTAAATGATCAGTTTTATTGGATTGTTTTTGCAACAAGCTACAGTTTGCAAGTGCACAGGGTAAAAGATTCCACTGTAATGTACATTATAATTATCCAGACAAAAGTTTCAAAGATTTCCATAAGCTGGTGTTTAAATTCTAGAATGCGTCTTACAGGTTTGATTTTATTTAGTGTGTTTGGATTTTTCATCCACATAAAATTGTTGTTTTATCAAGAATGAGTCTGCTTCCGATACGTGTGTTAAAATAGGTTGTGAAAATTGTGAATGCATGAGTATTAAGGAATTGAAATTATGTATGTTCCAAAGGCAACTCCTCGGTCATTGCTATGTCACACATTCCCTCTAATAATTACCTCCCATATTGTAACCTGCTGAACAAGATGTGCCATATTCTCCCAGCTAAGGAGGAAAGGAAGAGAAAGCCCATGGAGCTCAGTTGTAGCTAGCAGTATGTATGGCTGTTGTGTTCCAGTTGTCTTCACTTATCCAATACCTTGTTCGCTGTTCTAGGGTCATTTTTCAAAACAACTTATTCCATAAATTCATACCCTATTTCCAGAGCCATGACTGGTCTCATCATTCTCAGACACACATAAACGAGTAGATTTTGTTTATCGTTCATTGTTATTCTGTAGCTAGACCCTAGATGGTACATGAATGAACTGAATTGATTTACCTTGAATAAGGGCACAGTATTGGGTAAATTGATTTCTATGATTACTGAATGCAGTACGTAGTTTTAGTATTTGATAGTTTTAGGCATTTGAGAGGCATTGTCTTTAATAAAACATCATTAATTTAAACAGCTTACGATCCCCATTCATATACTTATGTGAAGATAATTCCATAACAAGGATTTGTCTTCCATTAATAAATGGAAATAACTAAAATACTAGGAAAGTACATTTAAGGCTGTATTCTAATAACTGGAATAAAAGGATACCTGCAGGTGCTGAAACTAACACACCGAAGAGTCACAGCGGGCCGGCCCAGTGTAATGATAATACTTGCATTTGCTATAGTGCCTTATATCATTGAGATGTCTTAAAGTGCTTTGCAGAATATACTGTAAAGTGAATTTATTGTGTATTTTGAAAGGGTCTAAGATTACTTAAAAAGTGTCATTTCGCAATGCCTGGATTACAGCCTCGACATTCAGCCGCGAATGGTCCTTTATATATATATATATATATATATATAAGGGATCAAAGGGATCAAAAGTTGCAAACGAGTTAAAACATTAAGTGAGTGGCGTCACACACACACCTCCGACCCCACAAATAACCGATGAAATATCGTTAGCCCCGGGACAACACAACAGGTGATAGTGATATAAAGCGGGGGCTGGGGTAGCCCGGGGGGGGCTGTGCGGTGGCTGTGCCGGTGGCTGTGCGGTGGGTTGTACCGGTGACTGCGGTGGCTGTGCTGTGGTTGTACCGGTGGCTGTGCTGTGGTTGTGCTGTGGTTGTACCGGTGGTTGTGCCGGTGGCTGTACCGGTGGTTGTACCGGTGGCTGTACCGGTGGCTGTGCTGTGGTTGTACCGGTGGCTGTGCTGTGGCTGTACCGGTGGCTGTGCGGTGGTTGTACCGGTGGCTGTGCTGTGGTGTTACCGGTGGCTGTGCGGTGGGTTGTACCGGTGGCTGTGCTGTGGTGTTACCGGTGGCTGTGCGGTGGGTTGTACCGGTGGCTGTGCTGTGGTTGTACCGGTGGCTGTGCTGTGGTTGTGCCGGTGGTTGTACCGGTGGCTGTGCTGTGGTTGTACCGGTGGCTGTGCGGTGGTTGTACCGGTGGCTGTGCTGTGGTTGTACCGGTGGCTGTGCGGTGGGTTGTACCGGTGGCTGTGCGGTGGTTGTACCGGTGGCTGTGCTGTGGCTGTACCGGTGGCTGTGCGGTGGCTGTGCTGTGGCTGTACCGGTGGGTTGTACCGGTGGCTGTGCGGTGGGTTGTACCGGTGGCTGTGCGGTGGGTTGTACCGGTGGCTGTGCTGTGGTTGTACCGGTGGGTTGTACCGGTGGCTGTGCTGTGGTTGTACCGGTGGGTTGCACCGGTGGCTGTGCGGTGGGTTGTACCGGTGGCTGTGCGGTGGGTTGTACCGGTGGCTGTGCGGTGGGTTGTACCGGTGGCTGTGCGGTGGGTTGTACCGGTGGCTGTGCGGTGGCTGTACCGGTGGCTGTGCCGGTGGCTGTACCGGTGGCTGTGCGGTGTATCTGCTCTCAGCGTCTTCAATGAATGACGCGCGACTCGGGGCGAACCCCCGGCAGCCAATGGCAGGTCTCGGGGCTCCTACTACAAAAGGAGCCGGAAACGTTGTGTTTTAAAGCCCCGAAAAGAAACACCGCCGAGAAACCGCAGCGACTTCTCCCGCAACTCCTGTACAGAAAAAGTACCCCCAGAGCCCAACCCACCACCACCACCACCACCACCCTCTCTCCTCTCTCTCTCTCTCTCTCTCTCTCTTTACAGGGGGGTGCGGGGTGGGGGGGGGTCTCAGCAGCTCCACCTGTCAGCGCCGATGGATTGCGGGAAGCAGCGAGCCCCGGGGCTGGAGGCGCTGAGCGGCGCCACCACCGCCGCCGCCGCCGCCGTCGGCTCGGGTCCGCTCCTCGCCCTCGCCTCCCCCGGCGACCGAGCGAACGGGCCCCCGGCCAGGAAACCCCTGGACCAGTGGCGGGAGGATCGGACCCGCAGCGCGGAGGACAACGACCTGAACTTACCGAGCCTGGAAACTGCCTACTCCGCCATCCTCAAGGGGCTCGGAGAGAACCCCCAGCGACAGGGGCTCCTCAAAACCCCCTGGAGAGCGGCCACAGCCATGCAGTTCTTCACCAAAGGATATCAAGAGACCATCTCAGGTGAGCAGAGAGAGAGAGAGAGAAAGAGAGAGAGAGAGAAAGAGAGAGAGAAAGAGAGAGAGAAAGAGGGGGTGTGGGGGGTGTTGCTGGTGCACTGTCAGTCAAAGTAACAGCAAACGCATTCCTTACTTCCATTCAACTTTCTTACAATGTTTTCACTTCCTTGTGTTATGTATCTATATATATCTATATATGCATTTACGTATAATGTGTATCTGTGTGTGTGTGTGTGTGTGTATATGTTTTAAAAGGTGTTCTCACGTTGAATGTTATCGAAGCTTTCTTTAGCTGTCAGTTTGATTGACTTGGGTCCCTTCCCCCCCTCCCCCCCCCTCCCCCCCCCCCCTCCCCGTTGACATGAAATGAAATTCGCATTGGCTTTCACTGCTTAAAAAAAAATTAAAACAAAGTCAGTAAAAAAAAAAATCAGGTTGAATGTATCTGGTTCTTCCATACGTTGTTCTTTTCTTACTCGTCGCTGACAGTTAAGTTGCTTCCTTCGTTTGTAGGCACAGAAATAGCTCTTTCTCCCCCACCTCTCGCTAACCCTCACCAGTCTCCGCTCTCCCCTCCGCCACCGGAGGCGAAGACCGAATGGGATCGGTTATCTTATCTGTACGGGTTGGTTCGTTGTACTAAGTTGCCAGTTACTTATCCCTCAACCCTTTCTCAGGAAAGTCTGGGGACATCGTGCGTGATCTGACATGTTTTCTGCCAGATGTTACACAACTGGTATAACCACCGAGCAAGTGTCTTTAATAAAAAAAAATTACAAACAACATCAATAAATTAGGTTGAATTCATCTAGATCTGCAATTATTACATTACTCTTAATGGCACAACTATTCCAATGACAAATTTCACACACCTGGATTAATATTGTTCATGTTGTTGATGATGCAAATCTTTCCTAAATGTTATTTCCCTATATCTAAATGTCCTATGTTTAAATTACATTACGGCCACTGTGATATCAGCTAATGGTTTACTGAATGAGAACAAAATGAAGTTGAAGGCCATGCCACGTCTCCCAAATATCTGAACCTATTTTTGAGAAAAAAGCCACCATAGAACTGCACAGCAGAAAGCCATTCAGCCCATCGTCATGTCGGCTCTTGCTCCTTGAAGGAACAATCCATTCTGTCCCACTTACTTACTATAAAATGCTCTGAGACACAAACCTGTGTGAATGGCGCTTATATAAGTGTAAGTTGTTGTTATCCCTGCAAATTGCTCCTTTTTTTATATATCTACCCTGTTTTTTTCTTGAAAGCTAATACCTTGACCACTACGCCTGGCAGGGAATTTCACAGCTTAACAATGTTATTTGTAAAACGAAACCTAATCTTCCCCCTTTCCTCCTTTAGTAATTGCTCTCTTATCACTAACTGATCAATCAGTGGAAAACATTTGTCCATATTGACTCTCAAAATCCCATATAATTTTCAAGACCTCGATCATTTCTCTCCCCTCAAGTGGAGTCCTGTAGCGCAGTGGTTAGAGCACTCGCTTCGCAAGCGAGAAACCCAGGTTCGATTCCCGACAGGGCGAAGTTTCCTTACTCCACACACCTAATAATAATCCCTCAAGAAAAAAAACAATAATAAATTGGTCATTTCAATCCACGACTGTTTGTGGGACACTGCTGTGCACAACTGGCTGCTGCGTTTCGCCCACAAATATAATAATAATAATCCTTATGTTTCATATAGCGCCTTATCACCTCTTCGAGATATCTCAAAGAATATACTGTAAAGTGAATTGACTTCTTTTGGGGGACTGCCTAAATCACCTTCCAGCTTTAATTACCATCTGTGTTCAAAAAAAACCATTACTGTCTTGCCTAAACTTGCCCTTTATTCCTCTAAAACAGCCCTTCCCTTCATATGCCTGACCTTTGTGTCCTCTTGCCTGCTCCATTGGCATATCTATTGTCATCTGTTGTTAAGTGGTTATAGCTCAGTGGTTAGAGCACTCGCTCACACGCGAGAGACCTGGGCTTGATTCCCGGCAGGGTGAAATGTTGAAGTTTCCTTACTCCATCCGTCTCTGTTTACCAAGCAGTAAGTAGAAAACCGGTTGTTAATCGATTGGTGGATCGCTTTTCCAGGATAATAATTCCTTCAAAAAAAATTAATAATAAATTGGTCACTTCAGTCCATGAACGTTTGTGGGACACTGTTGGCTGCCACGTTTCTCCCACAAAGCATACAGTCAATTCACTTTACAGTATATTCTGTGAGGCACTTTGAGACATCTCAAAGACGTGATAAGGCGCTATATCAAATAAGAGGATTATTTTATGATCTATTGTTAACTTATTGTCATCTATTGTTAAGTTAATGTTCTGACTTTACTTTCTCTATCCAATTGGATATCTTATATAAAAGATCTCCTGTGAGGTCTATTTCTCTAAGCTGTAATGCTGGACGTCAGCTTAATTGTTGGGCAGCCTCCTTATGTCATGGTGACCAGATCTGTACATAGCATTCCTGGTGTTTCCTGACCAAAATACGGCATACTGTTCCAGAATTTGAGTTCAACTGGTTAGAGCTCTCACATACAAGCGTTACCATTTGGAAGAGCAATTTAATTCTCCCCGTTCGAGTGGTCGTTGCTTGACACTTCAAAATCAAATCGAGTTTCTCCCATTGTCTTGCCCAACAGTGCTCTAGATCAATTGATTATTCACTTCATGGCTGTTTGGAGGACCTTTTTGTGCATAAATTGGTTGTCCTACAAATATACAATCGCTCCACTTTACAGCAATTGCCTTTGAAATATTTCAATATTATAGACTTCATATCAAATGCAAAGAGCATTTATAATTTAAATATGTGATCCCATCAAACTGCTGTTGCACTGGGGGTGGGGGAGAATAAACTGATGTGTTTTTAGGAGATAAGATGCTCCACTCCGTCTGATTTAATCAAATACTGTAAGATACAAATGAGGATTTACATACATGGCTCATTTTGGGGTGTGTATGTTCACATTTGTGTATGCAAAATTATGGTCATTATGGTGCATAATTTTAATGTGTTGCCTCTAATGTGTCATTACTGATGCTGCTTAGAGTGTAGTGTTTGCTGTCCAACAAGCACTCTGTGAGTCACCTGCCTCTCACCCATTCGTAACAGCACGGCATGCAGCAAAAAGTACAAAGTGGTTGATGCACAACTGAAAGATGTTAGCTCACGCTAACACAATTTAGCAAGGCTGCTTAATTTGGTAGAGTACATTTTGTTTTGACAAGATCCATTTGACATGACTTGGTTTTGTTTGGATTCTTGACTAACACATGAATGCCTTTTTATAACAATAATAATAATCCTTACATTTGATACTGTGTCTTTCACAATGGGAGAATGTTTCAAAGGGCTTCACAGGATTACAGAAGTTAGAATAAAAGTGTGGTGACTATACATTTTGTAGACAAGCTTGTCACAGGGAATTGTCCAGGTCAGAGCAATTCTTACATAATATATATATATATATATATATATATATATATAAAATCTTGGCTTCAGATTTAATTGTGATCTTGGGGAATTTTTATTCTGATTTGGTTTCCTGGATTTGATTTTGTAACTTAAATTTGTGAAGGACCCATGAGACACTGTGAGTAATACTCGATTTGTGCCACAAAGAGGCAAAACAAACTTGAATCAGAAGATGTTGGGAAAGATCAGGAAACACCCTTCTTTTGCAATGTTACTATTTCTGTTTTTTTTTGCAATGATACTATAATGATACTGTGCATTCTTACAGTGGTTCTCCATTCAGTCAAGCGGATACTTAACTTCACCAATATATGTGTGTGTGTAAATATATTATATATGTTATTGTGATATATACACACTGTCTCAGGTCTTAGAGACTGCTTTACTTGTCCCGATTTCCTGAATAAGAAATGTGTAAGCAGATGAATTTATATGGGATGATGGGTGGATCCAGAAGGAGAATATGGCCAGTGATAGCAGATCGCAGATCACTTTACAGAGGTTACGGTTTCTGCAAGTGTGGTTAGAAAGTGGTCTGGTTTTCTTAGATATTCATTGACACCAGGTTACACTGCTTGCTATCTAAAGAGTGTTGTTGCAGTGCGGGCAGCAGCTTCTACCCTATAAACAAATTCACGCATCAAGGTGTTCACATTGTGTGAACGGCCATCTTCGGATATGAAGTGCAATCATTACTATTATAAAATGTATTGGGTTGCGTCTGAGGCATTGTAATAAGGCTTTTGTCCTTTTAAAAACTACCTATACCACTCCCTTGAAGCAGTTTAGGATGCGCTTATAGTGTTCAGCTTGCATAAATGCACCTCAAAGGTGGATATACTCATATCTTCTGTAATAAATGTTTACTAGGAAAACGGTGTTTAATAACCTTTTCTGCCTGTCCTGGGCATTTACCCCCTTTTCTCTCTCTCCCTCCCTTCTCCCTGTCCCCCACCATATACCATAATAATAATAATATTATAGTAATCCTGGCATTTGATATAGCGCCTTATATCATTGAGATGGCTCAAAGCACTTTCTGGAATATGCTGTAAAGTGAACTGACTGCATAGCATGGTAGCTATTTGCGCATGGCAGTGTCCCACAGACTGTCATGGATTGTATACCTGTAAACCTGTGGAATGGGCTCCCTAGGGAGATGGTTGAAGCAGGAAATGTTGATTCCTTCAAACACAGATTAGATCATTTTCTTTTAGGAAATAACATTATGGGATATAGTACATTGGTAGTTCGGGACGTATGTGCAGGTGATTGCTGGGAAAGAGGAAGGCGAACTAGATGGACATTGTTTTTTTTTTCGTCTAGCATTTCTTATGATTGAGTGACCAAATTATTATTTTTTAAAATTTTTTTTGATGGGATTATTACTCCCATAAAGCAATCTGCCAATCAACTAACAACCGGGTCTTACTTACTGCTAGGTAAACAGAGGCGTGCGGAGTAACAAAATTTACCAACGTTTTCACCGCGTCTGGGAATTGAACCTGTATTCTCTCGCTTGAGAGGCAAGTGCTCTAACCAATATGCTACAGGACTCTATGAGTCTTCCATCCTCTTCACATCGTCCCCCTGGGAAGAGAACTGTTGTCTGTATCTGCACTGTGAATCTTGCCTTTGAAGAGCAAGATCAGTTTTGTAGAAATCCGATTTATCAGAAGTGGCTGAAATTCAGTAGTCTGCTATTTAAAAACAAATACAGTCTGTTCTTTCAAAAAAAAAAGCTGAACCTCTAATATATAAAATCCTGCATTCACGTCATTGAGACGTGCAAAGAGCTTCATAAAATATACTGTAAGGTGAATTGACTGTATATTTTGACAGCAAAATGTAATTCGAAAGTAATTGGAACCATGATTCTTAATTAATGAAGTGTGCCTCTACCTTGTATAGTGTTTATTGGAAAACAGTAATGGAAATGGAAAATAAGTTTCACTTTATCTATATTATAGTTTTAGGCTTTAAAGTAGTTGAAGCGCATGTTCTTTTCCTACCTTTGGGCGGCTGCTTAACCTGCTGTGATTAACTTGATAAAGGCCCACTCTGGACGGAGGGTGTTTACTGACCAGATGAATTTGCTAGTGGTTCTATCATTAAACACCTTGAATATCTGTCACCTCAAGTGTAAAGGTTTGTATTTGGACTGTGTGGTGAGGCAGTAATGTTTCCTTAATGGATGTGTTTGATCACTCACAGCTTCACTGAAACAGAGAATGTAAAGCAGGTGGTGGATGTTTGTTGTGCAATGAAACTGTCAGGCAATGAAGGAGTAAATCATTTTTATCTTTCAACATCTACTTCTTCACAGTGACGTGTTCATTTAATATCAGCTTTTCATTTGTGTTTCCTCCCACCCTTCTCCCCGATTAAACAACATTGTTGATAAGGTCTTCACAATGATCATTTGTATTGGAGCTTTCCATCACCGAGGTGGCGAGACAACCGGAGCAACCCAGACAGTTGCCGCAGCAACATATTGTTTGTGCGGTTGTAGCTTCCTGAGAAGTGGCTACTAACTCGGGATTTATCATTTCCTCGCAATCTGAGTGTCGTCAGCAGTGCCCATGTTGTGTCCGAATGTGATTGAAATTCAGCACATCAAAGGCCGCTGTACACTTCCCAGAAGCTGTTAGATCTTCCCAGCAACAGCTGCCACTCCGCCATGCTAACTGGCACTGAAGATATGATGTTTAACGTTGCCGTTAGATATTGTCCTTTAACGCTCATCAGTCATTGGCAGCACACAGACATAGACCAGAATCTACAGTTTTGCTCACGAGTCAATAGATAATAATGATCCTTGCATTTGATATAGCGCCTTATCATGTTTCCGAGACGTCTCAAAGCGCTTCAAAGAATATAGTCTAAGTGAATTTTGTGGGTGAAATGTGGCAGCCAATTGCACACAACGGTGTTCCTCAAACAGTCCTGGATTGAGTGACCAAATTATTTCTTTATTTGGATGAAAAATTGCAGATATCTAAATTTGAAACCAAGTAACATAGACATATAATCTCAAGAAACCAGCCTTTACTTCTCATTAAGGTCAGATAATTCTTTTTTTCATAAAACCATCAAAGAAAAGTGAAAAGAACAGATAACGCTTTGTCAAGTCAAATGTTGCAAGCCAAAGACTGAAAATCAATCCTGGTGTGATTTTTGTCATGCTGTAAAAAGTATTCTAGTTACACCTGACTGCAGAGTTCATGATTTCTACTTCTCAACTTCTTATTCAACATTCTAATTGGGGCAATTCAAGCCAAAGGTTAATATGTAACATGACGTTCAGTGGAGTCCTGCAGCGTTTTGGTTAGAGCACTCGCAACGCAACCAAGAGGACCTGGGTTCGATTACCAGACAGGGCGAAACATTGGGTAAGTTTCCTATTCCACGTGCCTCTGTTTACCTAGGAGTAAGTAGGAACCCAGTTGTTGGCGGATTGCTTTTCCAGGGGTAATAATCCCCTTAAAAAAAAAGTTAATTAAAAAAAATGTGGTCACTCAATCCACGACTGTTTGTGGGACACTGCTGTGCGCAATTGACTGCCATGTTTGGCCCACAAAAATATATAATCAATTCGCTTTACATTATATTCTGTGAAGAGTTTTGAGACGTCTCAAAAGCGTGATGAAGTGCTATATCAAATGAGAGGATTATTATTATTACACTCGCATCTATTAGGAAGCTTGCAGTTAACAAAGTTAATACTGATTTAAACTGAGATAACAAGAAGCAACAAAGGCTACAGTGTAAACAGTGTAGGCCGTGTTGAAATCTACATCTGAGCTTTAATTGCTCAAAAATACAAAATATCGAGGGAGGGGGAAGGGAGAGAATAAATCAGAACGCAATTACAATGTGAAATAAATTCTTAAATATAGTGCTGATGTGACATGTAAAAAGGAACATTGTGTAAATGAGATATTTTAAAATGTAAAATATGAAACAAACATCTACAAAGCAAGAGTAAACATTGCTTTAAGCCTTGCTTTAGGAACAAAGAATGATGGACACTTCAAAGTTTCCAGGATTGCAGACATAGATAGCTGACTACATACAGGAAATTAACAACCCACGGCAGTGCTGGATACAGTGAGCAACAGATGGTTATGTTTTCAACTTGTTCACAGGTTTAACAACAGGAAAAAATCATAATGCTTTCATAATGCTTTTGCTGATCAGTCTTTAACTGACCATATTTATTTACTGTTTAATTGGTTGATCACTATAGATAGATTTTTGGTGTTAGATTTCTACACTGCAACAAGTCACTTCAATACTGTGGTTTATACAGTATACAAATGAGCTGGGAATTTTCATCAGATCTTATTTAGTATTTAGTATCATTAAATTTAGAAGTCCTCCCAACATGGAAGGTGTTATATCAATGTAAATTGTATCAAGGATATCTCTTTTTATAATCTTTCCTGCCTTTGTCAAAGTATAACATTAATTTAGGGCGATCACTGACATAAGACAATTATTTTCTTCACCTCACCGCAATGATCCTTTCTAATTAAGTTATTGATGTAAGAGCCAGTGTACTACACCTAAACTGGGATGCTTCACAATGCCTGTGAGGGCTAAACATTGGGAAATATTCCTTTTACAAAATATTGAAGAAATTTGTAATTCTAATCCCATTAAGAAATGAGGGAGTGAATCTAATATATTCGGATCATTTCAGCAGCTTTTTTTCGTGTGTGGAGTGGAAATGTAATGCAGAAGTCTTATATATCTAAGAGAAAATGAAATGGTCCTGTGTCAAACTGCTGAAGGAATGGTGGTTTTTGAGTTTCCCCTTCGTATCATTTTCTTGACCATTATATATTTTCTGCAAGAAAAGAATCAGATGGACTATTATTGCATGGAAATAAACCCAGTCCTTTTCTGCAGAACCACATCAGGAACAAATGTATCTGCATTTGAATGTATTGCTCGTCTAGAGAGACCTGAGATTAGTTTGCATTGGAATTGTAAATGTAAACGGAATGACCAGATTTTGAATAAGCCTGTATTGGATATTGAATAAGGAGAAAAATGTGCTTCTAGAAATGGGGAAAATAGCAGTATGAAAAATCACTAACAATTCGAGTTATTCTTTCAGTCTGGTGAGAACTGCACTTGGCTCAATGTGCTTCTTGCTTCTTAATGTGATTTATTTTTCTCCCCTAGATATTTTGAATGATGCTATATTTGATGAGGACCACGATGAAATGGTGATAGTGAAGGACATTGATATGTTTTCAATGTGTGAACATCATCTTGTTCCGTTTATTGGCAAGGTAAGAACAAAGCAACTGTGGCTGATATGAATCAACAGACCTGTTAAACCCAGATCTAAAATGCTGTACTCTGTCCAGCGCCTCGGGGTGTCATCCTGATGTGAAAGGCGCTACACAAATGTAATCTTGTTGTTGTTAAACCAGATCTCTCAGATATTTCTGGATGGAGCAACGAAGACACATTATATAATAAGGAACAAAACACAAATTGTGGGGTGGGATCAGGTATGAAAGGAATGTTGTATGATTTGTACAAATTTGTACAAAGCATGATTTGTACAATTTCTTTGCAGACTTCTGTCCAAATAAAATATTTGCATCTGCAAATTAACTAGCGTATTGGACGCAGGGAAATGCACCTAAGTGGAGAGTGTATCTCTTCCCCATCCACTCTGGAATTGTGGCTGATTTGATACATTCATACATTTAGCTTTTTTTTAATAACTTTTTGTCACTTGTTTTTGTTCCGATTGTTCTCCCAACTATCCTGTCACAAGGAGCTTCTCCCATTCAATCCTGGATACTGTCTACCATGGCTAACAATGGGATCTGGAAGGACAGTCAATTCACTTTACAATATACTCTGTGAAGCCTTAATGACGTGACAATACTAATAATAATCTTTGCATTTGAGGTAGCACCTTATTGCGTCTTCGAGATGTCTCAAAACGCTTCACAGAATATACTGTAAAGTGAACTGACTATATATTTTGTGGGCGAAATATAGACAAGGTGTTATATCATATGCAAGGATTATTTTATAAAGGGCTTTTTGTTCACCCTGAGCTATGTGCTCTGAGACCTGAAATTCCTCATGGTCTTTAAACTTTTGAAATTTTGGGAGTTGGTCAATCACTCCCATGGCTGCTTGTGGAACAGTGCGTAAACCAGCTGCCGTATTTCGTCCACAAAATACACAGTTAATCCCTTTACATTGCAATCCTGTGAAGCTCTTTGAGACGTTTTGTTGACATGATAGGGCGCTACATCAAATGCAAGGATTATTATTAATAAATTCTCAAATTCCGTCCTTAGTTGGATGTCCTTAGTTCCGTCCTTAAATCAAACTGTTTTTCTGCAGTTCTAAATTGGTATTGTGCAAAACTGACTTCAAAATTTAAGAATCTTCCATATTTTGCGTCTTAAATTTTAAGACCATGATCTAAAGCCTGGGACCATGAAAAATGTAAGGCCCAATCCCAGAAACTCTGCAGACCGTGTTTAAAATTATCCCCTTGAAATGTTCATTGTGTACCTCATTCTACCAAACAGGTAAATAAATCTTATTATTTCACACAAGGATGGCATATAGCAGATACAGTGTACAGTACAGACACCCATATACTGCGTGTACAGTGAGGCTGACTTACTTCTACAGTAAGTTGGTGGGTTTTACTGTTCAACACCCCTGTAGCTGTGGACAGAGGTGATCAGCAAGACTGAAGAATTGCGAGACATCCTCTCCACTCAGAAATCCTTCTCTGGTAAATCTTCTTTTGAAGACCGTGGTTCATATTCCACCACAGCTTGCCACACTTTCCCACTTTTTGGCTTCACAATTAACCCTTTCCTAAATGTTGTAAATCAAATAGCTTCTGATATTCTCAATCAACCACTGGTCACAATTAACACAAAACATCAGGTTTGTAAATACCTGGTCGTAAATTGTGTGGATAGGTTTTTTTTGTACTGTGTATATTGCAGTCTGGCTAAAGGACATATGGCAAGTGTTATCCAATGTCGTCAAACTTGCATTGCAAAGTGCAGCTAATTTAGTGGCAAACATATGGCCTCATTCAAGTGGGTTTATGCCATGAATAGCTGAACCAATGCAGACTGAGGAGCTGCCAGGTTCTGTTTCGCGACCCAGCTGAATAATAAGATGATTTCAGTCAAGGAGGTTTGCTGCTTCTGATTTCTAGCTGACAAACCACAGCAGATATAGAGAGTAATTGAGGAGAATATTGAGGTGAAGTGTGATTTGCTCTCTCTCCTCCCCCACCCATTGATACCAGTGTTAAGGCTCAGCTGGGATTTATGGCCACTCGAGTGAGTTGTCAGAAGTTCCTGTGGACCATCAAAGCGCTTCAGTAGAAACTTACTCTATTTAAAAACAAGCCCTTCAGAGGACATGACTCAAACCTATGCTCCAAAAGTAGAAGAAGGTAAAAGCATGAATTTCAGAAAAGAGAGATGGAAAGATTTATCCTTCAGCAGCTTGACTAATCAAATCGTTCCTGACATTTATTTCAAAACACTTTGCAGAGCACAAGAAATGCTTCGGGCCAGTCGTCACCGTATTAAAGCAGATCACAGTAGACAGCAGCTTGGCTACACTGGAGATTACATCAGTAATCTGCAAGAACAGCTTACATGTTTCATTATATTTAACCCTTTGAACTCTGCAGGCGGATGTTTTGTCTTGTTTCTCCGTATTTCATTGTTCACAAATCCTAACCAAAGCCATCTTGCCCTACCCTACAAAAGAACATTGCTGAGTGAATGAGCCATGTAGAGTTAATTGCATCATTCCTTGCTGTGACACCCTCTGCTGTCTTCTCCACTGTAATCGTTATAAGCAATTCTATGTGTGAGGAGTTCACGGATGGGAAACTAAAATGAGCAATGCCATCAATTTGACTCTAAGCATCTAGGATGTCAGCAGTATAGTCTTTATATGACAACAAATGTCTGTGCAAGCTGTACACCCAAATTCAACGCCCCTGCATCAGAATCCACTGAAGGACATCTCCAGCACACTGACGCAGCTCATGTTTCAGTGCTTTGCTCTTCCTACCCAACCTGATCAGGTATCGCCTGGAAGGCACCAACCAAATGTGACTTTCATTGCCAAAGGCATGTCGCTGTCTGTTGCAGGTGGGGCCTTTGATTTGTTGTGAGTGGGGAAATTAGCTCGGATTCACTTGTGAATCCTTATATGCTTGCACAAATCTTACCCCCTCCCGCAACAACATTGCTCCTGTTCTGCATTGCAATAAATAATGGATAATTGTAGGAAGCATCATGATCATGAACTGTTCCCCACTTGAAGTTAATAACTAAGCCACATTCCCTTGGAGGTGCGACAGTGGGACCTCACTTAGTTAGTTGTTTGAGAACAGGTTGGTTTCAATTCTCTCAGCTGGCTACAATGCGAGGAACCAAAGTAGGAAGTGAAGAACCCTCTTTTTAAATAATATGGGTTTCCACAAATCTCCATGTATTTAAACCTTTAGAATGACGTTCTTTTGGCATGAGATGTTAAAGCAAAGCAATCTCTACTTGTTCTCGTGGGAAAGAGGAGGAAGGGTTTCAGGTCAATGTCAAAAGCTCCCGTAGCACTATTTCAAAAATGAGCAAGGAATTAAATCTGTTTTCCTGGCTAGTATTCCTCCTTCATCCAAATTCATAAAAAAGGCAATTCAGTTTAGTTGTTCATCTCACATTTGTTCAGGTCGATGTTTGTGTAGGTTAAATGCTCAACTAATAGTTACAGTCACTAGACTTCAAAGTAACCTTCACTTTTTGAAACACTTTGAGATGTTTTGACAGAGTGGTCTGATATTTTAATTTCATTTTCAACCCTCTTTCATCTGCCCCCTCCCCACACCCCTCGTCTCCTACCCCTACCTCGGATGCGAAGCCAGTATTGTTAAGCGCCTTAAGATGTCCTCGATGTGAAAGGCACCATGTAAATTTGTATTGAATATCAAATTTGTATTCTAACTTCATACGGTGGATCTGAAACTGCAATGCTCCCAGCTGGAGATTGAAACGATTACTTTTATTAAACACCAAAATCTGTAGCCAGGATCTTCATCTTCATTTTTTCTTCCCTATTTTGACAATTTGATTGAAAAGCAATAATGTGTTCTCATGCTGACTGCAGATTGAGGATTGTCCAGTCAATTAAATGTCTTAACCCATGACCCTGCTGTTCATTTAACCAGCTTATCCTTGATTTTTCTCTGTGCAGGTTGTTTGAAGTATGTGCTCAAGTGGGAGTATTGCAATAATAATTAAACAGTCCAGGCTTAAACAGAAAATGACATATTACTGTTGTTCCTTTCTTTGCAGTGTTCTCAATATTGTCTGTTATAAATGACTGTTTAGAGTATGTGTGGTTTATGTTGCACATTTTATCTGTCCACTTTTGTTATTGCTCTGTTATGCTCCTGTTAACTAAATACTATTGGCGGTAAACTAATAGAGGATCATAATTCATCTGAGAAATGTAATGCAGAGTTAGTCTTATCTGCTGAACTTTGGTTCTCGCAGTTTGCATCAGGCCACGAATATTCTTGGGCATCTTAGAATTCTTTGATCTCCTGCTCTCAGCAAGCCTTTGAGTTCATTCATAAAATCTGTTTGCCTTCCAGTTGGTCTTAACTGCCTCTGTTTGATTCCACCTTACAGTCCAAAAAGATCGGAGTAAATGGGTGAGGGTAGCACAAGCAGTGCATTAAATGGGTAGCAAGTGGTTCTTTTTCAAATTATTGCTATAGCAATAATAATTCTACTTGTCCATCTCCTCGGCTATATTGCAAGGATCGTCTTCAAAGCCTGTAATGACTACACTTTGTGAGCGTAAGATTCTTTGTCTTTGAAACTGTCTCCTCTTTTGCAGGTTTCAATTGGTTATTTACCTAACAGAACAGTTATAGGAGTGAGCAAGTTAGCCAGGTAACTGGGCATGAGTGCCTGCTAGAGACACAGATACAGCACATGGGAATTGGTGCTCCTTTCGTTTCAATTCAGTGCTCACCGTTCCAATTGGGTTGAAAAGGCAATGAAACAAAGACTGCTTTTCCCCTGTTGCTGTATCAGTGGCGAGTATCCTAAGTCTTTGGTTAACAGCAGGTAGAAAACTAACATTTAAACCATCACAATATGGTTGTTGCATGTGTACTTGTAAGCTATTTTCGTAAAACAATTACAAAAAACATTTTAATGTTTTTTTAAAATACAAAATATTTATGCTCTCAGAGTGCACTAATCAAGTCAAAGATTCACATAATCATTTTATTACTGGAGAACTGCTGGGATTAATGTTTTGCCAAAGACTTGAGATAAACAGCACTGGTTGCTACTAACCGTAGGAGACCAAAGTTCTGTGCAGTTTAGTTCACTGGCTTGTAGTTGAATGACCAGACCTCCTTGAAGTCATGTTAGTCACAGCTTGCTGTTTGTTCCAAAAGGCTGCTATGATTGCATGGTCATCCCATTGCACACATTTGGCCTCATACTGATTTGGGACCTGTTGGAAAGCATCAGCACTTCTCTAATCCAAAGATATTCGAATTTTGGGGTGAGATGGCTCCTGGTCCCACTGTGTGCGGTCAAGTGTAGTCAATGTTTTCTTTCCATCCTGTAGGTACATATAGGTTATCTACCTGACAAGCGACTCCTTGGCCTCAGCAAGTTAGCCAGGTAAGTGCAGTACCTGATGACTGCGATTGCCCTAAACCAGTGACTTGCAACCTTACTTTATTTCTTGAAAGAATTGACTTTTTTGAAGATGTTAAAACCATGTTGGCCAGAAGCTAAGTGCATTTTTCTGAATGCTATTTCAAGGTTCATTGGTATACTTTTTGTTAAATAATGAGGTTGATCACTGAAATGCAAACCGTCTAAACAGATAATTGTTTGGATTCATGCCCCATCTCACATCTCTGTTCTGCAAGTTTGGCCATTTATCACAGCACGGTTTCAATTTGAACAAGTTATACAGAGATGGTCAAAGTGCACTCTTGTATATTTACCCTTTGTGAAACGCAAAGCTAAAAAATAAACCAATAATCAACCCAACGGAGGTAATTTTATTTGCCCGGCATAAACACATAGAAAATCAGTTCAGTGCACGCATTCCTAACAGAATGTTACTAACCTTGCTAACCAACGTCAATCAAATGCTTGAATAACTGTAGTTGACATTTTGCAATAAATCTGACATTTTATTTTTATGGCACCCGCTGAGCGTATAATAGCTCTGCCTTTTGTCACCGAATTCCTGGGTATTGAACCAAACGAGTAAGTAATTCAATTCCAATTGTAACACTCCATTAGGGAGTCATTGTTCTGAGCTTTTATGTAACCCTGCAGGTCAACATTGTTTGAAATATTTGGTGCATCTATTAACCACTTGTTGTGATGTGACCTAATGAGGGAACACCAACAGAGAGCACCCACACAACTCTTGACTACTGACTAGATAGGGAGTGCAGGAGGTACATGCACACATGACCTTAAATTTTAACATTCCCAGTATTGTAGCTGCCTTAAATCCAATGCTAATGTACTTCTCTGCTTAAATGTAACTTTTCAAACACTTTAAAAGGAACCCAGTTTTCTGCACCTGTTTTAATGTGTCCTGTGTTTATTTTAACTGTTTTAATTGAAGCTTATCATTGAAATGTGATTGTCTCATGTTAAATAAAAGGACACCCTAAATTTAGTAATGAATTCCAGCGTTTGCTATTCATTGAAATGAATAAAGTAAGGTTGTTCTTTACTGGCTTGGAAATGCTCAGAAAAAAATCCCTTGTTGCATGATTAGAAAATAAAGTTAAACTATCAACGGTGTGTTGAATGTGCAAAATGCATTTTTTTTTTAAGAAACATGGAATAAAACATAAATGCCACAACTGCGACACATCAACCTGCATTTAAAGAATCTGATCTAATCCATGGTGAAAATACAGTATTGTGGTTAGAGGTTATTTGGCCTACAGAAAGATTTCAAGAAGCAAAATTACATTATATGGAAAATGAAACCATCTGTGCATTTTTATTTTTGTCCCTTTGACATTGATGGTCATCCATGGAGCAGTGAACTTTATATTACCTTCAGGATAAAGGTCCATGTACTTCCCTGAGCATGAAATGAAAATTCACCTAGACAAACAATTAGGAGACTGGAACTGTTCTACAGTGATGATAGTGTAATGATCTACAACATTTGGTTTCCCCCCTCCCTCCCTTGCCAAGTAAAAGCATATTAGACAGAAGCATTAATTTAAAACTGAGCGATGCTGAAGCACTTCACACATTCAGACGCCGTATGATTTCAACTTTGGTTTTAACGCTTAGAGTAACAGAATCCGCAAAAATCGTTTCCTTCATGTAACATTTTCAAAGAAAATGTCTCCAATTTATTTTATTCCTATTGATCAACATTGTAAAATAGCCTCTAAGTGGAATACTAAAATATAGTCAACTTGGAGTAACTTTTTGGGTGGCAGAAAATCTAGAACAATTTTTGCTTTTCAGAGATATCCACTATATTTTTATATTTGTTTAAAGAAGATATTTATATGATTTTGTTTTTCAGGATTGTTGAAATATACAGTAGGAGACTCCAAGGTAAACATTTGCCTGAATTGAGTAGGTAGTTGCAATATATGTTTTATTTACTTATTTATATTTAAGTTCTGACTTCATGTTAAGTTGTTACATTCAGTGTGAAGTTTTTCATACGTAGCAGTCCTGCCAACACAGTTCAGCACAGGTCCACAATTACTTTTTATTGGGTGGGAGAAGAGATGGAGTTTAAAACGTGATTTAGCAGAGGTTATTGAAGCCTTTGAAATTAAGTTGCATTTCCAGCACTGTTTTATTTCACTGCAACCTTGGTTTTGCTGGAAGAATGGCACACTGACATTAAGAGAGGATCATGGAAGAGGGACTTATTGCTGCTGAGTACATGTATTTTGATGTGTACTTAAATTGGGATTTCTCCATTGTGGCAAGATAATTTTTTTTGCACTGTGGTAAAGTGGACTTTTTTCTTTATATCACTCCCACCCCCTCAAAAGAAAAACTATTTTCAATCAACAACTAAACAGAACTGCAGCCCAGCTGTTCCAGTCACTCAGCACCATCATGACCTTTTTAAAAGCAGGTCAATATCAGTGCTCCTGGGCTAAAGCTGCAGCAGTTTATTGTACAATTCTGACGCCACTACTTGCGCTACATTAAAGTGGATTTGCCTGGACGAACTCCTGCCACTGTTGTGTGATGCAGAATTATCGTTACTAAAGAGGAATTAAGCATCTTAGTGCTAATCCTATTCAGCAATGACACAATGCGAACTCTGTTTAATATTTACAATAAAACATTGTAAATAAGTATTTTACTCGGATTACACCAAAATGTTTAAATAACACTGTTGTATAGATGTCTAAATTAAGAGATTGCTGTTCGCAGAATTATGAATGGTGGTAACGTATTCATAGGGTGGAATAGTTGTAAAGAAATCAATAAGCTTTTTATACCTTAAGCAATTGATATATTTATTTTAACATCTACAAATAAATTGTCAAGTTTTCAACAATCTACCAGTGTTAAATGAGTTTGGCAGANTTTTTTTTCAAATGATTTTCCCCATGATTTCCTCCTATTTACCCTCTATTCTCTTCTTCCTTGTGTATGCCTCCCAAGTTACCAGCTTCACTCAGTGATCCATGAGGTATATTTGAGGGAGAACGGAACAGAAGGGATAGGAGGGGTGAGGCTCTGAAGTATGGAGCATATACACCCTGCACAGACTTGGGTTGAATGGCCTGTTCCCATGCCGTAATCACTCGATGTAATCATGTAACGCTGCTCTTTCTTCCTGGGAACAGTACAAGAACGTCTCACCAAGCAGATTGCTGTAGCCATCACAGAAGCCTTGAAGCCTTCCGGTGTGGGAGTTGTGATTGAAGCCACGTGAGTCCCGAATCAATAATTCACATCGTTTTAATGCTGTTTGCATCCACAATTTACTTTTCTGATCAAAATTAACCAACTTTAACTTATTACTCAAACATACTTGATGCACATAATTGTACAGTTTTGTTAAAGAAACTTACTTTGCTGAATTAGTTGGTTTGTAAAGAAACTCCGTGTCATTAGTTCCCTGTAAAGTTATCTATGCAATATGTGCGATGATATGAGTTTTTCAAAGGCTCTTGTTTTCTTTGTTCATTCCTGTTTAGAGTGGCTGAAACTATGGTTATTTTGTGACCATCACAGAGGCCTTTATTGTTATTTTCTTAAGATTAATAAATACTGGCAAACTAGATGTAAGAAAGCATATGGCATTTGCAGTAGACTCAACATCAATAGGCAGGCGAGATTCATATTCTGTAAGCCAGGCAACCTTTCAGCAAATCACAGGTGTCACTTTATTGTTTATAATGTGTTTTTTTTCCCCCTCCCAGACATATGTGCATGGTTATGAGAGGAGTGCAGAAGATGAACAGTAAAACAGTAACCAGCACCATGTTGGGTGTATTCCGTGAAGACCCAAAGACCCGCGAAGAGTTTCTGACTCTTATTAGGAGCTGAAAGTAAAGTCCTAAGTTTAGGTGCAATATGTGTACAAGCTGCTAATAGATGTTCAGTATGCGCTTTACCTCTCTGTTTTAGACCACTTGTGTATGCATAGGTGTTGGTGTGGAATTCATATGAACATGTGAAGAAAATTTACATTTCTGTACTTGAGGCTTTGCTAATATATTTACTGTAATTGGATGCACTGAATTGACACAAACATGGTTGAACACTGTAGTTAAGAGTGGTTGAAATGCTTTTTAGCATTCAATCCAATCTAAAGCAAATTAATCAGGTCAATTTTACAATCAAGAAAGAAAATTAATAAAAATACTTCATTCCACAAGAGGTTTCCATTTTCATTTCAGGACTTCTATTGCATAGACTCTTACCATTCTCTCCAAATCACATGAAGCCCCATGCTATTCTGGTTTAACTTAAGAGACTCAAAAATATAGTATTGCTTTATTCACCAATGAATCAGCACAGCCCTAAGTTTAATTGTTAAACCTAAATATCACTGTTTGATATCCCTCTGTTCATCGGGCTCCGGTCTGCTCCATGTCTCCCACCTGATCCGTCCTACCATCGGTGGCCGGGCTTTCAGCCTCTCTGCCCCCACACTCTGGAACTCCATCCCACGGTCCCTTCACCTCGCTTCCTCCCTTGCCTCCTTCAAGGCCGGTCTCAAGACCTTTCTCTTCGATCGTGCCTTTGGTTGCTCTCCCACCACTCTGCCTTCCCTCACGCCTACCCCACCCCTCCCCCATTCTCGGGTCCTGACCATTGACTGACCAGCGCCTTGGGACGTCCTCCCGACGTGAAAGGCGCTCTACAAATGTAATCTTGTTGTTGTTTGAAACTGAATTCTACTTTTGGTGTAAATTTATTTATTTTTAAAGTCATTGTCTACAAAATTGGATAATTTTCCATAAAAGTCTAAAACCAAGTTTATAATGGTAATAAATTGTTTAATTACAATTAGGTTAAAGAGTAAAATATTGCAGTATTTTGCCTATCTTTGAAGAATGCATAAATTAGTGATACAATTTCAGGATAACTTCCCTTGTGAAGGCTTTTAATGTGTTGTTTTATTCAATACATCTGTAAGAATTCCAAATCATTATTCAGTCAAGTGTGAAAGATGGTTTGAGCCAAATCAGTGAAGGAAATGCACATTGCTACAATGTGTGAAAAACTGATTTGTTGTTTTTTTGAACTCATCGTGTCAAGTGTTTCGTCTACTTAAAAGCCCAAATTGTTCTTTTATAAACCAATGAAGTATTAATTTGATCGGTGCTAAATTGATGTTTCAAATTGAACCGTACCTGAGCTAGTTATTTCAGCAAGAACCTTGTGGTAATGTGTAGTTCATGTCATTGAGGACGACATTTCAAAAAGGAGAGCATAACCGTAACAACTGTCAGTGAAGGAGCGTCAGTAAATTAACTGAAGGATTAGGATGAATTTCTGATCCACAAACAAGGCTCAAGTCATTTATATCATCTGAAATTGTTTCAGGATACCATTTTTTTTAATGAGATTCAGTGTTGCTGATAACTGGCCCCCCCTTGTGTGATAGCAATGGAACTGAAGGATGAAGAATGTCATTGCTAAATATTAATAAAGATAATTTCTGTTAGATTACCATGAAATGTTTATGTTAAAGATGTGCGATTGTTCCTCCGCTGAAGTCTGGTTCTAAAATTTGTACTCTGCTACTGAGAGCAATTGTTGATTTTAAAAAAAGTCAAAATTGTATGATTTCTATATAGCCTTATAACACTTGAGTAAATATTATTGTATTTCCTTGGTATTTTTAATGTATTGCTTAAAAAAACTTTCTGGTTCTGGATTGAATCCTTTAGCTGTAAAATGTATAAAATACACCAGAATCATGTACAGATTTCCAACAAGCAAATAAATGCCTTGTGCGGAAAGTGAAATTGTTTAGAATGAGTAACTGGTGTTGGTTATATGAAGTCATATGGTATAAGGAATTTAGAATCTGTTAACATTAAATTGTGGCCTTGGACTCTGTTGTATCCTCAAGTCCTTGCAGGCAAACAGAATTTTGTTTGTTTTACTTGCACATTTTGAAATTGCCATTTGAAATGTGTTCTGTTGCAAATAATGTAGTGTATATGTCTTGCACATTATTTACACAAAGAAATTTACTGTTAAGATTTTATTTCTAAATTATAATTAAAATCTTAAGTGTGCTGATTTTGCAATGTTTTGTATCAATTAATTACAATCGAGTGCCCATGAGTACCTGTGCATTGCTGTTCTGACCTCTGGGCTGAATGCATAAAATGAGCGGTTTGTACAGTGTCAGAATTTGTTAGCTGTTAAGCCTGAGCAGGTGTGTGATGCATGATGATCAGCCAATTGGCTTTTAGGCTGGAGCTAAACTTCAGCGAGTGTTTGTTTGCTCATAAGCATCCGTATGGATATCTGCTGCTTAAAATCAATGCATGAATTATCTGACCAATTCTGTTTTTATCAAATCATTTTGACTTTATGCAGGCTCTCTGGGCACGAATTTGAGTCATCTGAAAACAAGTTACCTTCAATTTACAGTGGCATTAGAGAGGAAGTAATGCTAGATCATATAATCCTATAGCCTGGAGAAGGTTGCATTTAAGATTCAGGGCATAAGTTGAGGCTGAACACCTTTTGCACAATAAACTCCCAATGATGACACCTCAACAGAAAACCTATGCAACAAGAGTTATTAGAAACAATGTCCCTGTTTATTCAAACATTTGAAATTTGTGAAAGTAATTATCCTGCACTTGGGAATTTTTTTTGTCAGAAAATAAAGCAAGATTATGGCATGAAACACTGGGCAGCAGTCTAACGGCAGATTTGAGCACTGATGAAATTTACTTCCAAATAAGGGTGGGGTGGGAGGAAGAAAATACAGAATAGAAGGAAATCATAGCAATCTGATTTACAAGATATTGCATTATAAATAACTTCACCGCATCTCTTTCAAATAAGATGGAAATAGAAATTGAACTATTGCTGGGATGGGGGATAGCGAACAAGGGAAGTACTAGCAACACTGATTTTTACCATGGCAATAGGAACAGTAAAGATAGGCCCATGAACAGTTTTCAACCACGAAAGCACAATTTAGACACTAGAGTTTTTTTTTTCTGTTTGGCAGTAAATGTACCAAAGTGGTTGGTAAGTGCAATGCAGTACAGAATAACCTTGTAGACATTTTAAAAACCTGGGTGCAAATAACTGCATCAATGGCAAAGTGAGAGCAGTATAAGCAGATTGGGATAGAATGCCCTCTGCTGGACATACATGTGCTACATTCCCAATCAACAGAAAAATACAGTCTTTGCATTTTGTGGGAAGCTATGCAGTTTTAGCTGGTCAAACACCCATCACACATTCTGATTACAAAGACTTGCCTCTTGCCAATCCGTACCTAAAGCTGTGTAATCAGTAAGCAGAGTACGCCTCTCCAGGGAGCAAGTGTGCTATTCCATTCCAGACACAGGACAATTTCCATGGGTAAGCGAAATGCATGTTGTATTCTGTGTGCTTTGGATACTCTTAAGCACGGTGATAGGTTTCTGTTTGTGTCAGACAGACACCTGGCTGACCAAAATAAATCAAGTTACTGATCCTTGCATTTGATGTAATTGCATCAAGTTGTTGTGATGTCTCAAAGCACTTTGCAGGATATACTATAAAGTGGATCGACGATGCCTACTTAAAAAGAGAATCTCCCAGTGACCTGGCCAACAAAATCCCCAAATAAAGTCACTCACTCCATGGCTGTTTGTGGGACAAAGCTATGAGCGAACTGCAGCCATGTTTCGCCCGCAAAATAGTTAATCCACTCTACAGTATATCTGAGTCATTTTCATTCCTTTGTATTGAATAATTAATTCACTGGAAAGAATTAAACTTCGACCATTTAGTCCATGCTATCTGCTGTGCCACTACCTCTCTAAAGTTAATATACTTTGATCCTGTTGTTCTGTTCATACCAGACGATGCTTTTCTCATTCAATGTTGTCAACAGTCCAGTCATGTGGAGTCCTGTAGCTCAGTGGTTAGAGCACTCGCTTTGCAAGCGAGAGACCCGAGTTCATTTCTAGGCAGGGCGAAACCTTGGGCAAGTTTCCTTACACCACACGCCTAATAATAATCCCTCCAAAACCAAAAACAATAATAAATTGGTCATTTTCAATCTACGACTGTTTGTGGGACATTGCTGTGCGCAATTGGCTGCCGCGTTCGCCCACAAATTTGCAGTCAATTCACTTTACAGTGTCTTCTGTGAAGCGCTTTGAGACGTCCTCCCGACGTGAAAAGCGCTATATAAAATGCAAGGATTATTATTATTATAACAGTTATCATCAAAATGTCAAACTCCACAAAGTTTCATGAATCCATTTGCAACACACTTGTTGATATTTCAAAACCTGGAGGGCAGGGAGGCAGATGCTGACAACTACTGCATCTGCACAGTAGTAATTATAGAAAACCTGCCTTTCCAAAGGTTTGAGTTAAACAAGAGTTTCCATTATTTCACCCTTCTCACCCTCTGAAAGTATGCACATCATCCTCTTTCAGCTTCTTACACACTACCTGAATACCATTAGAGGCAATGAAGAGATACCCATGGTGCAGACCAACCCAGTTTGTGGAGGTGCGAGTTTTAAAGCAGTACAAAAAAAGCACACAAACATACACCAGTGTTACAAAAACTTGTATTAATCATCTCCCTTCACTTTCAATATAATGCTGATATGAAATAACCATCATTTTAATTAAATGAGAGAAATGGGAGTAATAAATACATTGTAGCAAGTTTGCAGTTTAAGTCACAAGGGTAGTTCATTGGTAACTTTAAACAAGAACATTTGAAAACTATACACTTGCAAAGAACAGCAAGTAAAACGCATTAGTGTTTGTCATAAAGCTTTAACATGTAACAAATGTGCTGTTTTCCATAGATGACATAAACTGTAAAAATATGCATTTATTTGCAGCAATAACTATGCAAGAAAAGTATTTCTTGTACACTACCTTCTTTACAGAGGGAAGCCAGAACATAAGCATGCATGCATTTACAATGAGGGGATGCCTCTGCCTGACATGCAACAAAGGAAAGAAAGCAACAAGGGATTGTGTATTTCAAAAAAAAGGAAGGAGTTCTATACTGAACTCCTCATTTAACAAAATTTAACAAAATGTCCATAAATATATAGGGATTATATAATAAAAGGAGGGAGGAAGTATCCAGGTCATTACTACTAGTGTTGCTGTTGCTTCCTATTCCTCCCAGAGGAATAAACATTCACCATTTTTGTCAAGATAAAGAAATACAAAAAATAAAAGCCACCTTAGCAAACTTTGATGACTTATACAAAACAATTTAATTTTTGTATTATTTAGTGTTATGTAGCACTGTGCACATACATCCACTGACAAAACCTGCCTTTGTACATGAACAGGAAATTACCACAATTGGTGTCTTACTTACAGCCATCGTCTCTTAAAGGCATCATGGCCAATCTGACACAAATTACAGGAAAAACCTATTCCTGGCATAGGTTTAATCACAGCACAAAAATGTTCTGTGCGGTTCTTCCAGTATAAAGTTTTCAATGTGCACAAGAAGTCAATCACTTCTCACACATTTGGACAGGCAATTACAAAACCAGGCTTTTTGCTGGGCTTGAAGGGATGTTTCTTGTGCGCCACATCATTTAACAAAACAAAAACAAAGACTATAAATATCAAGAAATATTTATTTTCACCTTTGTTTTTGAATTGATGGTGCTACCTTTGCTCTGTATAAAACAGTTAACATTTGGGGTTGGTGGAAGGTACAAAAGGAAAGGCACTGCCGCTTTATTTCTAGATATTTGACTTCACAGCCTTGTGCATGCAATCATTTCATAAATAATTCATTTTACATAGGATAGTATTAATCAAGCTCTACACCTGCAGTCAATACAGGACTCAACAGAACAAAGAATGGCATCCGTGTTCTCAAGACAGAAGCCACAATGTGTTAAAATTAATTCACTAGACAGCACTTATTAGCAAAACAAACTTTTTGTTGATATGTAAATATTCAACCTATATCTTGTCAATAGAAATAAGCAATATTAAAAAATTAACTAAATGGATGTTAATATTTTGAGAACATACTCATGGTTACCAGCCATAGCAAGTTAATACATATCTAAAATAATACATCTAATTAATAGATAACCTCTGCATCTATAATCAATGGAGGAATAAATATTAATTCTGATCTGTAAATACTTTTAGGACTTTCCTTAAACAGAATTCTTGTTACTGTGAATGCAATCACATTATCCTTTCTGAAGCTGTATTCACTGTATAAACAAATGCATTGTTTGTGTAACTGGCTTTAACACTTCTTTCTCAGGCATTATCTATAATACTGCACACCTAATTCCTTTTCCTGTAATGCTAGGTCTACATCTATGCATTCTCATCCCATTTCTTTCTGCAGTTTCGCAGCTCTTGCTTATTTCCCCCTCCTTAGATTTACCTCATTATCAACTTACACTGTCTCCCATTCTCTTTGACGTTGAAGATCCAGTATAAAATTGGAATACATATGGTGGGTTTATTATTATTATTATTTGTTTTTTGGGGGGGCCAGGTGAAATTCAGGATCTAACTGACAAGCAAATTGTACCAATGCTTTGCTTTAACTGTACATGTCAGGCGGTGTCTTATGGGGAAACCAAAATACATCAAAACAGGGGTGGACATCATGCTCTGCAATGACAATTAAACTTCGACTGCAAGGCTAATAAAACTTCAACTCTTACCATATCGCACAAAATCTCCTCCATCAGCAACATTCCAGCACCCTCTACATTTCATCCTCTTTCTCGTCATCTGTACCTCAACACTAAATATAAGATTAACACTTAGGTTTACATTTTTTTTTAAAAATTACCAAAACATATCCCCTAGAAGCATAGCTTTGCTGCTACTCATAAAGCAAACCTGCTGCTATTGCAGAAGAAAAATTAAAATGCTTTTAACAATGGCAATATGAGAAACAATGGCATACCTGAAAAGTTTAATTTTTTATGTACCCTTTATACTGGTTTTATGTAAACAATATGTATTTTTTTAATAAACTTGAAATGCCTCATTGGAGGCTCCCCTTCACAACAATGGTACTTCAATTCTGAAAAGAGCTCATAATCCCCTGTCGGATGTGATGAATATGAAATATGTCCTACAACATGTCATCCTTTACTTCTTTCGGTTACATATTTGTAGTACAAGCTTATTATTTTCATACATAAAACCAAAATGTAATCAACCACTGTTGCATTGCTTCAAGTTCAGTTCCTCTGTAGTCACTACAAAGACCTTCTTTATTTCAATTTGCTTTACCGAGACTAATGAAGCTCTTACTTGAATTATGACCATTTCAGTATCAGGCATATAAGAATGCTTCTTCAGAGCACCTTTTTCACGGGCAGAATTACTTTTGTAAAGGCCTGACATTACTTCTGATGTAGATGACAGTAACAATCCAGACTCTTGCACAAAAAATAAAATGTTCATTACAGCTTGGAGAAACTGGACACAAGATATCAGCTGATCCTGTACCAGGGCTTCGGACTGGAACCAGTGTTCTGTAGTCTGAACCTGCAGCTATTTTTGTAGTTCAGAACCAGCACTGATAGTGTAAGTTTAAGCTTCTAGATAGTTGAGTTCCTGTCAACACCATCTGAAAATTAAAAGAAAATCCATAACTAAAAGTCTGCAAGTTCATCAACATTAACAAAAAATTACAATAACAAAATTACATTTGTATAGCGCCACTCACGAAGAATCATATACTCCTTTACACAAGCACAATCCTTTATTAAATTGAAAGATACTTGACCCAGCATTTGTATTTTAGGACTAGCTACCTAAAATAAAGAGAAATAATGGAAATTTGTTTGAAAGTAATAAAATGCAGCTTTCTTATATAAGTGCTGCTCAGGCAGATTGTAACAAAATGCCATCTTATTTTGCTAACACTAGAAAAGTGGTTGTATTGAAGATAATAATAATCCTTGCTTTTGATATAGTGCTTTTCACGTCTTCTAGACGTCCCAAAGTGCTTCACAGAACATACTGTTAAGTGAATTGACTGTATATTTGTGGCCGAACGCGGCAGCCAATTGCGCACAGCAATTTCCCACAGACAGTCGTGGATTGAAAATGACCAATTTATTATTGTTTTGTTTTTTTGGAGGGATTATTATTAGGCGTGTGGAGTAAGGAAACTTGCCCAAGGTTTCGCCCTCTGCCTGGAATTGAACTCAGGTCTCTCGCTTGCAAAGCGAGTGCTCTAACCACTGAGCTACAGGACTCCACTAAGATCAACCATTTGAAATATTTGCTTATTATTTTAATAACTAGGCCTGAATTAAAATTAAAAGTGAAGTATCCAGCAGCTTCAGAGAGTATTAAGTTTGCATTTGTTTTGAAGCTCCTTGAGAGAGGACAGCATGTTCATTTAAAAATAAAATCACAAGGGATCATTTTCCTCACAAGATCTCTTTGGCAACCATGATGATCTCACAGAGGTTCCTGTGCCAACATATGACATGAATTACAAATAAAGTCCAAAAGCTAAGTTTTGAATTTTAAATACATTACAGGTATGATGCGCCAATAGATTATGTCACCTATATCAATATTCTGGAATAAATATAGTATCTGTGGCCTTTTAAATCATCTCTCAAAAAATGGCTCAAGGTGTCTTTAGTCTGCTCTATAAACAGTCATAAGTGGATAATTACTCTGGCAAACATTGGATCAGAGAGGCCCGTCAGGGATACACACTCAGAGTGAACACTCCCACTGTATATAGCGAAAAGTATCACACACCAAACACTTTAAGAAATGTGTACATGACATAACAATTCCAGGATTAAAAATGCACAAAATATAATGAGATATCCTCTTGGCTTGAAAATGCTGACAATATTAAAGTAATTTTAACTTCTCCGAATCACAGTGGCTAAGTTGAAGATACATTGCTAGCCTTTAGGTGGCGTGCATCATTTTTTAAATCAACATTCAGTTTATGCATTGCATAACCTAACCAACTGGAAACAATGACACAGTCGCCTGATCCCTCAGGAATTTTGCATGCAGATCCTATGCCTTTATACATCCCAACTACTCATTCATCTAACTATCTAGCTTTTTTTGTCCAAGGAGGCAAATCAGAAATCACAAGATTAGAAATACCCAGGTTTTCCTTTTCTCAACTTGAAACAAATTTTCAAAAAGGGTGAAATTTCACAAAAAAGATCAACAGCGTCAAAATCAACACCTGTACATTAAGGTTGAAAGATAAATTCACTCAAACAAGATTATCTACTTTGGGAATCTGAGCTTTTGAATGCCCTAACTTTAAAAATAAAAAAATTCCATCCTGCTTTTAGATACCTCCTCAAAATCAAACACCAGATGCCCTCTTCCAGGCTACAAAAACAGCGCATCTGTGACTACTAAAAACATGCAAGTGTGGCCCAGGTTGGCATATCTTCTGTTTTGCCTTTCATCCTGCCAGGCAAATATTTTTCCTCCGCTCACTGTACCTTATTATTATAGTAAATTGTACAGAGTAACATGTAGAATCCTCCACGTTAAATTTGATCATTCATGACTGTTTGTGGCGCAGTGCTGTGTGCAATCTGAGCGTTGTGTTGGTCTACAAATACAATCACTACACTTTTCAGTAAATTCCTGCGAAGCACTTTGAGCCTTTTTAATGTGATAATGGGCTATATCAAAGGATTATTATATCAGTATTTATTTTAAAATTTGAAAACCGTACTCTGAGATAAATATTTTTTTCAGGATTCAGTGGAGCAATGAGAAATTCCTACCATGCTGTAAATGGCTTTAGAAGTGTCTGTAGCCAATATCTGTCTTTAATTCAAAAATCCAGAAAAGCTCTACACTTTTGCTATATTAAACCGGGCCATCATATAACTGAATCACTGAAGCTCTAAACTCTGAAAAAATTAGAAGGCAATCTTAGCATTTAAAAGATTGTTTTTATGCAGTTGGTTTGCAAACCATGAGTAACTAACCTTATTTAGTGGGTTAAAAAAATATTAAATCATGCCTATCAAAAGTGAATATAAAACTGTCTATTCAGTTGCAAGCTTGAGAAGGTTTCGGTTTATTTGAACTAGGACTGACTAACTGCAAATAAAATCCCATCATAAGTCAACCCAACGCTGTGTACTTTGCTGGGAAAGCAATGTTTAAGGAAATGCCTCAAGGTTTGCTGCACTAATATGCTACAGTACTTTATTTAACAGACATGGAAAGCAGATGGCACAAGGACACAGTTCATTTTGTTAAAATTCTAGAGCCTAACATATGAACAGGAGTCCTGAATACCCAAGTACACCACATTACTGGCTCTGAATTTTCCAAAAATATTAGCAATATATTACTTTAACACAGTCTTCCTTGTGAATATAAAAGTTTAATTAGAAGTTCAGGTTTTCACACCACCATGAAATCAAACAATATAAAATGCCAGTCAAGAACACATCAACTTAGATAAGATATACTATTCATCGGATATCATTAAGCTTTTGAATTCTGGATCAACATGGATTTTTAGTTAGTAAAACCTATAAACCAGCAAAGTTTGATAAAATCAAATAAAAAAGGCTACGGTACTTCAGCACTGTTAAATACAGCAAGTCAATTTCATGAATTGAAAACAGGGTTGTGCTACTGAACTCAAACAGAAAAAAACATTTGTACTATTCAAAGACACTTTATTCTGAAGTATGGCTTTTGATTTACAGTCCATTTAAATTTATCAATGACCTGTTGTTAAATAGAGAAAGGAAGATATGCTAGAGTGATTACCAAGTGCTTACTATGCAGTAATCTCAAATTTTTGATGTCAAACAGTTTGAAAATCACATGGCATAACCTGAACTTAAATGACACGACTGGCTGGAAATCTCTGCCATATCGTATCCAATTTGATTTTAAGAATATATAGTATGCAACTGGAGGATGTTTTAAATTTTGCTGGGAGAAACTATTGAGTCAGACAGTGGCAGCCAGAATATTAATTTAAGGTGGAATCCTCACAGAAAGATTGCCAATTCTAACTTAACCGCAGCAAGCTTAATGTGACCAACTAATGAAGTAACAGCTCAGCAGAAACTGTAAACTTACTAATCGTGGACCCAACACATATGCTGTTCATTTAAATTGGATAAAGAAACAATTTTACAGGCAGCTGAGCTGTATACATAATCTAAATTCACCTCAGTATAAATAGCAAAGGTGTCATAGGTAAACCAGCAAGGCATTTCTTCAATATTCCAATGGTGAGGAAGTTTTACTTAAGTTATTGGGTATGGATTTTCGCTGTTACATTCAGTTCTCATCTCTCACACTTACCACCCAAGGCATGTTCAGTCATACTGAGACACAGTGATTCCAGTCTGTTGTTTATATCAGGTTCCGTCACCGGTACTTGGAATTCTGAAAGAGAAATTGCTTCAAATTAGCTACTGATTTAAATGTACAAGAAATTGGTCATATGTAGGCTTAATTGCTTACAGAAATAAAAAAAATTAACACTGCTTAAGTTTCCGAATTGCAGGATAGATAAACTAGGTCTATCCTGTAATTCTTAATCTATTTGATTAAGAATTGCAGGACTAGTCATGGCTAATTCTTGTCCTTACTAGATGCCGAGATTATAATAATTATAATAGTAATTATAATAATCCTTGCATTTGATATAGCGCCTTATCACGTTTTCGAGACGGTTCAAAGCACTTCACAGAATATACTGTAAAGTGAATTGACATACACTCACTCATTTTCTACTGTGGGTTTCTAGACAGCAACCAGAAACTTTGCAAACTTCCAAGAAAACAAACATTTTGAAATGCAAGTTGAGAAACATATTTCNAAAAAAAAATTGCTTAATGTGAGCAAATAGAAAAACAACTGACAAGAAGCAGGTGTGAACCATGGAAGTATTAAATTGAAGCTATTCGTTGTATTATTCTTAATCTTTGTTCGAGTTCAAAAGTACACATGTAAGATGTGTTTAAACTTTTAATTAATCGGTAAATTATGAGGTTAATTATAGTGAAGTTAATTTAGAAAATGATAAGCACTGCAACTCTTAATAATCCTCGTTTTCTAAATGGGCAATCGTTTCTATGGCATTTAAGAGACCAAAGAAAGTATTAAGTACTAGGATGCAATTCCAGAGAGCAGAATGGCTGAAAACCGACCCGACACTGGTGGGGTGAATAGGGCATAGAGACTTGAAGCCAGTGTTTGATGAGTGAAATTGCTTAAAATTAGCTACCGATTTAAATGTACAAGAAATCGGTCATAAGTAGGTCGGCTTAAAGATTTTCTATTCAAGAGTAAAAAAACAAAACTTTTACAGAATATCTCATTCTGAAAGGAATAAATGACCAACACAATTTTTTTTATAATTTGATTAAAAAATCTTGTTGTAAAACATTAAGGCAAATGAAAATGCTTTTCCACTGCATTACAAGGTTATGGTCTATATAGCATTTAAAAAATAAGGGTTCACTATATTGTAGTTGTAACCCATAACTGTAAAATTCTAGGTGTAACAAAGGCAAGTGGGTAGAAAACTATCTAAATCTCTAGCAGAATCAACCTGTTATTTATAGGGGGAAATCTCACTACTCCTGTCTGTGCTTCAATCAATCCAGTAATCTGACTAGCGTCTTGAAAAAATCTTGGTCAGGCTACAGCAGACTCTGGTTTGCATACTCTGGCCTTTAGCCAGCCAGCCACTGTGTGTCCTGGCCATGCAGCATTTAGAGAAAATAAAAGGGCTTTTAGAAGTAGAGAGGAATGCATTGTGACAATTGGGATCAAAAATTTCCGTTACCATTTTCAGGAGCTAGCTTTTTTTAAATAAATTCACCTACAGCATTTTGTTTAAATTTCTCTTCCACTTACCTGGTTGCTGGAACATCAGCATAGTTTGCGGAGATGTGTGGACAGGCAGTGAGCGTGTACGCTGGACTGAGCTATGAGTTCGACTTGGCATACTGTTACTTCCCCCAGGGTTGGCGAACCATAGGTTCTATGAAAAACACAAGGCATCTATTGTAAATCAAGTGTGAATTATGTGGTATCTAATGTGGGGACAACCATAATTTTGTATTTGAAATCTATTGCAGACTTTAAAACTGTGCTGCGATGTCTACCGTTTCAAAGTGTGCCGCCCCTTTAAGTTTCATTCATTGTTTGACTCTGAATGAACCTGTTATGCACATTGATATGTACATAAAATTCTTGGCTTCTTTCATTCTCAGTGAACCCAGTCTGTCCCTCTTCCATATTTTCCTTGTCCCTTTCCAGTACCTCTGCACACCAAAGCAAGCAAAAACAGGAAATGCCTGCAGACTGTTCTCACTGGGTCTTTTTAAAAGGAACCAGACAAGTTACTCAAATCAGGAAAATCTGAGAAATTGTTCCAATCCAGCTTTGGCATATCCATTTAAACAGCCCCCAACTTATTTTAAGTAGGCGCGCTGTACTTTCTGGAATGTTCTGCTTAATTATTTTTTATTAACACCAAATTTCCAAGGCGATTGGCTTAGACGTACATGTATTGTAAGAGTCAGAAAAAAGATATTTGAACAAACCTGCCTCCCTTGTTTTAATAGGGCAGGGTTGTTGGTTGCACTACGCTGTGAGGCACCCAAAAGTCCACTGGGCCCTATTAACCCCAGACGAGCAGTCGGCAGATTCCGAGGGGGCATCTGGAATTGGCGTTGGGTTCGTCTGACCATTCCTCCACCAACAGATCCAGCTGCTGGTAATGAGTTGGACTGATTAAAACTCCAGCTGTGGATCAAAAGTATCCAAGTCAAACACAGTTTAATAAATGGATATTGCAACCAAAAAAAAATTATTTGTCTAAACATAAACTTATTTTCAAAATACATCAACTGGACTGAAATTGAGATTGAATAGAATGCCTACAACCATAAAAGTTAATCACCAGGAAATGCTTAATTAGTATGACACCTCGAGAAGTTGTGTTTTGTCATCAAGATACAGTAAAACAAGGAAGGGATTACTGCGATTACTAGTTCCAAAATGTTGATCAACTGACATCATCATCCAATAATGAAAGAATGAATGCACACAAGGAAGGAGTCATCATCCTTAATATATAGTTTTTTGTAACATTTTCTGCTGTATTTACACTGCCTGGCAGCAAACAGTTCATTATAGAGCCAAGACTGCAATAAAGACTTGATTTTATTAATTAACGTCACATTTTTAGTAGGAGCAACTGACCAAATATTTTACTCAACCTGAACACAACTCAATGAATTTTGAGAAAGATCTGAAATGGTAACATCTAATAGTCCATAGAAATATTTCAGGAATTAACAAAAACTGGAAAGATTTCATATCAAGCCTTGGACCTCCAGCAAGTCACAGGGAGACTTCACAATATTTTAAAATTGTACGAGTCTGCACTATTAGTATGAAGTATGCTAAACAAATCCAGTAAACACAAGATATTTTTTGCTCAATCCCAGTACTCCGAATATACGCACGTTAAAAACTTATGAATGTAATTAAATACAGCCACCAAACCGTCAATGGAAATGATAAAATATTAACATACTTTCTTTGCTGTCTATAGCCAGGCATGTCCAATAGGGATTTCCGAGGAAAGGATCGAAAGAGCTTCTGGACTTGCTGTTTCCATGACAACATTCGCTTCTTCTGTGTCTCTGTAAAAGCCTGAGAGAACAGAGCAAATAATTGTAATTAGAATAGCTATTAAATAACAGCATACAATTTAAGATTATGAATTCAGTCCTTTTGATACTCAAGCTAACATGCATTTCTTCAGCTGATGTGCATTACAAGATTTGTAGTAACATTACTGGGATTTTAAGACCATTAAACACATTAACAGGTTACCACAAATTCATTTTTAAAAAATACTATATATGTGAGAAATGTCTGCTTGTTACAGTATATAAATGATAAAAATGTACAATAAACATATTGAATGTTTAACATAATGCATGATTAAACAATGGTGAATTGTTTCTTTTTAAACGTTGAGCTCTGCCAAAGATAAGCCCCTAAATAGTATGATTCCCATAGAGATGGTCAGCCAGTGATCCAGGGCCCTAAAAGCGTTTCTTTAGACCAACCCACTCCCACTGGTGCCAGCCCTTCAAAGTCTGAAAAAACATTCTATGAGTTATTGAATATAATGAACTATTTGAGTGGAATAAGATTTCAGATTTCAAAAATCAAATATCGGGGGAGTTTATTTGAAATATAAATAAAAATCTATGGTATACAGTAATGTTGCACTATTTACCTGGATTTTCAAAACTTGTTTAAATTATTTTGATGCACAAGAGAAGACAAAAGATTTTATAAGTATGAACTAGAAAGGCAAAACAGGAATCTTACAATTTAGCTGTTAACTTTCACAATAGTTAGCCAAACTATCCATTTAAATAAAGAATTTCAATAATTTCATACTAAGCACTTTTTTTCGATCGTTAAATAGAAAGTTGAAAGGAAGTGCAGTCATTTGTGTGGAAAATTGGTAAAAGATGTCAAAGGAAAATGGATACTTCTTTGTGGAAGGGAAAGGGCACAGATCAAATTTAGTAAGAGCTACAAATCATAGAATTTTCTGGCCAAGATGAGCAAATGAATGAGAAAATCTGGCATTTCTACCACAATTTACAGTCTAAGATTTTTTTGTTACATATGGCTTGACATACGCTTCCACAAATCATATTCTCAATGGCCAAATTACAAATGTATCAGTGTAAAAACACAAACAAGGAGACTTGAGATAAGTACTTTTAATATAAAGTACTCACTCATAGTTTATTAAAAAAAATCATCTCCAGCTCACAAGAAGAAATTGCACAATACCCATCACTGACACTATACTGCCAAACTAATTTTAATTGGGTTTCCAAGCCAGAAGGAAGTAAGTACAACACATAGTGGTTGATAATGAATTTTAAACTCATTCAGAACTTTGGGATCAGTATTCAAAATCTGGAAGAGTATTACACCACATCCTACAATAACAAATGCTGCTAATAGACTTCATCAGTAATGTAGCTCTCTGTTCTAGCTGGAATATTCACAGGGGCTGCTGGAGACTGGATACTGATGAGATGACTAAACTAGCAATTTGACTTCACAGATAAGAAAACAAAGGAACAACTTTGAAAAGAAAACACTTTACACTGCAAGTATTCTTCTCTACATAATCTTAACATTTCTCTCTACTCCTGTGAACAAAATTAACATTGTGAATGTAGTTTTGACCGATTAAATATATTTAGTTTAGAAATAGTTCACAATAGGTAGTATTCAAACTAACTATAATAATAAAAAGCCTTGCATTTGATACTGCACCGTATCACATCTTCGAGATGTCTCAAAGTGCTTCAAAGAATTTACTGTAAAGTGTAATGACTCTGTATTTTGTGGGCAAAATCAATCTTTAAGAGTTTCACTGCTCCACAGAAGGGGTAGGGTGGAGGGAAGGGGAATAATATTTGGGGTAGGGTGGAGGGAAGGGGAATAATATTTGGGGTAGGGTAGAGGGAAGGGGAATAATATTTTAATTTAGATTTTAAATGGTGAAACTCTTCAAGATTGGTTTCAAACAGTTTATCTTCTTCAATTACTATAACTATACCCACCTCATGACCTACACATTTGTCTATGAGCTGTAGGTAAGAGCTTATGTTCTCTTCATCTGGTCTGGATACAAGGAGCTGCGTACACACTGTAAAATAGAATGTAGGTAAATGACAAAAGGCTTTCTAGACTTAGACTGTTTCTCACATAAAATGACTTGACTCTTTTTTGAAGCCTGTGAAAAATTAGAAATATAGTTCTATTGAGTTCCAAATTTTAAATGTTAGTTATGTAATCAGTCTGCTGAATACATTTGGAATAATTTGACATAAACCAAAGAAACTCGCAGAAACCAATCTACGTTGAGACATTTTTTTTTGGGGGGGGGGGGTCTCCTTATATCTTTTTTAGCCACCAGGTCCATAAATGTTGCAACACCAATTCTGCTCCAGTAAACAAACATATTGAAGCATTTTACACAGAATTGTTGTCAAGTGTGATGCTTATTTGAGGTTAAAGTGGGACCTAATTTGCATACGTCAAGGTCGCACAAACATAAAATGAGTGAACAATTTATGTAGAGGACTGTTGGCAAGGAGACCAGGCTAAACTCTATCCTCAACTATTGTCATGGGATCATCTGAACCCAAACAGGTAGACAAGACCTGCTTGTTCAGCCAAAGGCAAAAGATGGCATACATCCTAGAGTACATATTCTTACTTTGTTACAGAGGCTTACCTTTACCCATGACCCTTGTAAATTGTCCAGGCAGATCCCCTTCTGGAACAGGAGCAGCTCCTGACTCCCCCTCACACCCAGTCACATTATGTTGTTGAATTCCTCCAGTAGCAGAGTCCTTTCCATCAGACAGCCGATTTCCCATGCTGCTGTCCGAGCTCATTAAGGAGGACTGAGAGTCCAAGTCTTGCCTCTGTTCATCAATGTTTTGGGTCTGAGGGAAATTGTAAGCTTTGATGGGGGTAAGAATCATTTGGTGCAGCTCCTGGAGTGCATTGCGCAAATTACCACCTTCAAGAATATCCTGTTCAATACAACATAAAAAGTCGATTCACTAAAAATATATAGATACAATAATTTTGGGTCTACCTACATAAACAGTTTTGTGAAGCATTAATACGTGTTAAATATAGAATATGGTAAGAATTCCTTTAATTAGCAGTTTGTCTTGAAAGTCAACGTATTCAACAAGTTAGTTTTGATCCATAAGTAAAATGCCACAACTTGAAATCTGCCCACAGATTGCTCCCCCTATTCATAGGAAAAGTCAGAGTTCATTCATTAGAAATTAGAAGGTGCCACATTCTTGTCCTTTTTAATATGATTTATTTCACATCAATTAAGCAGGTGGATTTTATTGTTAAAATAAGCAGCAGCACATACAATTAATCTACTTAGTATCATAATCTCAACATCTCATGTTTATTTAAAAGTTTGTACTCCCCATAAATAGATTTAAACACAAGAGAAACTTCAAGGATAGAATCAGATTCATCTAAAGGATATATACAAGTCAAGGGTAGAATTACAGGTGATTTTGCACTTGTCTATTTCAGTTCCAACAAATTATGTTTTACTTTCAATATCTAAGGCATTTCTTCAAGATTATTTGTTTTTGGTCCTGGCTCTGCTGCATCTCAAACAGGACATTTACTCAGGTCTGAAGGAGATATTCAATGGAGATTGATGAGCTAAACAAATGTATATCAACAATTTATATAGCTCCTTTCACGTCAGGAGGACGTCTCAAAGAGCTTCACACAGCTGACTGGGAACTCGAGCTTTGCTCTTGATGTTGCAAAATATTCAATGGAGTGAAAGGCAAGAAGAGGTGATGAAGAAAAATTGTGCACAATTCACTTATCAGACTGACTAGGAAGAGAAGGAAAACTGATGGAAGAGAGAAGTCTGCACTAGCTTCTCTATTGAAGAATTTAGGAAGGTGGCAGTAAACAGTTAAAGGGGCATAAATAACACTTGAATCTTCAGATTTCTTACCTTCTCCAAGGATCTGAGCACATTCTGTCTCTCTTTCAATTTCTGTATACTGAGGACAATTTTGTGTCTTGCACCTTTGGTAACATTCTGCAGCAGAAGCAAACAACAAATCTGAATGAGATTACGTGTTAAAAGGCATACAAGGCATTTCATGTCTTTTGAACAAAAAGACTCAAAAAGTTGATCCAGTTCTAGTCCTTCAACAGATGGCTGACTCCCATATGTATTAAAAAAAAGTTCAAGCCGTTTGAGGATTTTTAGGAGTAATTTGGTTAAAAATGTTTTGTTGTACTATCTGCACAAATGAGTAAACCCACATTGATGTTTACTTGAAATTAGGTTGCCAAGAGTTGTATTAAAGATTTGTCATACATTGAAAATATCCAGCTATTGTAACCACTGAAAACATATGTGTGGGCTTTGATCTGAATTCTTTGGCAATCCGACAAGTAAAACAAATGTGACTAACAAATACTTCTGTGAGTTGTAAGAACCAGTTTTGCCAAATTCAGACACTCCCAAAATCTTATGGAAATTCAGACTAATTCCTAAATACGGGAAAAGCCAAAGCATTAAAGCATCTCTATTTTTACAATTGAAGTCACCAAAGACAAAGTTTCACCACAACGTCAGATTTTTCTATGTCAAGTGTTTGACTTAATATTCCAGTCATGTGATTCAAACTGCAAGCTGATCTCCAAAGATTTAGAATTGTAGGGAAAATAAGTCTACAATACTCTCTCTGCTAGATGATGGAAATTGGAGATAAAGATAATGAGCAATGCTAGACATTTTAAAACAGGGCGTCTGACTAGGGCTATAGTGTCTACAGTATTACATTCCTACATATGAGAACACAGCAATTTTTTATAATCCAGCATGCTTGCTCTGTCTTATAATGATCTGTTCTAGAACCAAGAGATGACAATATTACATACAGGCTGACCCTATTATAAAAGGACTATTTAGAGCACAGGTATAACACTATAGATGTGTCATAACTTCCTTCTTCCAATTCTGACTGGCAGGAATCCTGTACATAGATCACAAAGGAAGGGAAGTCAATGATCAATATCCCAATAACTCAGAAGTGCTGACCATGCTGACCTATTTTTAGCACGCCCCGGCATAACACAAAGTCTGAATTTATGAACCAAAATCACCACTTTAAAACTGGGTCAGCCTGTAATACATGGATTGTCATAAATGATTTATACATAATGTTACCCAGAAAGGTAGGACAACATTTTAAGCAATGTGAACTCAGTAAGATCAGAGCAAGCCTTTTTACAGTATTTATTTTGACGATCTGTTGCTCCATTTACAGTATAATCTGTGAAGTGCTTTGAGACATCCTCCTGATGTGAAAGGCGATATACTAAACGTAAGGGTTATCATCATCATAATGAAATTACTACCACATCAAAAAACAATGGGTTTAAATTAGAGTATCAGTACTTGAAATTACGTGGCATTCAAATTCACATCAGAAGTGTGCCAGTCATTGCCAATAAGCTAATTTTGAATCCAGGTGGTAATAACAGTTGGTGGCAAAGATTTTCAATCTTCGATTGTTTGTGGGACAGTGCTGTGCGCAATTGGCTGACGCGTTTCACCCACAAATATACAGTCAATTCACTTTAGAGTATATTTTGTGAAGCGCTTTGGGGCATTCAGAAGACGTGAAAAGCGCTATATCAAATGCAAGGATTATTATTATTATTTGAGTTAAACGAATAAGAGCAAACTTTCCTGAAATTATTTGAGAAAAACTTTACAACTCAAGACACAAAATAATTTTTAAAAAGTTCTGGCAGAACCAAGATGCATTTATTCTACCTTGTTTTTTCTACAAAAACAACTTAATGGCAATTTAAGCAATTTTTTACATTTGAGATACTGCTACTGATGATTGATATGGACAGCATGACTTGAAATGCAGCCTTTAATATACACACACACAGAAAAACAAAATGCTGACTATGCACTATATGAATTTCACTGCACGGGAAATTGTCTTTTGCAATATTTTAGGAAGGGGGACAGACAAATGAGGAACTTTGAGTATCCACTGGATAAAATTTATTTGAAACGAATGTTCAAGCTCAGTAGAAAAAATAATTTTCTATAATATTAACCTTTAAAGAAGTCAACCACTCAGAAATTCACCCATTGAAAATATACCTGTGCCTCAAGCTGTACTTCTGTAAGTCCCATCATTTCTTCGTACGTTAGTTGGGAGAACAAAGCTGCATACTTATGGAGGCGCAAACTTTTTAACCAAGCTGGGACATCTGTAATCAAAAATGTTACCAAAGTTAAATGGAATTGTGATACCTGGGATATTTCCAATAAGAACAAATAGTTTCCTATCACGCATCTTTTTTTAAAAAAATTGACTATGGTTACATATTCAGTAGAACTCAGTTACCTGAAACATGCCTTTAAATTTTAGGTGCACGAACTTCATTTTGCATGCAATTTCACTGACTAATTACCTTAACCAGCATAGCAAACTTTTGCAAGGCAGTTCATCTGTAGCAATTCCTTTTTCACTTAAAATCAAACTAGTTGGGCTGTCTTCAATCACAGGCAAGGTTCTGCCTGTGTTGGTAAAACAGCCAGTCTGCATTGAACTGGTAGTTTGTTTCTTGTCAACTCGAGCTTTTCTTAAGTGTTGACAACAAGCATGTTTAGAAACCAAGAGGATAGCCATCTGGTGATCACTGCATTTAAATACGTGGCAAGCAAGATAGTAACAGGATTAAGTTTTCAATTATCAGATTCCAAAGAACAAATATTGAAATATCATACAATATTCTGATACATTAGTTCTATGCTTGTATTTAATGCGCAAAACATCATTCACAGGATTTTTTTTCAACAAAGCAAAAGTCATCTTTTAGAGAACTAAATGGAAAATGCAGAATATTTTCTCCATTGCTGATGATCTCATTCAGATTTTTGTATAAAAGGGGCAATGTTGGAATATAGCCCAGTTGAACATCTGCCTTCCAAACATATGGGCCAATGTTCAAATCCCAGGGCTCCACTTTACTCAAGTCTGCCTGTCATCAGCAGCCAGCTTTCCTCAGTTCCTGGCTAGGCCACTTAATGGAACACCACACTGTGTACTATAATTCAGGGGGAGGGGGGAGAAAGAGGGAAGATTGACCTAAACACACATCTCAGGGCTTAACAAGCATTCTTCCTTTAGGTGGTACATAAACTGTATACTTAAGTCTGCCTCGCACTATGATGACCAGTTTTTTTTTGAAGATATAGGAGATTCTGTTTTTTTTTAAATGTACTATACTCTTCCAAACCATTGTTTAAGTGCACAAATTTAGAGATCTCTGAACCCAACTTTTATTTCCAGAGGAAAGAAATTCTTAATGGACACTTCTATTCAGAAAAACTAGTTCTCCTTCCAAAATGCACGTACCAGATCTAAAATACAATGGGTGTCTTATTTAACTTATAAGAATTGCAAAGAAAGTCAAAGATTTTGGTGAAAACAACCCTTTGGCCCCTTTGTTCCAGCAGAAGGTCATGGCTCAAGCCCCATGTTGCTAACCCTACAATGCAGTGTTGGAAGTGTGATGCATTATTGGAGGTGCCTTGGGATGTCCTCCCGCCGTGAAAGGCGCTCTATAAACGCAATCTTGTTGTTGTTGCTGTCCTTCAGATGAGACGTTAAACTAATGTCCCACCTGCCTGTTGAGGTGGACATTAAAGATCCTATTATATGGCTTGAGAAGGGAAGTTTCTCCCGGTGATCTGGCCCCAAATCCCCTAAATAAAATTGGTCATACCTGTTTGTGGGAAATTGCTGCACACAAAACTGGCTGTTGCATTCACTTACACTTTACTGTATATGCTATGAATTGCTTTGAGAAGTGATAAGCACAATATCAAATGTGAGGATTATTATGTTCCAGAATACTGTCCCCTAAGTCTTTCCACTACAGCAGCAGGAAATCATTCCAATGTCCAGACCTTTACCTTCTTTCTTAGTAACTCATTCCAGCTGTAATTACCCTTGGTCTAATGAATTCCTACTGGAGTCTGTCCAAAATTGCTCTTCATAACCGCTTTGTCCTGCTGCCCTGGTTCATATGAAAAATATTCTCTCATGTACTTCAATAAGGCTCCTTTAGAGACATCTCTTAAAGGATTAGCTTATTTAGCAATTCCAAATAGTATAACGCTCAAATACTTAAGATCAGCTTAGTTTCTCCAACAGGAATCAGCTTTGGCGTACACCAGTCTCTCAGATCTGTGCAAACTCTTTACGCTGTGATGACTTGTGGGGTACGCAGTACTCCATGTAGGGAGTACTCCTCAGAGTACGATTGCTTAAGCACAACTTGGGGATCTGAACTCTTTGACAATGTATCCTATTGTCCTATCATTCATTGCTGCCTTACAGTTTCAATAATGGTGAGCTACAACTTGTTCCCTTGGTTCATTGTGCAACACACAAAATTATGCGTTTCCTGATGTTCTTTAAGGATACAAAATTCCATTATTTCTCAGTATTTTGGGTTATGTTAAAATATGTTGTCAGTGATTTATTATTTACCAATATATGAAAACAGTTTAATGAAAGAGGAATAACAAGACACAGAAAACCTACAATGAAATAGGATATAAAGCATATGAAAATTCAACTGTATATTCTTGTAAACATATCATGTGGAGTCCTGTAGCTCAGTGGTTAGACCACTCGCTTTGCAAGTGAGAGACCTGAGCTCAATTCCAGGCAGGGCGAAACCTTGGGCAAGTTTCCTTACTCCACACGCCTAATAATAATCCCTCCAAAAACAATAATTAAATTGGTCATTTTCAATCTACAACTGTTTGTGGGACATTGCTGTGCGCAATTGGTTGCCGGGTTCTCCCACAAATATACAGTCAATTCACTTTACAGTGTGTTCCGTGAAGCGCATTGGGACGTCCTCCCGACGTGAAAAGCGCTATATCAAATGCAAGGATTATTATATGCAGAAAAAAACAATACCTGCAGACTACATATGAAACCAGAATAAAAAGCAACATGTAGTACCTGCACTAGTGTTACGAGTGTACATACATTGCTGTTCAGCAGTACAGAAGTCAAGCGACTTAATGACGGCTCTTGGCTGCTTTGTTCTCAGGCATGAACAATGCCTTTCAGGTGAAAGTTTAATTGGATTCACTTGCAGTTTCCAAAGGGTGAAAAATCTTGTGAATGCAACATGGCTTAATTATATGGTTTTATGGGTGTGCCCTGCTGACACACTGCCCAAAATTCAAACAGGAGCTGTGACAGCCTATTCACACATTCGAGCCTTGCTTGGTGAGCCTAATCTAGTGCTCATTCGTTACCCACAAACTTTCAATAAGTTTCCCTGGATAGTGAGTAAGAGTGGGTATACTGTCTGATTTCCCCTCCCTGATCTTGGAGCAATTTGCAGTAATTTAAAATGACTGGAGATCTAAAATTCACTGTTGAATCCCCTTTTAACCACACAACTGTGGGAAAAATGGACTACTCTAAAGCTGAAAAGCAGTAAAAAAAAATTACAGGGTGTACCATAATATTAAAGTTACTCTAAATATTTCAATGAAGATATTTGAGATTCCATATTTTGTTTCTGTGTTACATATCAAAAACCCTCACTCCTGGTTTGAATTTCTGCTCAGAGATCTTAGTTTAAAAAAAACAATTTGATCAGCCACTAGGATTTCTTTCTTGAGCACCCTCTCCCCTTCCTCACCACCACAAACTTACCATGTGGGTGGCATGTTGGCGGTTTTCTCTAAACTCATAGCTGTGAATATTGCTAGTACACTGTTACAGTGAAACTCTGATAACTGGGATAAGTTGTCAACCCCACATAACTAGTCACTTACTCACTATCCCAGCTTTTTGAATACTTTGGACTTTCGAGTACTGTACTTTGGATAACTAGTCGACTCTGATAAGTACACATTGGAGATCCTTTCATTAGATGAAGAGTCATCAGAATTTCACTGTATTCATACTCATAATTGAAATGTTGGCTAAAACAAATATTTTAATGTTAGACAGTTAATGTAGAAAATTCCAGTTATCATCACATTTCTAGAAATTGTTAACTATTTCAGAGTTCTTCATACAAGGATTTTTGGCCGACAGGAAGCTGTAACACTTCACCAAGTTCACAGATTTTGGCACAACATTCCATTCAAGTTAACAGTACATAAAGCCTTCTGCCTGAACCTAAATGTTGACTAGTTCTGGTAAAATAGCCAACCAAATTTTTAGGAAACAAATCACTTTATTCAACAGAAGAACAAACAAGATAATTTTTCTTCAACATGCATGGTGGATTGTGAGCTGTATGCTGCATTGACACAATCTGTGAATACAAAATTCCATTGTATGCAGCAAACCGATCTCTGCAAAAGAAACAGATTTTATAGCATCCAGTTTAACTTCTTGTGACGAGAACACAACTGCAGTGTGATTCAGCAAGAAGGGGAGGGAATATTTCCCCATTTTCTTTTCAGTCTTCCCAATATTAACATATTCTGTTTGATTATCAATGAGTCATTTAATGTGACATTTGCTTTGGGTAAAATCCTGAAATTGTTGCAGCAGTTTAGCTTCAGTATCTTTAGTGCGTTCATCTGACCTATGATTTTTATGGCTGCTCAAGCTCAAAAGGCTTGAATGAGTAAGGTTACTGATTTTACCAGAGGGAACAATTCTCAGATAAGAGAAGTTTGAAAATCTGAACAAATTAATTTTCTCTAGTTAGAAGAATGTGAAAGGAATAATCAACAGATCTAAATGTAAAACAAGGACTTCCGTATATGCATGCGAAACACAAAAATGAATTTTCTTGATCCATTCAAATGAGTCTTGAATTTGTTCAGATTGCAGATCTTCACCAGCATTCTAAACCTTCTCTAATGATGACTGGAATTCACATCACCAAAACAAATTATAGTTAAAAACAGATGCCACAATAGGAGGCATTATCTGAGATTCTGCAATTTTTGACATACAACTAGAACAATCAACCATTCTGCATTCTGGTGGATGTACAACACTACTATGGCAGAACCCAGATTTTACACCAAAAGGATAAGTTAACTTTGGAAAAAATTCAATGAAACAATTTCACAGAGCCTTAAATGAATAATACAATACAGAAAACATGGTGCTTATTGGCAGCATTTTATTTTAGAATGGATTTCCTTCAACTTGTGCACAGTTCAATAAATCATTTACGTCATATCAAAGTTTCAGAAATCAATTATA